TATATATTTAAACGTGAAATAATATGAAAATAATAGTTACAATGAAATATAAACATAATAAAAACTTGTATATAACGACATTATTATTTGTTGTACGTGTTCTCTTAAATTGTGGTATTGAAAAAATGTGATTGTTAATTATACATATATTAATTATACAGAATTTGAAATCAATCATATCGCGAATAGAATCTGCGTATGAATCTACATTATACATGTAATTATTAATATACAAATTAATATACAAAACTTATTAATATATTATGTTTATCGTAAAATTACAGATTTTGTTTCTAAGTAAACATTTGTGACCGCTGAAGGAAATTTGCTCCGCTTAGTTTTAGCACAAAAATGCACGCGAAGACCGCGTTAAAAAACATGCATCCGTTTTGCTCGTTCCTCGCTCGAACTACCGCGCAAAAAGTATGACTATAAAAGCGACGTAACAAAACGAGGAAACGCTCTGTAATTCGCGGGACGACTGTATCGAGGTGCATTCGTAAGATGAGGCAACAATAATATAAACTCGGTTTTTTCGCGTCAAGCCACTCAAACTTGGCTGCACGAGTGCAACTATCCTACGCAGGTAGGTTGATATCCATAACCATGACAATTCTGTTTACGGAGAAATTTCGCTGTAGCGGATGCGCGACAAAATTCCATGTCTTTTCAGTTCGTTGAGACGCATACATGTATACGTACACAGAGATGGAAACCGAGTTTCCCGAGTTGCTTATATATATACTCCTTCGCTCGATCTTTAGCCGAGCCTGCTTTTGTCCTTTAATTCCCGGCGAGAACGCGGAGAAAGTACCGTGACCGCGAAATGATTGGCGAAGTTTGTTAGCGAGAGAACAGCGATAAAAGCTAATCAGCGAGCTTGAAAGCTTCATCCGCGAAGTCGGCCACACTGGACCGACAACCCCGTCTCGTCGTTGTGTTTACTCCGAACTGTACCCTTACCACCTGTCTCTCTACGGGCTTTCTTCTGAAAATACCCTGTTGGCACAGGCCGTAAGAAAGTGATTTTCTTGTCGGGAAAAAGCCGTTTCGAGGGAATACGAAACAAGAGAACTCTCACTGTGTGGATGCACTTGCGCGCAAAACGCATCAAAGCTTTGTTTTCGAGAGCTCTTCTCCATCGCGCGACTTTACCTCTTAGCAAAGAGAATATATATTGTAATTTTCTCTATGTGAAACGCCGGGTTCTGGTTCTAAGTTTTAGTAAATTTCAAGTGGAAAAATATGAAATACAATTCCAGGTTATTTAACATTTAATATGAAAAACTCGTAAGCGTTGAAGAAAAAAAATGAGAGAAGAATAAATATGCGTTTGCGAATATTTTATTTAGAATAAAGCAATTGCGGCTTTTTTTCGCAACTAGAATATTTGACATTTAGTTGATTGCTTATCACGTAGACGTCTCGACAATGAGATACAACGTCACAGATACCGAGGATGCACCCTGCGCTTACTCTCAGCCGGCCATAAATTCAAGTATATCTTGGCGTTTATTAGCGCAATTACGTCTGCAAGATTTGACATTATTCCGCGAAGCGACGACGAAGCGGCTTGTATTTAATCCGCGTCGTTGTTTATCCAGTTTATGCTGACGCTCTCAAGATACGTTTTCTTCGATAAATACGTTTCCGCCCCGGATTTCTCGAAACGTCGCGCCGCTATCGAGCGGATATTCCGTTGGCAGCCGTCGCATGTTTTGAACTCGAGCCTCGTCGGTGTTATCTGCTTTCCTTCTGCAAGAAGGCACGTAGCTTTCCGGTCGGACGGCTTTATCTGTCGCACCTCCTCCTCCTTGCGATATCATTATTAACTGCGATTCGCCATACGATCGTTCGCGCAAGCCGCCGCATCCGGAAGATGGGAAACGTCAGATCCGCTCTCTGCACGCCGCTCGCGATACTAACTACATCAGTTAAGGGGGCGTCAGATTATTAGCGTCTCTATATTTCGCCATGACGAATCACCCTCTATCGCGCGCATATCCCTGTCCCTTTCTCCCGGGCCGATGTACCGGAAAGATGTCTACACGCGCGTCACGCACATCCGCACTCGTGTAAATTACCGCGCAAAACACTGCGGATTATTTCAATTCGCATAGCTCGTTACCGCCGCGAGAGCAATAAATCGTATGCGTTTAGGTGGTTCGTGGATTCTAGAATGTCGAGTATCTGCGACACGGAACTGTCAGAATTTTGCAATTTATTCAAAAGCATGTTATACGTCTGCAATCAATAAGTCCCTAACATCTCCCGAAGACGTTCAGAGAACATCCTCTGGATGTATCCTCCGAATATTTTTCGGATCTGTTGTATTATTAAAGGTGCGTCTTATTCGCGTTCTTAAGGGGTTGCATATACACCTAGAGGACCGAAAAATTAACCCAACTTTGACATTTCATTCCGGCTAAATGAATAGTCGGAGTCAAATAAGACTTTTTATGATTATAAGTTTATATTTTGACAATATAAAAAAAAATAAATGTAATTAAAAAATTGGAACTTTCCATCTGAAACAAAAAACCCTATGGTGTTTTTAAGTTAACAGTAGTGGTTGGTCGTTGACGTTCGCCGAATTTCGATTTTGTAGTTTGTTATAAAATGGCGACGTGTGAAAGACGAAAATTTTTCGCAATTTTTGAAATTTTTATTTGAACACGTCGCCATTTTATAACAAACGACAAAATCGAAATTCGGCGAACGTCAACGATCAACCACTACTGTTAACTTAAAAACACCATATGGTTTTTTGTTTCAGATGGAAAGTGTCCACCGCAAAAAAAGGCTTTTTCCAACGCCAGCAACCATATTTTGTTTCTGTTGCAATTTTTTAATTATATTTATTTTTTTTTATATTGTCAAAATATAAACTTATAATCATAAAAAGTCTTATTTGATTCCCACTATTTATTTAGCCGGAATAAAATGTCAAAGTTGGGTTAATTTTTCGGTCCTCTAGGTGTATGTAACCCCTTAAATATTATCAAGCAGAAATATGCAGTACGGGATTACGCGGCGGGTGCAAGAATCAAAAAGCTGTTCGCGAAACGCTACGATGGAGAAACGATGTTTCCCGCTGAAAAAGAATTCATTTCAGTTGCATAAAACGTCCATCTCGTATCTTTCCTGCCTTTTTTTTCTCTTCCTCCTATTTCTCTGTATCCCGTATTTTTCCCTACGTGTATTCTATTCTTTTCGTCTCTATCCTGATCATATGTTGCGTATTCGTTTCGCGATTAGTATAATAACGTTGACGTCGAAAGAGAAAATCGGCGGCGCGAGAATCGAGAATGCCAATCGCGTTAGACTACACCCGGAACCGAAATTCAATATTTACGCCAACGCGCGGCAACTCGGCGCTAATTAGACCACCGAGTAATTGGTAACGCTAGCTCTCTCAAAGCCGAGTGAGCGCAGTGAAATTCAGGCCGAATACCGTATACCCGCAACTAGCTGCGTGCTACGCATCTCTCTCTACCCTCGTTGGGACGATATGAACGTTCGATTACTCGACGACGCACGTCGGATGCTCGACCGATCTGGGGAATTCAACATTCGCTGAGCACCGTAAACGTTTAACTCGACGCCGCGAGGGGCTGCATAAACTGCAGATAGATAAACATATCTAGATTATTACATTACACCAAGAGTAGAAGCTGAAACCGATATAGCGCGAATGCGAGAATTCGGATCCCAAAAATATGTCTTATGCCAAATTTAATCGGAACGGGAAACTAGAAATATTAGAATATTCGGGAGAGTATTATTTTTTTTCTGAATTCTTATTCAATTATGGATATTAAAATTTCTATAATACTTGCAAATTTTTGCATGTTTACATATAAAGTGGAAGATTCGAAAGAGAGATTTTTAAAATTTTCTCTTAATTAATTTCCTGGATATTAAAATTTCTAATTTTCATGTTTCCGATATATATGACACAAACAAAAAATATGTATAGGCGTTGTATATATATAACTAGAATTTTTATACTTAAAGAGATAATAAAATATAGAAATGTGTGTACAAATAATGCCGTGTATATATTATTTTTATCGGTAAAGAACTATGCCGGATCTTTTTCAAGTAATCAAACAGCTCGTACGAAAATCATGGATTATTTAATGTCAAGCGTTAGTCAAATATATCTATCTTGCTCGGCAATTGCAAAACGGTGTGAACACTTTACGAACGTGACAATATAATACAACACTGTAACATGAAGTCACGCAATATCAAAGTCACGCGAAAACGAGGGAGAATATACGGTTAATAATCCTCCGTTTAGAATACTCCACCGCAATGCTTTACTACGACTCGAGAGCTGAATGAAACGTCCAACAGAGGAATGCACAATTTCGCGTAGACGGATTTCCTCTCCATAAAAAGAATTTTCTACATAAATTTTTCTACACAACTTTGCAAAATGCATTGACTTTTAATCTCACTAACTTATATCAACATTCGAATTTATTAATTATTTCTGTTTTCCCTTTCTCTTTTTATCTTTTTTTAAATATTTTTAATTAATTGACATTGTATCTCTATGAGAGAAATAATTTAAAACATATATAAAATCGTTCTCTTTAGATTTAGAAAATTTTTATTTTGTAAGAATTTTGTGATAAAACATTTTTAAATTGCATTAAGGAAATCAAAATAATGAATGTTTATATCAAAAATGAATTTTTACTGTATATATATATATATATATATATATGTGTAGTACTCATAAATCATACAGTTCATACATTTTTCAATATTAATTAGCAATATTTTGTTCTTTTATATAATTTAATGAATTATATTCCTAATGTATTTAATATTTGTTTTTTGTTTAAGTATCATATTTGACATGACATACAGTCAATTTTTTCTTCTATTTCTCGTATGTGAATTCAATTTGTATCATGTCAGATTTCTAAAAATAACCGGCTATTTCGGAACAATCTATTAACACGATACGATACGTTTCTTTTCAGTTTTGGTCCGCCTACGTTCCTTGCGGTGCCGCTCAGTTAAACGCAGTTCAACTTTCACTGGAACAGATCGACGTGATTCGTCGACTCGCCGAAATGAATGCTCAACATTTAACCCTGGTTACCTCTGTCAAAGGTGAGTAACATACATGAACGTTGAGCCATATCATATGGTCTCGTAATCTTCCCACAGCGTATCCCACACGGAAATTATCGTTATAATTTTTTTCGCATCATTATATAGAAACTTTAATGCAGTTTTTCTAATGTATTCTAATGTTTTTTATACAACCTAACACTTTACGCATTTATTTTTTCTTGAAAAATATTTATATTTTTTAAATTTCTTTATAAGAGTAAAACTAATCTTATTTTACTCCGATATATTTAATACGATATACAGTTAATAAAATTAATTCTTTTTATAAATATATTTAATAACAGTGAATTTTCTTAATATGTCAAGAACGATGCGTGTCTAGTAAATACAAGTAAAAGATGAGAATTATTTATGAGTTTGGGCAGAAGCTTCAACAATAGCAAAGCGCATATAATAAATTTGGTCTACAAGTATTATCAAGAATTCTCGTTGTCCTTTAACAATTCGGTTAACTTAAGGTGCATCTTTTGTAACGAAAGAATTCTTGTGACCACCGTATTACGTTATTAAATGTAACGCGCTAGCCACCGGTACCAATAGATATCAGAGCGACGTCTTGAAGAAAGTTTCTCATCGAGACGATTCAAGAGGATAAAGGGTCGCTATTAATTGCTCGACTTCTCCGAAGTTGAAGAGGAAAGTCGTTATTGGATTCGATTCGATGGCATAACTTTGTATTGTGGAAGATTTATCGGCGATGGACAAAAGTATAAAGCTATCACCGCTTCATGTCGACAAAGATTTCACTGATTCATAAGATAATATAAAATCTGATTTCATAATATTCGATAAAATCAAATTATAGGTTGTTATAAAGATACACTAATAAAGAATCTTACTTGAAAAATATTCAGACGAGAGGTGGAATCTCTGACAAATTTTTATCCCTTCGCGATTCAAACTAATTTTGATAAATTCATATAGAACAATATGTTAAAATTTTAATTTAAATTTTAATAAAATTTAAATTTTGTTCTCTAAATATTACTTAGTGCAGTAATCAATTTCCATCATTCTATATACATATATAATATTATAAGACATGTAACCACATTCTATACATTTATACGTTATAAAAATTTTTTAAATAATTTTTTTAACGTTATCGTTTTAAACTAGAAATTTTGTTATATGACTATATGACTATATTAAAACTTTATTTCAATACAGAAAAAGAATAAAATCTACAAAACATTGCATGAAATATTTTTTTGTTTTACGAACACTCATTCGCGCCGATGACAATTGAATCTCTCTATTTTTAACGAAAATTGATTACAAAATTTTTTTTTTAAATTGATGGATCAATCTATCGTCTGTTAACTGTAAAATTTGTGGAATGTTGGTGAAACCGACTAATGGAGAATAAATTTCATCGAATATGCAATAGCTGTTTTTAGTTGAGTGAAAGAAAAAGAGATTTCTGGGGAAAAAAGAGAAAAAATATCGAAGCAACACCGGCACTAAAATAAAGAACAAACTATGCACACAATCTGAAAGAAAAGAAAATGCCAAGCAGGAGAGGAGAGCAGAAAAGATACGCGAAAGCTTGTAAAAGTTTTGTGACAAGTAACTCGCTTCAGAAATCCGACTGCCATTTTCATAAGCTCGTTGAAATCAAACCAAGATCGCGTGAAAAGGGGATAAGAGTAGAGATAACGGAAACTTTTGCAAACGTTGCATAAATAATCCATCGAGAAAAATTAGGATTAGATTCAAACTATACATCGTACTAAAATATGTTGCAATTTTTTTAAAGAAATTGTTAATTGATTTATTAACGAAATTATTATAATAATATTATTAAATCATTTTAATACATTATTACTAATACGTAACTACATTCAACCGACTATTCAACATAAATATTTTATGACTAATGGTCTAAGTTTTTGATAAAGAAAAATGTGGCCCTTTTACGGCGACTACACTTATGCAAATGGATAATCGTTGGACATGCATTGTGTATTCAAAATCAAGTTATGCACGCTGCTGAAATATGAAAAAGATATGAAGGGTGAATGAAGAAATAGGACTGGAGCACTGCCTTGCAAACGAAAGCCCCGCAATGGAACTTACCGCGAGTAACCTGGTCTGGAAAGCTGTCAGCCATTTTCATAAGCTCGAGAAACTTCGCCAAGTGGGAAGTGAAAAGGAGGTCGCGGCACGAAGAAGGTAAAAGGTGGAAAAGGCAGCGGTTCGTGAACACAAGCCTGTTCCACAATAGTGCCTGGATATGGTCAAAATCACGATTTCTTTAACTCACTACGCTGAATTTAGCAATTCAATACAAAAATGCTAATTAATAAATAATCAATAATATATTGTACAGCAAACTCTCTGATTCCTTTTGGTCCATAGAGAAAAAAATATACTAACAAAATAATCATTAAGTTAATATGATTACTAATCGAATTGAAAAATGAACGTGTTGATAATAATAAATTAATGCCTTATAATAATTGTACAAGAATTGTTTTTATTATATTTTAACAATTTTAAAACACGTAATGTATAATTGTTATACGCAAACCAATTCTTAGATGTCATATTATATATGACCACCGCATGTGGTAAAAAACTTGGCTGGATATAGCAATTAATAATTGAAACGGGAATCTCGTTAAAGCACTAGGCATATTCATTTAGATTCGTTTTATTTTTGAGTTGAAGCAAGCTGCTTCCAAGCGAGCTTCGTTTAAAGCAGCAAAGGCAGAGAACAGTTACAAGAGGAGATTACCAGCTTTTTAATTTTCGAGATCAGTGGCGCGTTTCTCAATAGATAGTATACGACTTTCTTGTACCAAGATAGAAGATATTAAATCATATTAAATGCTATATAAAGTGTTTTAGCGTAATCTGGTACGATAAAAGGTTAAATAAAGCAAATGCATATAAAAACTTTAGTTTAATATTAATTGCTCTGAATTTTTCTGCAGAATTATCAATATTCCCAAATTACATTTTATGTTGTAAGCATTTTATTACATTAATTAAGAAATTTTGCAAGTGAGCCATATTAACCATGTTAATCGAATCATATACATCTTTTTCCAACAATTAATTTTAAAAAATTAAAATTCATCTACTTGATGTTATAAAATATTTTACAACATATTGCAATCGAAATGAAAGAAGAAAGCTAAGCAAACTCTCTCCCTTATTAAAATAAACTAATTTTGAAGAAACGAGAAAGAACTAAAGAGAAAAAGAAAGAGAGAGGAAAAAGAGAAAGAAATAAAAAAAGACAGAAATGCATATTCTCTCCATATCCTTGAAACTATTTTAAAAAATTTATCCGACTCTCCCGTGCAAACTCACATTTGTGCATGACAATTTATCAATAACTACAAAGAGATAAACAATTCGGCATGAAAAAAATACGGTATAAGAATTTGTATCGTGCAAATGAGTGAAAAGCAACAGGATGATAAAATGTTCATGTGCCTAACGAATCTTATCGTTGATCTGCACGATTATAGATATACATAATATCGTTAATGTCACAGCAAAACGAACTTTAAATCCTGCATGTACGGTTAAACAAATAACTCGCACGGATCGATATATATTCGATGTAAAGGTTGATAAATCAGCCGGCTTAATACCCACCTTCGTTCGATGCCGCCTGAAAGTTTCAATGAGGCGATCGACAGCACTCCTGAAAGCACTTTCGAAAGCGGATCTAAAAGCCGATTTTTACCGATCTTTTCATTCACTTTTTCAACCCACCCGTACAGGGACCGACTTTCCGAGATTTCATCGGCGATCTCTTCCGGCGAAGATCGTAAATAATCTATGAACACCATAATTCCCCGAACCCGAGAGGTCCCGCTTAATCTCATAAAGTGTCACTTTAATCTCGCCCCGGGAAAAAAAAGGAAGAATTATAAAACTCGCGCCGACGCGACGGAGCAAGAGCACGACGAAAAAACAGACGAAACTTCGCTGATTCACGGAAGGAGCGTAATTCGGCCGAGAGCAAAGTTCACCGAAGATGATTCGAAGTTTTACGAGAGAAGATGAGCCTCAAATAACTCGTGTACTTAGGTGTTCTCCGAGGTTCGAGTATTCTCAAGCTCGGCAAATTCATTGTCGATAGTATAAGTATTGTCGCAATTTTTAGCGTGTTTACAACGTTTGATCGTTAAAATATGACCGACTTTCTATATAATAGTATAGCTATGTAAGAGAAAGAATATAACAATATACTTCAAAACGTATACTGTAAAAGTACGGCGCTTGATATATAATAATAATAATAATAATATCCATGAAAAATATATTGAGCATAATATAGTATTATTAAACTAAAATCCTCTCAAATTGTATTATTAATATAATCCAAATCTCTCACAATCAGTGTAACTGTTATATATTATTCATCAAGTAATTTCTTTCTTTAAAAAATATCATATGCTTATTATTAGAATGTCACCAATTTTCTTTAAATTATGACATATATATGTGCAGGTCTCATTGAGGCTCATAGAGAAGGAAAAATCGCAAGTCTAATCGGAGTAGAAGGGGGTCACTCTCTGGGGAATTCTTTGGGCGTTCTTAGGACGTTTTACGGTCTAGGAGCGCGATACCTTACTCTAACACATGCGTGCGACACCTCCTGGTGAGTATGAATTATAAATGTAAGTAGAAGAATCCTTTTTTCAAAACTATGCAATTAACTTATCACGATTTTTAATTCAATTAATATAAAAAAGAATTCCTTCATACACGCACACACCCATCATTATATATATAATACAGATTACTCTTATTTTAAATGGCGAAACTTTCTACAAACTTAAAATTTGATTGAAAAAAAAAACACTTTTTAAAATTTATTTAAATTATTCACCATTAAAATTTTTATTTTTATTCTATAAAATAAAGCTTAATATAATTTTCGATACTATTATTACTCGCGCTGATGTACGTTTCATTAAAGTTAGGAGGTTGCACTTTCTCATTCACGAGATCATCAAAACTCTGCAGGATGTTGCGTTTTTTCGATATCGTTCTTATCGCCTGCTCTTCCTCGCGCTCAAGAAGTTTCTCGATATACAAGCCGCTCGTTCATCGAGCATCTAGTTTTTTTACTTGGGACTCGTTGTGCTTCGTATCACGATCTACTCTTAGAGGCAAACCAATTCCACGGTTGATCGGCTTAACCTGAAATCTGGACGCTTGGAAGTTCTTTTTAGTAATTTCGGAAGCACCCCAAAGCCGCCACTTATTTCCTAGCGCATCCGAAAAAAAGAAATAGCAAAAGAAGAAATTTGTTTCGCAGAGAGAAACAGAGAAAAAGAGAGAGAGAGGAATTAATCCTTATCAAAAAGACCGATTTCCATATTGTTCAGAAAAGTCAACTTTCTGAATTTTATTTCATTAATCCATTATGAAGTAAAGACATTTCTTCAGTTATTTTTTTATTTCTAATAATTCTTTCTTTTTGTATATTTTCCTAACAATAAGTGAAAGATCTGCAATTATAAAAGTTTTGTAGTGATATCTTTCTTGCATTCAATTGTTATGTACAAAAGCAATGAATCTAGTACAGCCCGTTTATCTTACTTTACATAATATTTCTCTAAAGTCATCATTTATTTGCTAATTTCAATACATAATGAAAAACTCCATACCTCTTTTCGCAGCACAGGAGGCGACATATCGACAGGAGATAATAAAAAAATTTATTCGATTCTCCGCGGTCTAATCAAAATTTAAAAATATGCAAGTTGCGCAATTTATTATTATATACACGTTCGCTTGCATCTCCGTGACTGAGAGGAACAATGCTGGAATAAAAAGCGCTTCTCCTCTTTTGCCTCAAACATCGATCCTTAACCCGAAGTTTATGCATCCCCTGATGCCGAGTGCCGCATGGAGTTGTAAATAAAGTTCCCGCTTTTATGCATCCATTCGATCCTGAATCACGTAACCCGCGACGAGTTGCGTTTTTGCGAGAAATCCAACGTACGTTATTTGTGAGTTGCGCGAGCCACAAAATAGAGCTATATACACGTGCATAAAGCAACGACATTTTCGACTCCCGCATGACTTTATTTGTTTAATTAGTACGAAAAGTCGCGGCCACTTTATAAATTTCTCTCGTCAAAAGGAATTTTATTCATGACCATTTAAAACAATTTCGTGTCCGAGTTCTCTCCACTTTTTTCAAAAAGCTCTCCATTATTCTTCCGACGTAATAGTACTCATAACTCGAAAACTCGAGAATAACTGAAAGTTTAAAACATTCTCGTTACTTTTTCTTCGCGAAACGATCATTATGCCACGGCGTCGATGTTATCGAGATAATGCAAACGAATTCTGAATTGAAAAATGTATTTCTCGCGGCGCGCGCACAATCGCAATTCCTTTTCATACTTCGCAACTACCTACTATATATTGTATTTCTTATATCAGTCGAACTTTTGGAGAATATACCAACCGCATTCATCCCTTCGCTCACTGAAAATCCATCATTGTACCTTTTACGAGCGAAGGGACTCATGCTCGAACCGTAATAATCTCACCCTCTGCGGCCTGCCACGCGAAATAGGATTTACACCTCGAGGAGCGACGCTGGATGCCTCGCTCTCTCGCCGGCTCTCGGGATGTAAATTACGACAGTGACCGCCGATGTCACTAACTCTAACGCCGCTTTAAGGTCGCAGTATTATACGACAATGGGCACCGACCTGGTTCGCCGTGCACTTTCCGATCTTCGGCTGCTTTATGTCTCCCTCGGCACTACGATGCTTACCGCAATAAATAAGAATCGGAGTCATGTCGGGTGCTCACGTGCAAATCTCTCTTTGGATATAGTACAATACATATTTTTCTCCTCTGACTCCCTAATTTACGCCAACGTCGTCTTACGACGCAGGTAATCTATTTTCCACGTGAAACATGAGGCCGAGTTTTCTCAATAGATGTTGGAATAATATTGGCGAGAGAAGAGATTAAATACACAGATATACGAATAACTTGTGTTAATAAAGTAACACAATATGAATATAAAATATTTTTATAATGTGTATTATAAAGTTCGATAGCGAAAAAAAAATTGACAGTCGTAATAGACAAAAAATTGAGAAAGTGAATTCTTTTCTCATATTGAATTAGATTTTATAATTTATTTTAGTTTATTATAATTTATGCGATTTGGGAATTAAATTGAATTTTTTTTTTTTTTTTTTTTTTAAGAAAATTTTTATACAAGAAAATTTCTATCAAATAAATACATATGACAGTGGTTGTTTGAAGAACAAAGTGATTTGGAGTATCCGCAGAAAAATGTATGCCTATGAAAGTGTAGACTATAACATACAGAGCACCCGAAGAAAACTCGTCATAAAAATGCGGTTTCATCTCTCCGGCCTGAGATTTCCGGCATCCACATGAGGAGAAGCGTGCTTTTATTGGGACAATATCCGAATTGCTTTCCGACGTGTACCCGTAGCTTAATGTCAACCTCTGACCCTATTCTCTCTCACCTCTTATCCCTCTTCTGTTTCAGTCGCCTATTTTCCCTCCCTCTCTCTTTTCTCTCTAGGGATGCGAGATTGTCGACCCGATTGAATTTTCTACAGTTTTTAGATGATGACGCCGAATCATCTCTGATGTTTCGTCATCTCGTCTGGGAGCGAGTGCAGAATTCTCGATATCGTTTGTATTTTTACTTGTTTTCTAATCTTCACATTTCTATTCTATAAATATTTCGTATGTCTTCCGCTATTCATAAGAAAAAAATAAGGCACAATCAATACTGTGGTCGAAAAATATCTTAATAACTTCTTTTTGATGAACTAAATTTTCTTTAGCAAAAATTACAGTTTAATAATGAAAATTAAGTGTGAAGAATCTAAATAAATAATGAGATATTATCTTATCTTAATTAATTTCAAGTAATAGTTATACTTCATAAAAATTTATTATAAATTATGATTACTAAGATATTTATAAGGAAAAATTAAAGTCATAAATAATAATTTCTTACAAAATCTGTTAAGAAAAAATTAAATTTAATGTATACTCAACAATAATAAAAAATCTACTATTAATATGACTTAAAAATTTCACATGTTGCTTATTGGTCATTACACATTCGCAATTCCGAAATACAATTTTTAAAGCTATACCCTTGAAATTGTCTACTAGCAATTAATTTACATTTAACAGACAGTAAGAGCTAATTACAATAAATGGGCAAATGGAAACACACGTTATTTCCGAAAAGTTACATGCAACTCGGATGTGCTTCGAGATGAGAAGCTTGTTTTAATGATCCTAGAACATAACATAATGTGTAATGTATGTATATGATAACACACAAAATGCGCGAACCTGAAAGCAGAGTTTGTGTAGGTTTGACCTAAATCACTTGACCCAAGACCACTCGCGCCTATTCAAGTATCTAGCTCAAGCTATATCTAAATCATTATTGAACTAAGAATATCTATAAAAATCTAATTTAAAATCTGGATATTTTTGAAGATAGATATCGCTTGTGATGATCGAATTTTGTTTAATTAGTGATATATTTTTTAATTAATGATATCACTTCAATGATTAATAACTTACATCATTGGCAATTTCTTTATTTCATGTAAAAAATGTTGCGTAATAAATATGTTTGCACAAGATTGACATGACTGATACGTTAGAAAATATTATTCCTTCTACACATAAAAGCTCATCTGAAAGAAACAAAGCTAGCACGAGCAACCGCTGGATTTTCGCAAGCAAACCGACGTTCTAACAGACATTTTCTTGGCAGGGCAGTCTGTTCTGTTGGCGAGACGAACAACACTCAGGACTCCTCACCGGGCCTCAGCGATTTTGGGAAAGTGAGTCAACATTTACATTATGTACTCGGAGCTCCGCTGCGGATTCACCTTTTTCGGCGAACAGAGAAATATCATGTCCGCAAAAAAATACCCACGTGTACATACATGCTTCCGAAACAGCTTCCGTTTTACGACCGCGGACGGGGTTTTACGCGACACATCCTGCAGAAAAATAATACTGCAGACTTCCGGCCAAAACGCGCGCCCCAGTATTATTTCGCGAAACGACCTCGCGACAATTTGGTTTATATAATATATAACGCGAGTATATTGTATTATAAGAGAGTTTACCATTTTTTTTTTGCAAAGTTTCTCGGGAAAATAATAATATGATATCAGATACCAGAAACAGATAAACTGTTGGTAAAAATTTGTAAACTAGTTCCACGTGACAGTTGCATATGAAAAAATAACAATTCTCATTAATGTAATGCGCAGTAATAAGTCTGTATATTAAATTAATGCTCAAGATTATTTAGGGAATAATTTCTTTCTAATGTACTCACGCGTAAAATGCTCCAAGTAATTTCGTATTCTAAAGTCGGAAGTTATAAAATTTTAAATGTATACTCTAATTACTCTTGTGTTTAGTACATCAATTAAGAAATATTCATTAAAACGTTTACTAAATCTATAATTTGTTCGCGAAAATTCTCCAACGATATTCCGCTCTCCAGGATATTTAAATAAACGAGACGCGCGCATTACGTCGGTTCGATTCTTGTGGCAGGATTTAGATTGCGATTTCACCGTCTCGATGGCTCGAATTATTTTTCCACTACATAACCGGGGAAAAGTGATCGTCAACAAACACGCGACCGATTGCGTCCGACCTAGATTCCGTTTATCACTCTCGTCGCTCCGCCGCGCTCATAAAATTATATCTCGACCCACTTTAGCGGGTGGAATTCGTCGAGGGATTTCGAGCGTTAACGCACAGGTTCGACAATTACGTCAGGTCGGATTTCTGCCGTGCGCTTCTGACATTACGCGAAGCTCCCGAGATCCTGTCTGATGAAAATACGGAAGGAACGAATCTGCTCTTTCCGCATCGAGTCATTGCGCATCGATTAAATTTCTTGCCGAAATTCGAACTCTTGCAATGGCAGCTTCTGATTTAAAAAGCGGAAAAAAAAACGAAGAGCTTAATGGGAAGAACAGATACGACAAAGAAGGAAAAGGAAAACGGACGAGGAAAGCGCGTGAGAACGTAAATCAAACGATCCACCTCCGTTATCTCGTACCCCTTGCAACGGTTCGCATTAATAAATGACAAGTTTTCCAGAGAAAAATTCGATGCGCGTTGCTAAATGCTCTATAGTTTGTCACTGATGTTCGTTCTCGTGAAATGCTAAATAGATATTCCGAACCATCTCAAATTTGTCAACAATTAAATCTTTTGATTGATTAATTCGCTGTCGCCGTAATGTCTTTCTAAATATATCTTTAGGTTCTATCATTTCTCCCATTTTTAGATATTATATATAGATTTAGCCGTGATAAAACTGTTTTCTTTCTATTTAGTATACCTTATTTTAGTGCATTTAAAATATGTGTATTAATTATTTATTTTTTACTGCGAATCAGAGACAAAAAAAACAGAATTAATATTTCGATATTGTCAAAACCGTTTTCCTGTATCGTTCCAGCGCGTTCAATTAACAATTTCGAAGAATAGAGTCGAGCCATATCGCAAATAAATTACTTTACCAAAAAGAATTTTCCATTCGTGAAACAATATATTAATCTTGTCATTGTGTTATTTGCTGCACGAACGAAAAATGTAGCATGTCTCGATTATCGCAATACACTGCTGGCTATATCGAAACATCGACGGTACAAAATTGTTATTGTTGGTAGCGTATTACAAGCGCGAAATATTTTTACGGTTTCACCATGAAATTGCAATAATCTATACGAGGAAGTGATATCATCTCTCTCATCTATAATAACAAAATATTTTTATCCAATATAATAGTTTATTTTTCACATACGTTCATTTAATGTTCAACAAAGATTTGAAGAAAGATCTTTTTACTCTTGCGCATTATATTTTCTAAATCTTAAGATACAAATAAAAAGGAAAAAGACAAATTTGTGCAATGGCGTATAAATAAAGAGAAAAATGAGGGACGTAATGTCAATAATAAATTGGATAGAATCGTAAACGACTTTGTAATAATAAATAAAATTTTCCAAGTTACAAACTGCACATACTGAAAGCATCTACTTGTACTCGCAATGCTGAGCAAAGCAGTAATACATTTCGTATACCATTTCAAAGAAGAAGCATCGCGACTCCACGGCTCGTTCGGAAAGATAAATAGAATTATCTGAAAATTGTTCGTCCTCGTATCCCCTCGCGTGTGTATACATATTCCCGTAATGTCCGTTATACATGTATATCGTTCATTGCAAATACCGATATTGTGCACTTCCTGCAACGGACGGCATGCAACGACGTTCCGACGAAGCGAGCGCGCGTTCGTGCGCCCGTTTGTACACAATTCGACATTTTTGCCCTTTTACCCTCTTGCTCCTTCAGCCTGTTATTTCTATATCGAACCCATATTTTCCGGCACCGGCTTCACCAGGTGCGCGAATACGCGCGCGTGTATGACACGAGCGTGTCACGCACGCATGCACATTGAATGCACACCCACATTTCGAATCGCGCGTCGCGGTGATATATCGTGGAATTATGGCGATAGCTCGCGGCGTAGTATTTGTCATGGTTTCAACGGTGGGCTTGATTTTATTGCGGCTTTTGGATGTGACGATTAGTTTCGTCTAGCCTCGTCGCGCTCGATACCCAGCAACAGGCATCGGATTACCTGCGAAAATTCGCCATTCGCCCGCGTTACAGGATACAATATGGATGAAACTGAAATTTGCTTTCTCTTTTTCGATTTTCGCAAGAATTTTCGCACATGGATATTGAATCCGAATATTAATGACTGCGATATTACATATCGCTGATACTATTAATTTTAAAAATCCCTCACGCAGTTTTAAATCATTCTCATGGAAATATTTATTTAAATGGCATTTTTTCAGTTAAATGCTAATTCTTTTCATAAATAATCCATAGACACTTATTTATTAATAGAAATATCTAATTTTGTGCCGACAAAATTTCACAGCTATTTAAGCGTTGATTTGAACCGTTGACGACCTTCATTATTTGCATGTTTTCGCTTCGCATTTTGCATATACGCGTTTCTTGCTTGTCACTTGTTAATGCTGCCGATAAGAAATAGTCCCTTGTATCGCGTAATCATCCGTCTCGCTAAAACGACGCGCGTCAGAGGCTGTTTCTCCGCAAAAACAATGCGCGTCGTTTCTGCCATCGACGCACGAGACTCGCATCGTTCGGATGAAATCGTGCGCGCCGAGAAAAGCCACCCTCACCCTTAAAGCCGGAAAAACGGGACCATTGTGATTCGTTCTTCCACCCACCTTCCTCCATTTCCTTTTCCGCTCGCGTCGACAGGGCTGTCTTTATCGAAATTTGCCCGCTATTTCTGTAAATATGTAGAACATACAAACGCATCGTGCTCTTTAAAGTATACGTAATTAAACATTAAATAATATAATATTGAAATATCAGCAATATGTTTTTCACATCACTTTTTTAACTATTGATATTTTTCACGCATCAATAACTGTGTTTTTATCAAATAACAGATATTTATTTCTAACTCAATTTCTAATTAAATTTTAACAATAACTAAAACATTATGAAAGAGAAGAACTATTGATTGTTCCATATTTGTTTGCCAATTTTGTTATTTTTAATAATTTCACACAAGTTACAGGTTTGATTAATAATTTGTTATTTGTGAAAGAGTAAAATAGGTCAAATTTCGAAGAAAATCGATCGAGATTAATGTACCGATTTATATCTCGATTTGAAACTCGCGACGTTTCAAAATTAAATTTATTCGGCTCTTAAGATAAGTGATTTAAATGAAGATTTACGTGTTTATCAAAGCAGAAGGCCACAAATATACTAAGCTCGATCCTGCACATTACTACCAATACGTCGAAGCTTTTTCTCGCTATCGCGCGATAAAATGGACGGTTGCTTGCGTTCTCGACTAATGTTCGCTGGCTGAAACGCCGACATTTCCTCCGTTTCCCATACTACTTTCCCTTCACCATTCCTAGTCGATCCTTTTCACGTGTTTTTGCGTCATAATAAAAGGCATCTCGTCTCAAACCCAGCATCCCGCTCATATTCCAGTTCAATCACTTCGAACTTGGGAACATTTACGATATTTAGATAGTTTCGATATTTATTGAATATTTTTTCTATCGATTTATTACTGGGAAAATGATATTTAAAAGATAATAACAAACAATATCGGCTAAAAAATCTGTGTCTTTTCTATTTATCTAAATTTAATTTACCTTTTCTACAAGGAGAGAATTTTCTCTTAGAATTTACCCTGAAAATCATTTCTGACGGACAATAGGGAACTGGAAGAATTTTACAACAATTTTTCTGATTAATATTTATCACAATAAAAAATATTAATATATGTACGTAATAAATTTTACTATGTACATAGTAAAATACATCGAACATATTTTATATTTTATTGTGGTAGACATTACTATTTTTATTATGGTAAATATTAATTAGAGAAATTCTTAGAAAATTCTTCTAATACCATATTACCCATGATTAGCATGATTTTCAGCGTAAATTCTAAGAGAAAATTCTCTCTGTGTAGAGAAATCATGCGATTTAACGTAAGTTAATATAATTCAATTCGCACAGAGTTATTCCATCGCTTTTCATAACCATGATTTATATAAATTTATATAAATAATTATATATGGATAAGAAAAAAGGAAAGGGATTTAACGCGCTTCATTATTCTCCAGGCAGTTGTCAGAGAGTTGAACAGGCTGGGCATGTTGGTCGATCTCTCGCATGTCTCGACAAGAACGATGAGAGCAGCCCTGCAGACTACGAGGGCGCCGGTGATCTTCTCGCACAGCGCAGCCAGGGCGCTATGCAATTCTACCAGAAACGTGCCGGACGACGTGCTCAGAAATCTGGTGAGTTTTCCACGTCACAAGAATATGGAAATGCAATCAAATACGTAAAAAAAAAGAAAGAAAAAAAACGAGTCATTTCGTTGCTGCTGATACAACATATTTTTCGGAGAGCGAACTATAAGCGAAACGCGCTGTTGCGAAAAAAATGTTACGTCGACTACAATATGTCCGCGGACAGATTTATTTATTTATTTATTTATTTATTCGGATCTCTTTCGATACCGCGTATGTACGCGTCGATCAGTTAGAAAACACTGCAGAATACAGGCGTACAGAAAAAAATGAATGAATACCCCTTTGCTACAAACGATACGAGCGATAGATATAGAAAAAAATCAAGGCGCGTTCTCGAGAACAAAACTGTTAGCAACCTTTGTTCGACGAACATTGAGATTAATTTGATTTCGGACCAACATATATATATCTTTGCATACATTCCATGGCCTAATCAGATCGATGAAGTTAATGAAATTTAATATTGATGCGCGAAACCTCTGCCTGTATCGATACATGTAATATTTAAGAATCAGAAGAGAACAAGCCCAAAATAGGAAACTGCACGTGAAGGATGCAATTATCGATCTTATGACAACACAAAATAGTTTCTCATCAAGAAATTATTTATAAGATTTATAAGATTATACTGCAACTCTGTTATATAAATATGGCAAAGTTGTATAATTAGAGAAAAAGGTGATATTAAAATAATGTTATAGTGAAAAATATAGATACAGTAAAACACATGATATAGTTACGATATGATATAAATATTCGTAAATATGAGAAGAAATAAAATGTAGATTTATAAAAATAAATAACTGCCGGCAACCAATTTTTTTTTATCGTTATCATTTGAACGTATGTAAAGGGAAATAAAAACGATGTAAAAGCAAAACGAAAGATGTACGTTCTGTATACCGGTGATTAAACGCAAGTTTTATCGACAGATCTGATATCTCTGGAAGCGAGATGCGTCAAAATTAAATTCGTAGAGTGCAAACGAAGTGAAGCCAACCGTGTGCAAATCGAATACGATAGGAGAATAGTTTGTAATCCACAAAGTTGTAAAGCGTACGTGGGGCGATATGTGTATGATGATACGTATGTATGTGTGTATATATATATATGTTGTGTGCATGTGTATACATGTGAAGGCATACAAGAACGCAGGATCTATATATTAACAAACACAAAGTATCGGATGTTCAAATTGTTCAAGTTCGAGTAATGAGATAATCGCAAACTATTCGATGAAACCGATGGAACGAGCTTCGGAGGAGATATGTCAAAATGATTTCGAGCAGCGGTAACCCCGGAAACAACGCGCCAAAATAGCGCGAGTGTGTTAGAAGTTTGAAGCTTAATCCACGTTATTATCGGTAATTCTGCGCACACCCACTACTAACGATTGGCGTTAATCCAATTGGCGCTAATCTCGTTCTCTCTGTCTCCCTCTCTCTCGATCGCAGCACGGAAATTTTTCCTCGGTCATTAAATTCGCGGGAAGCATAAACGCGGTATAATAATTGACGTCTCATTAATCGTATAACAGTTGGCTGAGCGGGGACTTAAACGACGCTTCATTAAAATTTCATCTCATTCTCGTGGCGCGTGCCTGTCGATTAACGATTGACGAACTAACGATTAAGCTGAAGGAATTCGAAGTTTGCGAAATTAAATTCAACTTAATGCCGATTAGTTCAACACATCGATTTTATCATAAAAGACATGCAATGCAAATTTTATGCTCTATAATACATTCTAGAGAAAAGGAAAGATAGATATAGTTGTATAAAAAATTAATTAAGATAAAATGTAAAAATTTCCGTATCTTCTTCAGAAATAAATATTAATATAAAGATATATTATAAATAGCGAGAAATAATAGCGTGTTTAGATGAGCAAGTATTAGATTTTATAATAGTAAACTTAGCTATTCATATCATTCCTTAAAAAATCATATTTAATTTAAGAAACGTAAAAATATAATTTTGAACAAAACTGTTGTGGATTAATAATTCATTTTGCAAACTTATTGTTCACGAATGCTCGTTATCTTTTCGAGACACATTTTCAATTTAAAATGATACACATAAAGGATTGTTAGACACCTTCAAGAAAGAAGATGCCTAATTAATTAACCGACGTTTTCCTCAGCTTCTTGAGAAGTTAGTCTAACATCTCCACACGAACTTCATCCTCTCCCACGAACGCGATCAATATTCCCTTAATTATACCCGCAGAACGAGAGGATGAGTAACAACGATCTAAGCCGGATGGTTTGCCCGGTAACGTGTTATTAACCGTGCCGTCCTGCTGCCCTAATTAACATTGCCCGTGTAGTCTAAACGAAGTTAGGTATCAAATAGACAATTGCGCACTGTGTCCCTTGAAATAGTTTCCCTGATAGCTTCCATTGAGCTGATATCAAAAAATATAACTTAAAATATTAATTAATATTCGATTTATTTCATCTAAATTGCCTACTTTCGATCATGTTTATCGTAACCATCACACTAATTTGCTATTAATTTTCTGGAACACCGATTTGATGATGCAGTCATATATCGTCTATGTATATCTTTAAATGCCTTTTTTATTTAATGTTATAAAACTTATAAAAATAAGGTCTATTGCCTGATTATTATGATAAAACATTATCTCATAAAAATCTTCAAAATTCATCTCTTATTATTGATCTCTTCAATTTTGTGCGTTTCCTAATAAATAATTTAAAAAACTAAATTTTAATCAAATAAAGTATTTTCCATTTATTTTTAGATGCCGGTTAGATTTTAGATGAAATAATATTTTTGAAGCGTGGCTATACTAAGGTGTCGAATAATCAATAATCTGTCATAAATAAATTCTATATATAGCAGTAGAATAATTTATAATATATCATAATTTTGCTATAAATGCGTGATACTACAACATATTCTCTATTATCCATTTAAGAATTGAAAGAAAATACGATCACAGCATGTATGACATTAATGCATTTGTTCGCAGGCTAAGAACGGCGGGGTGGCGATGGTCCCTTTTTATACCTACTTCATAACATGCAACAGCACTGCTACTATAAAAGATGTTATTGGTATGTACAAACGCTTTGTTTGCAAAGTATCGATATTGCATGATACAGATTGCAATTATCATATTCGTCGTATTTTGCGTCATAAAAGAATTGTAAATTTCATTTTCAAAATTAATTTTAAGATAAAATATTATATATATATATATATATATATATAATTCTCAACGAGCGCACAATTTATTTCAATTTTAATATAAAAATCCTTAATATATAATTATAATTAAATATAATTATAAGAATCCTTTAATGCAACTTATTGCATATATTTTTTTTACGGAGAATACTTGCTTCCATTTTAACGCTTGCAAATATTTGAAAAATTCCTTGCCATGATAATAAAAAGATATTTTATTTTACGCATGCATGCGTGACAATCTCATAAGCGCGTTACTTCATAACCGCACATTATTTCCCAGTCACATTTTATTCCCTCGGGTAAACGAGCGCATATGCATTTATATTAAAATATAATAAAATATTTTGTGTGACGCGCGCGCTTTACGCGCCACCATGACGGGGAATGATTAAGGTTCTGCACTGTTTCAGCACACATCAATCATATTCGAAAGGTGGCGGGGATCGATCACGTCGGGATCGGAGCAGGTTTCGACGGGATAAATTTGTAATTATTCTTTCGTTATATTTTCTACATACACGAGGCATAGAGATATTCAGAGACGCGGAGGTCGTTGCCATATAACTCATTCAGTTCAATAATATTTATGATTAATCTCGTTGAAAGATACGAATCGCGCAATAAATCTGCACAGCCCCACGTAAATATGTATTTAACCCACAGAGTTTTACTTTTACAACAGTCGGGATAATTGCTTCGCTTGTTTTGAAAAGGGTATGAGTCCCAGGAGGTTAATTTTACGGGGGGTCACATGGAACAATGACGAAGGAGCTGCTTTTGTTCTATAGCCATGAAACTTTCACAAAGTACTTATGATGATTCTCATAATGTATACTATAAAATATATCTCTGTTAATATAACTTTCCGCGATTCTGTTTCATGGTACCCTTTAAATGTTAAACTGATTTTATTTGAACATTTAATGTGGTTCTTAATTATAATACTTTATTATATTAGACACAAAGAAATTTAATTTCTTGTTGCTGCAACATATTTCTTTAAAACCATCAAAATTCATTATTAAATGAAAACACAGAAACATTTTATGCTCCATTATATTAATATGCATTCTGCATTAAACTAATTTTATAAGATCAACATTTCTGTATTCAAATTCAATGCTAATTATAAATTAAAATAATAAGACTGTTCACAGAACTACTAAAGACACAAAAGCTTGTATAATTAATTTAAATTTAAATCAATAAATGAATTCTTTTTGTACATTACGTATGTGTATAAAATTGAAACAGAATTAAAAGTATCAAAAACCAGTCATATATGTATATACTAAAAATAGTGTAATAATTAAGAATAAATAAATTTTTCAATCGTTCGTTTGTTAGTAATAAAATTTTTTTCAAAAATACCTCAAGTACAGTAATGTCAGCTTAACTTCGTTCTCTGAATATCAACTCGATTGAACGAAATAAATTATTTAACCTTACGCGAAATTTTTGTCCCTTTCGTAGCACTCCCACGGGCTTGGAGGATGTCTCGAGATATCCACAACTATTGGCCACTCTATTGGAAGATCCCACATGGACAGAAGACGACATCAAGAAACTAGCCGGTCTCAATTTATTGAGAGTATTCGCGAAAGTTGAACAGGTACGCTCGTTTTTAACACGCACGGCGTTGTTTTTAATCGGATGCAGGCTACAGTTTTTGTTTTTACGATCAACGTTTATAACGGTTGTAAATAAAAAACATTTTAGTTACGCCAACAAAACACGTAATCCTGTATGACAATGTGAGTTCCAGCGACACAGTCCATAATTCGGGACTATTTGAGATTAATCGCGCGCGCGTTAAATTTATCAGACAATTATTAAAGTTTTAGCACTCTTCGTTCCGCACGTCTGCCAAGTTAATTGAACGCATTATAACTTGTTATTGCTCTTATTTTAACAAATTTATTATTCGTTGGAATTGTTTTGATCAAAATAAAAGAGATAAATTTATGTACGTTAAAAAAAGAAAAAAACCAACAAGAACTTTAACTTTTTTAGGTAAATTAAATATATCCAGAATAAAAACTTTTATAAATTAATGGAGAATAAAAAAAATTACAATAGTTAAATGATACGCAAATATTATTTTCCGCGGTTGCAAATAAAAATTAGCAAGTATTATAGTAACTCGTTATAATATTTTTGTAAAAAAAATTAGATTTCTTGACAATTTAAGAAAATTCAAAAATCGACAGATCGATTCCTCTATCGTTCCCTTATCTTACTACAGTATGCAATCATGATCATTTTTGGAAAACAGGTTCGTGACGAGTGGCACAGAGCGGCGGTATTACCCGTGGAGAAGATCAGTCCACCAGACAATTCGGCCTGCGTCTATGGCACATCCTGATCCTCTTTGAGGACGTTCGTGCCGGGATTTCTCGATTTTGCGCGATCGCCGAGGATCCTACGGGTGCCGTGGCATTACTGGAGTCTGTAAGGACGCGTGTCCTGAATCGTCAAAGGAAGATTTTATGAGAAGAGCTCCACGGATATCTCCAACGGAAACGACCAACTAATCTACACCGAAAGAACTGCCGACTACTTCTACTTCAGGGATTCCATCGCGCCTTAACGAAACACGAAGATTCAGCGCGGAAACGCGACCAGTCCTTCGAAATTAATGGCGTCGTGGATCCTTCGGAAAATCATTTTTAAGACAACAAGCTTCGTTTGCCTGAGATGTCATTCGAAAAGAAGATATTGAAATCAACGCCATTCACGATAATAACGTAAATTGCAGTCATCACATTTGAAAAATAAATTGTCCGTCTCCTATAAAAACGCGCCATTTAATTTTGTGCAATATTGAGTAAGAATTACACCTCATAATGTTAAAGAAAGATTAATGACTGTTTTTAACTCAGTACTTTTAGCACGCTTATAAATTATTCAGCATGATTTTGCGATTATTTATCAGGCATTTCCGTCCAGACTTTAAACTTGACTTAATAATATACGTATTCATCATTTCACAATTCGCATCACGAGCATTAAAGCACACATGCTTTATAATATATATTCTAACTTGAAATCAATAATAATCAGAAAACAATACGGAAATAAAAACATAAATTGCAATTTCTTAACTTTCGCGTTATCAGTTACGGTGTTTTTTTTATGCAATCACAAAGACATACAGCCAGCTTATTTGTGTTATTGTATTAATCGTAAGGCGGTCGGAAAAATCCTCAAAGTTCTTCTTGAAAGAGATAAAGACTTTAAATTCTCAGCTCACATTTAGTTAGTATCAATTATATGGCCACCTGATTCTCATATCATGCGATTACAGCACACGCAACACGCGATTTCCATATTAGATAAATAAAACACAGAATCAGACAGCCATTTATAGCGTTGAATATGCAAGAATACGAACAGATTGTACGTGACAATTATATGTGATTAATCATATGAATTGGCATTAAAACAAAATACGTATCTGAATACAGCAAGAGTATCATTATAATCGTTACATTGTTCTTTATATTTGATTTGAGAACAAATGTAAACGACACTGTTATACATCAAACATAATTAGATAAAAAATTCTTAGACCTTTTTAATTTTCAACATTAAATACTTTAATAAATAAATATTTAATAAAAATTCTTCTATAATAAAGTTCGTTCGAAATTAAATAAATCTAGAATAAAAATTTCGTTACACCTGTTTATACTCTTTAAAAATAATATAATGAATAAAAAATTATCATATCGTTGCTTATAATTGAAAAATTATTAATATTAGTTTTTAAGAAGAAAAAAAATGAGACTCCAAGTTTGTCAATGAATTCGCCATCGATGGCACTTGTCAGTGCAGTTTTAAAATGCCCTATATATAACGATTAAATCAGACAAGTGCACTTATAATGTGCGAATATAACAAAATCTCTAAGGAAAAAATTAAAAATATGAGACAAATACCAAGTTTCTAACTATAAACTAAAAACTTCAGAAATAGTTTCCACGCGCCGATAAAAAAAAATACAAACCTCGCTTTATAGCAAGCTTCTGTAATTGATAGCAATGCAACAAATTGTATTTTCGTGCTAATTTCGCATCGGTCCTCTATTTTCGAAAACTAAGTAATTACTATATAAAAGTTAAAGAAATTAACATTTCAGATAATGTATGTTATTATAGAGGCATTTGACGCTTTCAACTGAATCAAATTGCTATACAGAATGTTAGCTATTTTCGAAATCTGTTTCTGTTCTACACGCAGCATGTATCATTATTTCACGCTATTTGATTACACTTACGTGTATATATATACATATGTGTGTGTATATATATATACATATAATACGCGATTCGATTCGTTGCCGATATTAAACACTGCCAAACTGTGCTAATATTGGACTTTACGAAGACTTTAATTTACAATCTAATATTTGACACGTTATTCTCAGTTTAAAAATATAATAAAAATGTAGCAATACATTTTGTTGTTAATTATAACTGCAACAAAAGAATTGTTGACTACAATTTGCAACCAAAATATTTTTACATATTCACGGAAACAAATTTATCAAAGCGGAATAAATTGGATATTATGCAATTTTGCTTGCGTTCCACCGCTGCACTTGCTGCACCGATTGCACGAACCGTCGTTCTGAATCGTCCTACAGCCATAAGTGCTTTGAGAACAAAATCGATTTTACAAATCTCATGCAACGCGTAACGCGACCTATATTCTTCGCAAGTTATCGTTACGTAAACCGTTAATTTTGAAAATGGCGTGAACAATTTTCAGAAGAACTTACGAAGATACATTGCATGAATTTGTATTCCAGAATTTAGGACACGTCAAACTTGGACTCACGCTACTTTCAAAATAGCTAAACGACCAACAACTCCTGGATGCGTCGCAAATAGTTTCGTGACTTTCCTCAGGACTGTGATATTTTTCCGCGGGCCTCGTGAAACATTTCGTGCTTCCACCTAAACAAATCGGGACGCGTCGCTGAAGGGAGAAAATGTACCGTCGACAAAAATTATGTATGTACAATTATTACGAGTCGAAGATATATATAGGTACGTTACGATCAACGTTCATTAAAGTGATGTAATAGTTGGTTTAATTACAGATAAAAATACTTATTTCATAAAAGGTATAAAATATTTTATAGAAGATACTTCACGAATATTTCCAAACTTTAAGGAAGACAAAAAAAGCGCTGGAACTTTTAATTTTGTGCTCACGTATTCTGTTAGAAATTATAGTCCTGCTTCTATTATACAAAAAATTATACAAAAAATTTATAAAAAAAAAGTATAGCTTAACCGATCATTATATCGCTTTAATTGAATGAATTGCGAGACAATGAAGGAAGAAAAGAACCGTGTGCATTTAGTCGATACGCCGAAATCTTCAGATTACGACTTTATAATATCGCGTTAAAATAATAGCGAAGGATAGATTCGTAGCAAAGACGACGAGAAACATAGCGTAGTCTATCGTGGACCGTACATCTACGAGAAACTTCTCCATACGTAAATACTTTACCAAATATTCTCAAACACACGCGCGCATACGTTTATGCATTATGTAAAACGATTGTTATGTAAACGATGCCTTCGACGACTCGCGGCGTTATTTTACGAGCAACGGAATTTTCGTCCGCACGAAAACTGTCAGAGAACTAGAACTCTTGATGAGAAACATGTTTTTGCAACATTAGAAAAATTTAAAGTGCTTAGTCATTAATTAAAAATATATCGTTGGCTGTACTCTTCCCCGCGTGGCTGCATTTAAATCGCGATTCAGCAAAAAAAAAATCCTTTTTCCCTTGATAAAGCTATATGAGCATGCATTTATCTCGAGAGAGATCTAGCGAATACATTAAAAATTATGAAAAAAAAAGTTTACAATTTTAATCGATAACCATATTAGCGAGACGCTGCTCCCTTTTACATAAATTATAGCGGTAATAATGCAAGTAATCGCCAGATAGTCTACTGTTAAGTAGCATAAACGACCAATAGGAGAATACGCATAATTTTTAATTCGTAATTCGGAGTAAGTTTAACAAGTACGTAATTACGGCACTTTGCTCAATACCACCAATTAGGACATCAAGGGGAGAAGAGACACATACATACTGTTCTTTCCGTAGTATTTCCGTAATATAAATCCTCGTAATTTACCACGTTTAGATGAACAAATGCGACTGTCATAATTATTCTTTATAAATAATTTATGAGATCTTTCCTTCTCGCGCGCGTAAACGCGAGCGGATGCCGAGACAAATACTAAAAATCGACTCGAATCGAGAGAAAACCATAGATAACCATTTTGAGTGTGTGTATGAATCGCTAACACATGTGAGCGAGATAAGAGAAGAGATATGTATTATCAAAGTCCCGAATAATTTCGAGCGCTTCGAGAAGAACGCGAAAATTGTATCCAGATAATGTCAATTATTTACGCGCGAAATGAATTTTATCGAATATATCTCGTATCGATTTGACAATCTACAATCATCGAATTTTGTTTGTCTTGTCGAAATAAAAGTTTTGTTTTACGACCAACACTATTACTTGAGATATGAAAAAAATCAAATTGAAAAAGATGGATGTAAACGTTCTTTTCTCGAACAGCTCGACTATTATTCTCTCGATAGATCAACGTGTTCATTTTGTAAAACCTAACATGTAGGACGATCAATCATGCATATATAGAATCCATTTTTTCTAAGATGACTTAATCGAAGAAAAATAAGAGAAAAGGGCAGAAGAAAGACAATGGCAAAAAGAGGAAAAGAAAAATCTTAGCTATATGAATTTTAACGTATATAACATAAAACACACAACTGCCTAGAAACTCAGATTAATATAATATTATACTTATATTATATTATATACAATTAATAATGACATGTCTAAACGCACAACAACGGGCGGGTTTAATAAGACAAGACGTGCATGTAAATAGAATATATCCAATCATGATTATGTGTGAAATGTACATACAGAGTATCCCAAAACCGCCAGAATATATTTCAATAATAAATATTAGAGGCCACATGTACACAAATTAATAATAATATTTAATATTTATAATGTTAAATATATTTGTAATGTTAATATTTAGTTAAATTGTTGTGAGTTAATTCTATATATAAAAATATATTTGAGAAGTGAAAGCTTCGAAGAGTTAGAGACATAATAAAATCATTTAAACTAGTTTTACGTTGATAAAATTTTTATTACCACATCTTATTATCATAAAATTGAGAAAAAAAAATTGTATTTCGCGAGATTTTCGCTGAACATCAGCTCTGCTGAATATAATAATAATCGAAGTGCTGGTAGTTTTGAGATGCTCCGTACAACAGACAGAAAGAGCGAATCAGTAATCGTAACTGTACTCGAGAGACCATAATACATTTCTGACCGTAGCTACGATTTTTCACTTCGTCTGGCGAGAATTATGTACTCCCGACTATTCACCGCGAAACAAGTTTTGCGGTCGAACGTAGATATATCGAGCAATGCGAGCAAAGATAAACGTCGATCAGTCTCCACTACATCTAGCCGATTTCGCCTGTTATCTCGGCAAAGTTGCTAGTTTAAAAGTTAAACGCGTCTCACAGATATATCTCACACTCTGAGCTTCTTCACACTTCAATAATGCAAGTAGAAGAAAAATCATCGTATATCACGCTAAATTGTTAAATGCATTTTCTGTTTTTCGTATACATACATAGACTTTGTCAGTACGAGGACTTTTTCTTCGCTGATCAAGTTTAACTCGACTTAATATTTTATTCAATTGAAATAATAATTTAACAGTTTAAGAAAATTTAATATCTTTCACCGATTCTCTTGGCACCAAGATTCTCGAGATTCTCTGAAATGACGCCGATCGTTACCGGCATAAACAACGGAGTCGGAATCGATACCGAGAGAAGTTGTACAAGTTGATCCAAGAGGGGATAGCTGTAAATTTCTACGGTAAACTTCCAAAGAGATACGACGAGAAACTTTCGACCGCTCGCATTCTCGATTTATCACTTTGTTGAACGCTCGAGATGAATCCTAGAAAAAAGTGACGAGTTGGAGCACTTTGGAAACGCCATTCTTAAGGGTGTTGCCGTTTATCGTTGCGAGAACTCGGGAACGAAAGGTGAAGTGGGAGGCGTTTAATGGAAATCTCATTATCAACAAATACAAGTACAATCAGCAGGATGCCTCGAGCTGTTCGATGTGACTATATACAGCGTATAAAAGTTTTTAGAAAAATTTAACTATGTGACGGGGCGAGAGAGAGAGAGAGAACGAGAGAACGAAAGAGAGTAAGCGAAAGCGAGAAAGATTGTGAGATTCGTGCGATAAAAATACATTACAAGAATTAAAGCATATGGCCAGAAATAATTAAAGAGACTATGAAAATGAAGATGATAGAGAAAGTTTTAATAAATTAATTCTTAACGCTATAAACAAGAGACACTATTGATACTACCTAAGAAACATAGCATATATATACGCGATTATACACATCTACACACAATCAGAAAAAGGAAAAGAGAAAAATAAACAGATAGAAAGAAAGCAACAGAGAAAGAAAGAGCGAGGGAGAAAGAAAAGTAAGAAAAAGAGAAACATAAACACATGTACATGGCATCCTATGAAATAATTATAAATATATACTGATATGTGCGTAATTACATTAATATCTAATATGCAGATTAGGCATCGATGTACTTGCGGACGTAAAACATGCATGAGACTAACTCTCACTTGCTATTATCTATATGAGAACAGATAAATATATACTATACATATAGGATGTTTAAGTAAAAAACTATTGCCGGTTTTTTTAAATTTATTTTTCTTTGATTCATTTTAAACACATTCTTATAATTTCTTGATCTTTAATAATAGATACTAAAGAGAATATTAGATATTTTGATAAGTAAATCTCTTATATTAAAATTAAGATTGTTAAAGTAATATAATAATTAAAATACTAAATCTCAAAATAAAATAAAAAATAAGATTTTATATTAAGTATTAACAAAAAATTCCATTTTTAATTGCTTATGTAATACTATTTTAATACATCAAAATTTTTATTTGAAAGGAACTTGGATTTCAATTGATTAAAAAATTTATACAGAAATAGAATGGCAATAGTTCTGATGCATCCTATATATAACAAAAGAGAAAAAAGAGAGAGAGAGAGAGAGAGAGAGAGAGAGAGAGAGAGAAAAGTGTGAATGTATAAATGAGAAACAGCTCGCGCGAGAATGCAAAGAGAATAGGAATAAACTAATTGAGAATTTTTTAAAAAAGTCGAGCCGCGTTTTTCGAGCGCAAGCTCGCCGGCTCTGACAAACTTAGGGAAATATTTATAAGTGATACATTTACTTGAGAGCAGTTTTTAGTTAGAGAGTGAGAAAGGTAAAAATTTAGATCGTGTATAAACTAATTTTAGACATTTCGTTTGGTTTGATGTTAGAAATGATCCGGAAGAGCGTCGAATCGATCGTCGTGTACGCGCGTGAACTGCGGCAATAAAATCGAATCGTATGAATTAATTTACGATCGTGTCTGCGGAAAATCAAGTCAGATTCTTATCGCGATGGCAGTTTGCAAAAAGAATTTTCTCTTGTGCGTTGGCTTGTCGAAGCATACATATATATATATATAGCGTAATTCGCCTCCTGCAATTTAACCGGCTTGCATTACATTAATTAGACACTCTTACCCTGCTATAAAATTCAATTTTACAATAAGTATGATAAAGCATTTTAGCAATGATCAGCAACATTTCTACTCGATTTCTTATTACTAATAGATGATTGTTGAATTTTTAGCAATATATACATATACAAGTAAAGAAAATTGTTACAAGTAAAAAAAGATAAGCGTTTAAAGAAATATATTTAAAGAGATATTTCGTGCGCGCGCGAAAGAGTGAAGCTTGCAAATAACAGGAATTATTACGCCATTTTACGGCGTATAGATCAAGTTATTAGAACGAATAGATAATCTTGCAAACTTTAGCCGATAAATGCGAAAAGTATTAATCTGCGACACCTTGACGAGGAAAACTGATTCGATTTTAAATGCCAATCATTAAAAAAAATTGTTACTTTGCGTAACGAAGCGGATTTCGCAAGGACGAAGACGATCGCAACGGCGACAATTTTATCTACGTTAATCTAGAAGACATTGCTGGAACAATGATTTGTACGCCTTCTATGAAGGACCCTAGAGTACATTATGTTACCTAATACTCGTAAGCACACACATTATCTAATAAATATTATTTACAAAATCAATCAAACTGTAACTATCGTAATATTTATTTTATAATTCCCCCAATACTGCTATAAATTTTTATTTAAAAAATATTTCATTTTTAAAAATTATTACAAAATTAAAATATTATTTACATTAAAGAAAGCATTTTATTTTTATAAAATGTAAAATTAAAATTAGCCGTTATATATATATCAAATTTTACGTTTTAAGTAATAATGAAAAAGTAATAGAAGTACATAATTATTACAAAGTACATTCTAATGTCAAACTAAAAAAATAAAACACATTAACATTTAACAAATTGATATTTGTATTGCCCGCGTCAATATTGATATTTATTATATCTTTGCCTGATAGATATTAATTATAAGTTACCTTTCAATTTTATTTTGATTGACAGTAATGAACCGAAAGCTTGGCAAATATGAAAAGTTATGTGAAAAGTACGTAACTAAACGTATTGTATATGCTGACGATAAAACTCATCAGTAAAATTTAGTAAAAGCTTAACAATCTATAAACTGTACAATATATCGATATGCTAATGATCAATAAATCTAATTTATATTTATGGTTGACTTCTCTCATCAAAGAAATATTAAAGATATTAATGTCTGCTAGAATAACTATAAAATAGTATAAAATATCGCGAGAATATCTTTCAACAGAGAGACTTGACCTTCTTAATCTATAAATATTTAAACTTGACACATTTGTTTAGTAATAAAAATAACCAATATCGGAAAAAATAACATACCGGATTAATTGCGATATCCAATATTATATTTTCTTACTACGTATGTAAATAAAAATAGAATTATATTGCCAGAAATATAAGAAAAATCCCAGATATAAGAAAATTAAAATAAGATTATATAAACTTAGAAGATAAAATTAATAAATGTTAAAATAAAAAAGTTTTATAAGAAATATCTATACATTTTGCATTATATGTAACAACAAAATTTTATATATGTATATATATATATTATAGTCATCAAATATTGTATTATAACATTTTTAAAATATTTGTTCTCCTTTTTATTTATATCTATCTATCTATCTATCTACATGTATCTCTAGATATATATCCATCTACCACAGAAGTCACCATTTGCACGCTATCTAGCCGTAAGTGACTCATTTGATACCGTCGTAAAATCGACGGGTAAATACATAATAGTCGTATAACCGACCGTCGAGAGAGAAGAGGAAGGAGACTGTGTGGATCCTTATCCTCTCAGAGAGCAGAGAGAAATTGGCGATTTAACACGCATTGATCTGCCGTGTTGGCGAATGCGCACTGCGAGGAACCGCGCCGCTCCGGCCGCGGAGATTTTCAGCGTGTCACCCCGTATAAAACCGTGACCGGGGTCACGGCGCGATACCAACAGGTGATGCTGAGAAAGGAGGAGGACACTCCCTCGAGCAGTATCTCGTCGAGCGTCTCTCCCCCGGGTACCGCCGATCGCGACGATGGTGATTTAGTATCGTTCTCTCGAGCCTATCATTTATCCTACACCCTACGGATTTTGCTGACTACCGCCAGGATCCGTTTACAAGGGCTGCGAAGGATAAACGCGCAAGGATCAGCCTAGTCCTCTTTGGCGCGCGCCAGTGGAATAAGGGAGGAGAATCGAGCGAAAACCCCGGTGTCTCGGTGAGATAAACGACGGGAAAAGTTTCGATCGGTCGATGATTTAGTGGATAGACCGCTTAATAGTGTTCCCCGTGATTCTTCCCGCGCGTACGTTCTACTCGCGCGAGCATCCGAGTCGGGATGTAGAATTAGGCAGTTGACATGAGCGCGGAATCGACTCGCGACGTACGATGATCGAGTGTTCTCTTCAATGCGCTGGATTTTGACAAGGTGAGCGATTTTCAGATCTCTAATCTATCTTTCTTTAACTAGCAACGGGCGAAAAGCGAGCTTGAAATACATATACATATATATATATATATATACAATAGCTGGATCGATAAATCATTGCAATGTTTATAATATTCCTATTATTTGCAATTCTAATTAAATATCGTTACTGAAAGTTCTGCAGAAAAGTTGCTTACATTTGAACAGTTTCTTAAATCTAATTTGCTTCATCGGGATGTCCTGATTCGATTTATGCGTACGATAGACATTTATGAGATAGACTCTCAATTATATAAATAAAGAATAAATGTTGAAAAAATATTTATAAAAAGATCTTTTCGAAAAAATATCCTCTCAGTGTGGAGATACAAAACATACGAATATAATGAGAGGATTACGAAGAGGGAATTAAGACGAACGACGAAGGTATAAAATATCGGCGCAATAACAAAGATATTTAAGAATCTTACTGAGAAATGGAGATATTTCAGTGATAAAAATATATTAAAATGTTTTATGGAAAAATATTTAAAAGAAACGAGAAAAAGAATCCACATTGCAGTCAGATAGAATATTTCATTGTTCAACGGACTGGACTTCACTTTATGCAGAAATCTTATAACGAACATCTTTACTCTATATATACAATCATTGATTTCCTCTTGTCGCTCTACACTCAGAATCTGATTGCACCTGATTTATATACTCTGATTTATTAATAACCGAGTCCCGATTTTAGTACAATTTTTCTCTTCAGTTCGCTGGCCTCAATAAAGCTATCAAATTATAATCTGAGATATTCTGAAGATTAATCGATCAGCGCAGCTTCTCTTCTCAATGTAGTTTCATTTCTATCAAGTACAGATGCACAAGAATATCTCTACTGACTTTAAATGAATATAACAAAGCGTTATAAAATACAATAGATTAAATATATCAATAACTCGCTATACGTATTGCAAATTCTCATTTCACATCCAAGAAAGCATTGTAGAAAACGATTTGTGAAGATTGCATTAACATAGTCAGTCATGATGTCACATTAAACAATTTATGTCATCTGAAAAGCATTGTCTTTAGAAGTTTAATTATTTCGCGGAAAATAATGAAAGTAAAATGACGAGACGAGAGACATGACACAAATACGAATCGCCATGAATATCATCATGTTTTCTTAGTTTGCCCTTCCCGCTGTTCGTAACACGTGTCGGAACAAAAATAAAACTATCGTCGATGCTCTCGATGCGGTGTCGAAAATTTTCAAGTTTATCAAGCCATGTTATTGATTAGCACTTTGAATTGTGCACATTACAGTCTGTGCCGCATAAGATGGCATAGCATACAAAATATTAGTAACAAAACGTTAGAGTGAAACAGTCGGCTTGTCAATTTCAATGGAGCATTGATTCGCGATTATCTGTTTCATCGGTGAAGAAGAAAGCCAGACGTACACGAGCGTAATTAATCGAATTTGGTTCTTCGGATGTGAAACACGGGATACCGACGAAATTTTGTAACGATGAAAAAAGCAAAAGAATAGAGAAAACTGTATATATAGGTCATAATTTAAATAATATTTTAAATATATAGCATCTCTACAAATATGTATTTGGAACGCGTGCATTCGTCTACGAAAGCAAAATGCGATGCACATAAGTAGTAGAAATATACCTTTATGTACTATTCCAAAGCATAATATATAAAGGTACATATGTATATGAAAAGGCAACATGTATATGTATAGAATATATGTATGAAAATGGCAAGGTGAATGATTAAATACTCATGAGCAACTATGCGCGAGGACTCAGCATCAAGAAGATTGCGTTATGAAGAGTAATTAAAAATGCAAATTTAAATGGCAGAGTAATAGCAACTCGTTAAATCTCTCATTTATACGCGTATATACTTTTATATTCTCTAAGGCAATACTTGGAAAATTTATATATGCTTTGATAATAACTAGATAAACAAAACATAGAGATAACAATAATTTTGTAGAATATATCACATAAGTTAATGCACTCTTTTTTGCTAAAAACTAATTTCTTTTACGAATATGATAATAATGTTAATCGTAGCAGATAATTTATTATTGTTATTTACAAAAGCATTTAGTTTTTCAATTAATTTTAAAAATAAGTTTTATGTATATAAATATTTTCGTGTTAATTTCATCTGAATTTACTTTATCATTTATGGCAAAGAAATATCCGACGTTGATTACATCGATATCCGTAACGACGTAGGTCGTATATCGAAAGAATAGAAGTTTTTTATCCCGTTCTTTTCGTGAACACTCAGCGTTTACCTTGTTTGCTTCAACATAACATCTCAAAGGATTAAATATAGACCGCGACCTCTCCATATATATTTGCACAATATTAAGAAAGAACGATATATAACTCAATATATATATATATATATATATATATATACATATAGTCTTATATCGTTCTTTCTTAATAGCGTGTAAATATCATATAAACGAATCCGATATATATCGGATTCGTTTATTAAATGCATAAAAATGTAATATAATCATTTGTTATACGGCCATCTGTACGCAATCAATATTCATTCTCAATAGTTTCGTATAATATATTAAAAGCATAATTGATATGCCATAATATACTAAAAGGAAACGTCGGAAAAATATTGTTCAAGATAAAAATATTCTAGAATATTGGCTGGACGTAGAGGAAAACGTTTTACGTGCGCGTCTCAGGTAATTTCAGAAATCAGAGAGAGTAACATCAAAACAGTTATAAAATTATGATGAGTTCAACAAGAATCTCGCGTGGCAACGGTCTGGAAAATGATTGGAAAACTCGCGGAAACCGATATTTTTCGCGATACATTATTTAAACAAGTCGTATGCGATAGATCAAAAACCTTTAATTGAACAAGGAAAAACATATGGTGTAGAACGAAAGGTCGTGGTTATGCAAATGGAACTGGCCGAGTCGGTCGTTATGGTAACCGACCCTCTGCACAAGGATCGAAATCCATTATTTATCTCGGTAACGTAGCACTCGGACTCATGACGAACGCAAGAGCACAGGTGTCAGATGTTAATAATCCAGTTAGATATAGGCAAACTACGCGAGACCGCTTCGAAAATACATAGCATTGCTGAAATCGCGGATAATTCAATCAAAGACAAAAATCACGCTTTCGTGAAAACGTCAGCTATAAAATTCATATCTTTTTATTTTAACTACATCCAAATAATTAATATGCGTTATATGTGTTACGTATGTTAGATGTGTAAGAATAAGAAAAATTACTATTTCAAAATTAAGTTTGAAACATTCTTTCAAGTTTAAATTTAATTACGTCTATCTGAAAGATCGTATATAAAGAGAACATCCAAAATAGTATTTATAATTTTATTTTCATAAAAAAAAGACTTCAATTGAATCAATATATGTATAATGCAATATGTCTCATTTAAAAAATTTAGTTTAGAATATATCAGTATAAACTTGTTGACAAATTTATTATATTCTAAAAAATGATATTTTTGAATAAATAGATTTTCAATACTAAGTCTACATTGTCGATAGCGAGCGATATGGTCATATTTCGCATTAAACTAATTCATCGCATTAAACCAATTCAATTAAAAATTTTGAAATAACATAGCACGGTACATTTTCCTAAATTGAGTACTACCTTGTGTGGAATGAACTGTGAAAAGCAATCCAACGGAAAGCAGTTTCTTGGAAGCCTGTCGGATCGAATCATTCTAAAATAGCCAAGCGGAATTCGTGCAATTTAAGTAGATTTGTACACGTACTGTTGTAAACAGGCAAGAACAAGAGCGATTACAAACTACATTGTTAAATCGCGTGTATTTATTATTCACGAAATTTCGTGTTATATCTATCGTGAACAATATACGCAAATTTCTGTCATCAAAATGCATTATGTTGATGCACACGAGTGCACAATCGTCTTAATTTTTTCAGTCAATTAATTAATTAAATGATGACAAAAATCTTTTTTTTTGTATGTGTAATGCAAGCTGCATTTTCCTAAATGTTGCATAAGTTTCGCAATTCACGAAAGTATTTAAATATTTGTATATTTAAAAAAAAAAAACAGATTATTTTAACTCGCAGATATATATAAATTTCTGCGTGCGTTCTCTTATGCAAGAGATAAAATATAAAAATTATTTCAAAATAAAATTCTAAAACGCGCGATTTTTAAATACAAATACATTTATATATTTGCCAAGGAAAGAGACAAGTTTAAACACAAGCAAAAAAACTAGTTTGGCACAGCGAGATTTGCATAGTCAAAAGAGGAACTTATTGCCGTTGAAAATCTGTGGTAAGCGAAAATGGCCAACTTTTTGAGACATAAAGAAGGATTGCGACCGCAACTGTGAAGAGGGATTTGAATCGATAGGAAACGCGCGAAGTTTCGACGCTGAAAGACGAAATGCGAGAGGCACAGGCATACGAACAATGCACTTCTGACGCATCCGCCGTGCATACACGAAGAGCGATGCACACCGACGACATACTCAGATAATAACTCTCACGTATACATTGTGCGGAACGTTCGAGTAACGTATGCGTGGCTAGGTGACGAGACAATATATACAAATGAGTGTCGATGTGTTGGAAAGTACACTCGGTGCTCGTTATGCGTACACGTCAAATTAAAACGCGGAACGACGCGGCGCTATACGACGAGCAGATAAAAGATCGCGCACATAATACCGCGAGATGAATTCGGGATTGCTAATTAACTTGCGCGGCAGCATCACGTTTCCACTGTTGCGAAATGAAAACTTTGTTTCAAATAAAACTATGGATAAAAAGCAGATTGTAAAATAGAAATAAAAATATCAATTTTCGACTCTTCTATCTACTGCGTGCATACAAATAGCGTTCTTTTTTTTTAATCTTGTTTTATCTTCAACAATCAACTTTTTTCCTTTTTTAATATTTAATGAAAAATTTTTTATAGAATTTGGGGTCGTATGTTTCTGAGGCACAAGAATCTGGAAAACGTGAGGGTGAGCAATTTAATATACATATATATAATTTTTTAACGCGACTGTATAAAGAAAATATCCGCTTTTATGGGTACAGGATGCCACAAGGAAGCATTCAATGGCAGGGGACGCAGAGAAGAGCCTGCGGGCCTGGGGCTAATTGGAACGTACAGGTACACTCTCTCATCACTTCAAAATTCAAGGTCGATAATAAGTACAGTGTACATATCATATCGGAAAGATAAGATTCTTTATATCGGCTTCGTTAGTTTAATTATTAAGAAGCAGATAAAAATGAGAGAGAGAAAACCAAATAGTATACATATATGTAGAGAGCATGTACATATTATCGTAGGAACATATGCCTACTCTAATCATTTCTAGCACGAATTTTGCTTGCAGAAATTACTTCCGATAGAGAAATTGCCTCGAGAAAAATATACGCAAATATACAGACACAAACGCACAAATTACAATTATTTCATTATTGCTAGCAAGAATTAGTATCGCTCTCTGCTAATAATATTTGCGTACACAACAATTCTCTTGTATAAATACAAAACTATTTTCAATATAAAGCTCGTAGAGAAAGTTTTTATATAATTTATATAGTTTTTCTTTATTCAATCTATGATTAAAAATTAATCATCTTAGCACAATCCTATCTTTCACTATGTAGTAATTTATATTTACATAAATGGCTGCATAAGACTATATATATTGCTCATAGTTATCAGCACCAAGAAGCGTTACTATGCCGTTATACCGTAATGTTATATCCAAAATCGTAATAATTGACGATTTATCGACTTACCTTGTAAACGCGTTTGTACGTGTGTTTGTGCCGTTACGGCTGATAAACAACTGGACTATTGTCCAGGTTATTAACTGTTAATGGCGGCAATTAAATCAAACAGGTGGTGAGAGGCAAGGTGACAACGCGGTGCTTGTGGCACGCCTGCAAAGCTCTCGGAATTGGGCTACTGCTAATGCTTTTAGGAGCTTGCATGGCGACTATAGGTGAGTAGAGTTATATAAATTAAATATCGGTTCATATACGATTCGATCGAATGCTATTTTATCTTAATCCCAAAGCTACTATCTGCTTCGAGGCAAAGAGCGTTTTACTAACATAAGGTTAACCCTTTGTGGTCTATTTTCTGTCACTTTTAATGAAGCAGATTTGAAATTTCGCAAAGCTATTTTTCATTTATCGTTAGTAAAGTATTTTTTATAAAAGATAGAAATATAAATAAAAAATATTTTTTAATATATGTTCTAATATACATATATTCTTTTAACATATAATACATTTTTAATTAAATGTAATATTTACACATGTTGTAATATATATATATACATAGACCACAAAAAGCTAATCTTTTTCTTTATTATGCGCAAGCTTGCAATTGCTTACGTATGTCTACGTGCATGAATCGAGAGAATTTTAAATTAGATTTAATATTTTTTAAAAACAATTTTTACACTTCATATAACACAGCTATATAGCCAATATTTTTAGCTATCCAAATATTGAATGGTTGCCAGGTTCAGATTTTTTAACTTTAATTAAATATCAAAATATCTATCGGATATATATTATATATAAAAAATGTTTTTTAAAACCACCCATTTTTTTGTACTGCAAACAGGAAAAAAATATCACATAACAGAACAGGAACAAAGTTAATTGAAAAATATTATTTGTCTTAATATATAGTACTTCTTGATATAACGAGAGAAAATAATTCTTCAATTCACGTAACGTTTTATATAAATATTGTATTGTATAATGTTCTTTAAATAAAAAAAAATCACAACAATATTTAAATCGATTCATTATAAGATCTTTCTATATGTATATTTCAATTCTATTCTATCTGATATGATACGTTCCGTTTTATTCAATAAGTGCACATACACATGAAATAAGGGCGTTTCTCTCGTTTCATTAAATAGGATATTATGCAGATCAGCTGTCGGTGGCACAGGAGATCAGAGGTAACATCACGGTAAAAGTGAAGAATGAATCACGCGGATTTCATCTGAATAATCTGAGCTACGCTGGCCCTGTCGTAATGGGTCTGGGAGGTAATATACATTACATATAATTTACGAACGTGATACTCATCCGATTGATCAATTATATGACAGTAATCTCTTTGAAATAGTACTGCACAATAATGGATAGCAACTAATTGTGTGACATTAATCTCTTTGAATTAATGCAACTGCATAATAATAGATAGATATATTATCGCAGAATAAACATTCTCTGCGACATAGACATGATGTATACATATAATTACATGTAATATTACGTAATATTATATGTATTATAATTGTTATCACAATATGATGATAAAGCAACGTTGTTTTAGAAGAAAAATTATATTAAAATTGAAATCTTAATTTTTCATGTCACACATTTTTTTAAATAAAATTAATTTTTAATAAAAATTAAGACATTTTTGCATTATAATTTTTCACTATTTAATTAGTGTAAAATTGATGTATGTATATATATATACATATATATATAATATTCTATAATTTTTTATTTTATATATCTCAAATATATTATTTAATTTTATATGTAAATATATTTTTGTAATAATTTTTTATAAATTACATTTTTATTATACATTAATGATTTGCTATAATTCTAAATAATAAAATTATAAAATTCTACACATGTGTTAATTTTGCACGAAAAAATAGCAAGATCGAAAACAACTATGAACATCAAATAATATGTGTAAAGCGGATATAGAGCGGAAAATTGTAAGTGAAATGGGAAAATGTACAATATATTGCGACATAACGGTCAATAAAAACAGATAGAAACGAGAAAAAAAAGGTTGCCCCCAGAGAGATTTGAACTCTCGACCCCTGGTTTACAAGACCAGTGCTCTAACCCCTGAGCTATGGAGGCTCGTGTTCCAGAGTTAGATGCCTCAAACCTTAGATAAACCAGTGGCACATAGTTCTTTATATATATATGCATAAATATTGTTATTAATTTAAAAATATATTTTTTTAGATTATTTTATGATTTTTCTAATTCGCACGTTCACAAAAAAGTCAACTTTTGATTATTTTAAATAATAAACGATAAAGTAATTATATATTATATATATATACATACATATACTAGATTAAACTTATATGCAATTCGATCTTACAAGTTTAATCTAGTTTATCCACTTTAAGACAACGGATCTGTCTATACAATCTACAAACTACAATCTACAACTACGATCTATAAATCCGTTGCCTTAAAATTAAATAAAAATTTATCTCACTCACCGACACTGATGCACAACAGCAAAGTAATTGATGTTGGAGCTACGTTGCCTGTAACATACAAATATAAAATTTTAATTATAACAGCATTCAAATTAATTACTCTTTCAAAAAGTTATTATTAGATATGTACAAGTTATTATTAGATTTATATTTGGTGCATTAATAATAATAAACTATATATAAATATGAAATAATTTTATAAAAAGAAGAAATAATTTTTTATGTAGCAACCTTTTATATAGGATGCATATAAATATTTATAAAATCTCTTAAAAATTTATATATCTTTAAGTTTCTCTTCTTTAATCATTCAAATTTAATTATTCAAATAAATGAACTCAATTAAATATGATTTATAATGATTAATATATAAATAACGATATGTTCACCTTAGGGTTGTTCTGCTGGTGCCCGATGCCTCTTCCAGGCCTCCTCCTCCTCTCAGGTTGTCAAAATCCGTTGATTAACACGCGCGATATTTTATTATATAACGGCACTCCCGCACTTGTACGCGCGATTTTTAACAGCACTCCCGAATTTTACGTGTTATCTGTAACATACAAATATAAAATCTAAATTATAGCAGCGTTTAAATTAATTAATATATAGTATAGATATATAAGTATAGATATATATGTAAATAAAATTCTGTCATACACATATATCGCACATAAAGAACGAATGTTTGCAGGCTTCATCGTAGTAGCTGCTTGTGTGATGACCTTTGAAGCACGTGACAGTGCAGCTAAGGTGGTACCAGCTCGCTATCGCTTTAACCAAACATCAACGCTAAAAAAAAGCCAACGTAATAGAAGATCGACATCGAGTCAGACAACAAAATGGGACCATCAATTGGGCCTCTTTAGAGTAAATCGCAGCCCGAGTCCCAGCACGCATGAAGTCTCCAGGAAACAACTAACAGCAGAATTTATGCAATTTTCGAAAGATTTACGAGAGAAAGGTGTAGCGCATTCCATAAAGAAAAGCCCGAGTGCGCCAACATTAGTCGACAAAAAGTCACCACGTCGAAGATCGCCTAAATACGCGGGTTGCTCGCTATTGAATCCAGAATTGCTGCAAAGACACGCTCTTTCGGTCGACAATCCGAGCTACAGTCCGCATCAGGTATTTAGTATCTTTTAAAATCTACATCTTACAAAACAAAAATAAAATTGCACTTTTAAAAACAAATTTATGATTTTTATCTTGTCAAATTTGCTATATCGTAGAGACTATTAACTATATTAATTATATCATTTTAAATCATAAAACTCAAAGGAAAAAGATTTTTAAATACGATAAATTTTAATAATTTTTTTTGTCGCCAATGATTTCAACTACACATGCCGATAAATTTATTTTTCGATAATTAACAGATTAGCAGAGAAAGTCTGGAACATCAAAAGAGTGGAAGTCAAGTCTCAATGGCAATGGATTTGCATATTCCGAACAAAGGTCCTGTTACGCTCAAAGTGAAGGATCGATCCGATACAGCAAGACGACATCAACTACTTCGTCAAACAAAAGTGGAAGATGTCGAAGAAGTTGATGAAGCTACGCGACCACCATCGACCCTCGTGCATTCGCCTAAATTGCCAGGTGATTATAAATAAATTTTATTTATGAATCAAAAAAATTATTTTCCGTTTAGATTGGAAAAGAAAGTTGCGGGAATAAGCATTAAAAAAGTCTAAGATAAAGATCAATAATCATAGATTTTCGCTCAGGTGCCTACAGATATCCAGATGACTTTGTGCCAAGAAAAAGAAATTCGATAGACTTGAGATTATTGGAAGAATTAACGGCAGTATCAAGAGAACTTAGTAAGGCCTCACCCCGAGACTTTCGAAAAGTCTCGTCACCAAATTTCCGTAAAATGTCTTTCGATAGAATCGGTGGTGACCGTCGTTTCGATCGAACTTCGCTAGGACATCGTAAGGCTAGTCTCGAGTTTAGAAAAAGTCCTGATTTTCGCAGAGGAGATTACAGGTAATAGAGTATTTTGTATCAACTTTTACACTAATATTTATCTCCTTATTTGTATTTTAATAATTTGCATATATCATTTGCAATTACAATGCTTACAGTTACGATTGCAATTATTAGCAGGTTTAAATTTGTTGCAATCCTATAAATTATATCCTATAATTATAATAATAAAATGATCTCAAAATATATTTAAATAAAAAATAAATTATTTGTACATACTTTTTAAAAAACCGCACACATTTCAATTCAATGTAAAGCTTTAAATCGCAGCTTAGTTATATATACATCCGATCTCTTCTATAAACATTATATTATATTGTATAATAAAACATAATATCTATATTAAAATGTTTAATCATCCTAATGTTTCTCAAGGCAAGCAACGAAATTATTTTTCTAACTAAATTTATAGGAAACTCTCAGCAGAAAGATTCAGTATCGATTGTACCCGCTATGTACCCGACGAGACGGAAATGAAGTCACGAACGAGCAGCGGAGAGATATTGCGAAGACAATCGCGTCATCCTAAACTGCATCATTCTAGATCGGATGACAATAGAAGGCAATCCTTCGATAAGCATTCGAAGGATTCTCAGTCAAGTCGACACTCATTAAACACTCAAGCCGTTGTGGAAGGTTCCGACTGCGAACCCAAGTATTTTACGACAGTGTCCCTCGATACTGAAGAAAGCCGTGCCGACAATTCTGAGGAGAGTCACGTAGTAGACATCGAGGAAGTTAATTTATCCCCCGATGGACCTACGGAAGCTGACATGTTGCTCGAAGAACCGGAATTAGAAAACGACACGGAGATCGATATGGAAAGTTCGGTAGATGATGACGAAAAGTCTCACGGATCGCACAAATCGACAAGCGAGAGAACCGATACGATATTACAAAATCCGATAATTATTGCCGAGGACGTAGACTCGCAAATAATAATTGACGAGGAAACGACGCAGATCGATAATGAGAAATGTGAGACAACTTTATATATAGAAGACGATGAAGTGTGAAGAATAAACAAAAAATCCTCTTGAGGATAATAGCGGATTTAAATTGTGGAAAATAATGATAACATTTGCAAAGCAAAAATATTGATGTTGCGTGCAACATTTGCAGACAATGTTTGTTCGCAAAATTGAGAAGATTATTATAAAGATTTAGCGATAAATCGTTGATCGATCGCGATTATCTTTGAATGCGACTATGCTCAACAACTTAAGATTTAAACACTTAAAAATTTTAACACGGCATAAATACTAACATCACGTACGAATTGCGTTTTGTAACGAGACAATCATTTTTTTATCGGCATCTCGCATTACCTTTCGCATAAAGGTAACAAGCGTGTAATATTGATGACAAATAATTGTTACCAACAAATTTTAACGCGTAGCATGTAGATGGTATAATAGACCTAACATATATATATATATATATAAAAAGTAAGATTTGTTGAAGTATAAACGTGATTAATCATACCGGAGAGATTTTTGTACTTGTAACGAGAAAAAATACAACTTGTACTTGTAAATATTTCAAACTAACTTGTTCGAGCGAATTGATGTGTCAAATCTGATAATGTATAATCAGAAAAACATAGATGACAGGAAGCATGATTCAAAATGAATCTTAAACAATGGGAAATAGTGTTCTTAAAATGCAGAAAATCCCAGATACTTATTCTCAGCTCTAAATACGAGTTTGTGAAGTTTACATGACATTTTACGAATTTCAAAAAAATACTAAGAGTTCTAATAACACTTTTCATAATTCTACAGTTCCCGATAAAAATTTAAAACAATTCCGCATTCCTTATATTAAAAAATTGAAAAGATGTACTACGCAAATCTCTTATAGAACTTATAGAACTTTTGAAAACTATTATTAGAATTACGTAAAGGGAAAGTGTCCTCCTCGATTCGCGAAGTTAACGCGATATTATTTCAATTTCGATTTTTAATATAAGAAATATGGAACTCTTTTCAATTTTTATCAAGAACTATAGAAAAGTATTTTTAAAGCTTTTAATATTATTTTAATTTGTATAACATTGTGCCAACTTCATAAATACTCTAAATATTGCAATAAAGAAAAAAATGCCTTGTTTTAATGTGACAAAAACAATGTTTAAATAATAATTTAATTTTATAAAAAAAATACAAGTAAATAAGAAAATGTATTATTTGTTGTAGAATTTTAAATATACTTTACTTTAATCAAATTTTAATTTATTACACATCTACCAAGGCATTTATGTATGCTAGTAATAAAGTATATTAAAAACCCTATATATGCATAATATACATAATAAATAAAAATTGCAAAAATTAGTTTTAAAAAAGTCTTGCGAAAAATGTATCAATTTGTTGTATTTATACGTGCATTACTTTACGTAAGAAGATTATACATTTACTTACATGCAATATAAAGCATAACTTTTTTACAAAAAAGTACTGATTTTTTTCTACATAAATATATATTTGAGAGCTGAAAGTTTTAATCATTTTGAAAAGGATACGGATCAGTAAAATATGTATTACGTATATAGTAGAAAGATAAAATAAAGATATTTTTGATGTCAATATTATATATTATCTTTTTTATATTTTTTATATTGTTAAATCCGCATACATGTATATATTTTCATTATGTTTAAATTATTTCATTAATTTATTCGTATTTAAAAAATGTCGATTTATATTTTTTAAAGAGTTAATTTGAAGTAATTTTGTAGCAATAAAAAAGATTTTAAAAATTTTTGTATAAAATCTACATGAGAAGTGTGATAAAAATTTCAATATTTTTATTGATTACAAAATCCAATTATCTGCAATAATATTCTTTAAGATTATCGCATTTGATATTTTTAATAAAATACTGTGAAAAAAATACATTTGTTTTTCAAATAAAAGCATGGATTAATTATTTTCTAAAATATGAAGTGTTCTTAGATTCCAGAAAGAGAAATAAGCTATTTTTTGTACATTTATGCACGTAATATAATTTCTTTTTTTATATATAAATTCTGTTCATATGCTTGAATTTTAAATGCAAGTACTTGCAAATTAAGTTTTTGCAGAATTTTATTTTGTATTTTCAGGTTGTATTTGCAGATCAAAACATATTGTTGTAGAAAATAAATATTAGAAATAGCTCATATTTAATATATTATTAAAAGTAAAAATTTTTTTTTTAAATAACGGATGTGAATTAATATGGATCTTATCTAACATCATTAAAAGGGTGTTAACATCATCAAAAGTATCTTTAAATCTCTTCTTGAAGTCAATAAAGCGCTCCTTAAAACAAAACATAAGTATTTATGAAAACTTATATAGATCTCAGATTTCTTCCAATCTGTTGTTAATGCGTTTGCACGCGATTGTGGCCTATTCTATACGTCTTCACTAAACATGTAATCGATGAATTATGTATACACATTCCAGAAACTCAAAAAATCACTTGTTTGACTCACTTAATTAAAATGGAATACAAAGATTTAGGCGAAATGGAAAATTTGATATATAACAATTGTTCTTAATTAAATAACGACGTAGCCCCGCGCATGTAATGTATTTTTATATCTAAACAGCAAAATGTATTAACTCGACGAAAACAAAGACTACAAAAATTGATTTAAGTGTCCATTATCGATCATATAAAATTCTCAGTAAATTTTTCTCTCTCCGTTTTCTGTGTTTGCTAATCTTATAATTTTGTACTATAAAAATCTCATTGTTTTAAAAATTCGAATATTTAATATTCGAATATATATTTACATGATCAAAATTTTGACAAATATTAAAAAATTTTCATTGATTATCTTTCTATCTCTAAGCAAAACTTATACGATCAATATTCTGATTTGAGAAAAATATGTTTTTGCGTTTGAGAGAAATTAATTTATCTTATATAAAAAAAGGTAATTGTAATATACTATTCAATAATAATGCTTATTTTTATTTTAAAATAGACAGCATTATCTTTTGAGATTTTACATTTTTAATCGCAAATTGTTTATAATTTATTTCTATCGATCGAATATTTCTATATATATTCTATGGTATATATTCTCGCTAAATATATTTTTCAATTTAATTTTAATTCTATATTTCTTTACAAATGCTTATTTTAAAGATTGTATAAATAAATATCACATTATTTATCATATTTTAAATATAATAAATTTTTACGAAACAAGATTTTGTAATACTCTATTATGAATTGTGAATAGAGAAACCGCATTAATTTAGAGCTTTTGGAGAGTTTAATAATTTGGCATAAACAAAAGATTATGCTGGCACATAAAAACAAATGCACAATGCTCAAAAGATCGAGATTGTCTATGTGAAACCGTTAAGTAATAGAAAAATTTTATTGCAAAAATCACGATACCTCGATCAATATATACATACGTGTAAAGAATTAATACCTCGATCAATATATACATACGTGTAAAGAATTAATAAGAAGAAAAAGAGCGTAAAAAAATCACAAGAAAAAAAACTCCAACATAACATTGCCTTCGAAAACGCTTTCGACTTCGTACATAATAAATCACTCTGTTAAATATACACTTACATAACCATTAAAATACTTAAAAATTTATAATATAAAATTTTGAACTTTTTTTATAAATATTTAATATAAATTTAAAAATTTTTTTAACTTCTTTATTTTAGTATTCAAAATCAAATCTCATATATGTGATAATCAAATCTTAAACACTTTTTAATAAAAAAAAATCTGTCTAAATTTAATTAAACAAACTCTTAATTTTTATGGTAATTTTTTTTTTTTAATATCTACAATTTGGAAATAAAAGAATAAAAAAATGCCTTTCTCTGTATTTAAAAAAAAAACAATTTAACTTGAAATTGACAAATCTGTTATTAAAATTAAAATCAAAGATCATACACAACATATTGCATTATTTAAGATTATTTGATGGGTATGATCTAACATCTGTTAAAATCTTAAATCTATTAAAAAATGATATAATATATCTTTGTTCCAAATACACACACACTGCTGGTTTTAAATATAAAAAACAGTATCAAAAAAGATGATATAATAAAAAAGTAATTATTATATATGCAATATATATTATTGATTAATACATTAACCCAGCGAGAAATGATTGGTCGATTCGATCAATTTGACATCGATTCAACGACGAATCGATGTCGATTCGGCCATCATTTCTCACTGGGAATAATTAATAAATTCAATATCAATATGTATAAAAATAATATTTCTCTTAAAGCGCTGTCTGGTATTTTTCTACCAGAGATGTAAAAATTAATGTATCAAGTATCAAATAATAGTCTTTCATAATTTTTAACTCCTTGTTGAAATGGCTTATATACTTATAAAAACAGCGATTTTAACATAATAAAATGTTAAGTTGTATCAATAGGTACTATTGTAGAGCAAATATATTAAATGTATAACTCATATTAAACATAATCGAACTGTGATCAAGATATAACTCAAGAAACATTATGATGGAGTGATATTTCTTGCACAAATATGCTCTGATTAACGCAATACTATTTGAAATTGAAAAAATAAATAAATAAATTACGAACAAAATTGAAACTGTCAAAATTAATAAAAATAAAAAATATTAAAATAAAATAATGTATACTTTTTCTTGCGCATACGACAAAACAAAAAGTTAAATCCTTTAAACACAATTGTATTGAAGACCTTTGTGAATAAGTCTTACTGCCTGAGGCATTCTAAAGTGTATTATCAACATTATGTAAATCTGTATAATCTAAGAAAACATTATAAATATATATATATATATATATATATATATATATTCTCTTCAATATTTTGATAACAATTTTCATATAAGAATAAAAAATTAATTTACAACTTTCACGTTGATAATTTAATTAATACATCGATGAAAAATATAAACTATTTGAATCATTTCTTGCAATACTAATCGCAACAAACAACCAAATCTTACTAAAATTATTTTAATTTTTTCAAGGAATTTAACGATATTGTTCGCAACAATATATCTTTTTGGAATTTAAAATTTTTCGTATATAAAATGCAACCAGTTATAGTTCTTATATGTAATTCATAAACGACATGTTGAAACAGATAAACATCAGTGTAAAGTTTTTAAGTCAGTGTAATTCTTGCATGCTACTTGTTGTAACATATTAATAAAAAAAACATTCTTAGATCAATCAAAACTGCGTCTTTTTAAAAAAAAATATAAGTATATATATTTAATTCTTTATTGTTTACACATCTCCCGCGAGTTAAATATTAGTTATTACAGTTATATCGTTAAATCATTCTCATAATTTTTTAATAAAGCATTTTTATGTACGCGCAAATATGGTTTTTATTTTTAATTTATTCAATCCCTAATATACTATATATTAATTGAGTTCCGCATTGTTTAGGCATCCTATGTAAGTATATAATATAGAATAGTTTTTATATTGTACTTTTTCATATATGTGTACTCCAAAATTTTGAAAAAGTTAATTATCGCAGCTAATGATTAACTTATTAAGAAATAAAAGAGCGCGCCATTCCTCAATTTAATATTTCAAAAAATAATATAAAGTCTATTTAAACTCACTTAATATTTTTAAAAGAAATAATTAACCAATTAGCATTAATTTGTTGATTAAATTTTAAAATAATTATATGTTATAAAAGTAAAACAATATGTTTTAAATAATATAATATTTTAAACTCGATTAATATTTTTGACAGTTATCAGCTGATTTCTGTCAAAAATATTATTCGACATGTTATTCGAAACATATTATGTGTTTGTTCTAGTATTTTAAACAAGAAATAATGAACATTTAAACACACCATGGACATATGGCACCATCTATAGAGAATTACTATCACTAACAATATGGGATTTTAAAATTGTCGGTAAAGAATTTTACCCGCGATCTTTTCTAATGCATCGTTTCTTTCACAAGAGAAATATGTGAAATAATAAAGAAATTATTATCAAATGCTATTTCTCTTTATTTAATCACGCACAAAATAATTGAATTTAAAGAAAAAAATATATTTGTAAAATTGCTCAGATGACATTTTACATATTCACTCATCACTGCTTACAATTAGTTATTTTTAATGTAAAGAATTTTCATATTTATATACAACAAAAAGCATGAATTATAACATAGTTAAAGAAAAGTATAATAGATTTTTAAAATTTTTTGTCATTATCTTATTAAAGCTAAATATATGTATAATTTATGCGAAGCATTTAATCAAATTTTTTTGTAAGAAATATAAAAAATATATCATGCTTCAGCAAAATATATACACATATTTTATTAGTGCACACATTCTTCTTCAATTAAATTTAATTTATTCCTTAAAAAAAGGTCATGAAAAAATTAAATAAAATTTTTTCCATGCAAATGATTTGATTCTAAGTCGCGTTTATCGATTTATGTATTGCATGAAAGGAATTTCAGGTGGTGGATGATGCCCCGAACTGCGCAGGTGGCAAATCGTCTGGAGTACACGCGAGAGAGAGGTAAAGTTGTCGGATCAGCAGAGCGAAACGTGATAGCCGAAGGATGGAGAACGAGAGGGAGGCCACAGTCTGGCGGCCCAGGTGTAACTTGCCGCTCGCTCAAACAGTACATTGCCGGACGCAATACTCGACACGCGGTTCACCTCAATGCTGTGTCGTTTCATATCGCCATACTGCGTTTTTTTTCCGATTCGCGAAAAAGACGCGTTCAATACGCGGTTTTTTAAATTAACGAACAATGTTATCTATAGCTAAATCCGCGAAGTAGCGAAAGACGCGCGAAATGTCATCCGAGCGATTTCATAAGTGAGTGCATCTCTGCTTTGTTTTTTTTCTTTTTTAAAGGATTCTTTTATGTATATGTGTGCGCTCGTAAAATTGCATCTCAAGAATGTACTTCTTCCTCTTTCTCTCACTATCTTTGTCCCTCTTTTGCTTCCTTCCCTCTTTCTTTCTCTCCTCTTTTTCTCTGCTCCTGTTTTATACACGCGCTTCCACGTAGAACTTGTCTTGGAGTCCGGAAAGTGAAGAGAAATGTCGTGGGACAAGTACTCGCCTTGGGATTGAAAAAATCTCTGAGTCTGACTATACGGCTGATCGGACGAAGCGATTCGAATGCATGGAGAACAGCGACTAACAATAAGTCCATCAAAATTCATAAACGCAATATTGATGAAATTGATAAATTAGATAGGATTTATACAATGCAATTTTTTCTTTAACATTTTATTTTACTGACATGAATATGACAGAAAACTCTTTAAATCTCATCTTAATTATTTGGTAGTTTTGCTGTTGCGTCATTCCTTTTTGCAATAAATAACCAGTTAAAATTTTATTTTATTTATATTTGATAAATTTTATTATTTGTATTTTACGAAGTATCTTAAATTATTTTAAAAAAGCGGAGCTTTATCAAGTTCATTATGATAAAATTGTGTCAAGGTGTAGTAAACACCTAGGACAAGAATAAAATAATAAAAAAATTGATTTCTTCATATTTATATAATTGAATATAATTGATATCTAATAAGTTGTTAAAATAGTTAGACACGTTTAATAATGTATTATACTTTTATAACATTTATTATCAGATAAATAAAAAGGACGATAATCGCAATAAATAATATATGCGATTTATTAAATATATACTTATCAAAGAAAATGAAACTATAGTTATCTCTACACAAGTGCAGAATAATCGTGACTGCAGACTGCTTTGTTACAGTATCGTGTGCATCGGAAGAGCGCGTGCGGAATTTATGCATGAGAAGAGCTCTTATTTCATTCACCACAGAAATTTATCGCTCAGATCATCTGTAGAAATTCCAAGCGTTTCTATTAACTTTTACTCCCAACCAACAGTGCTGTGCAGTACCACACAATTGATGTGCTAATTTTACGGACAATACGATATATTTTGTCGAATTTTTAAGATATTTTATATTACGAAATTTTTGTCTATAAAAGTCTTTTTTTAAACGTCTAAATTTTCATTATTTAATTTAAAGAGAAATATTAAAAATTTATTTTTATTCAAAATACTTCAAATTAAGTAAAAAAAAATATTATTTCTTAAACTAAATCTTAAAAGTTTTAAAATGATCATCAAATCTTATAGTATAAGTATAATTTCAAAATAACAAATTATTGGGAATATGTAAAATTTTCGCACAAAATGTACTTTATTAATCATTCATTTTGAAGAATTAATATCAAAAAAATTAATGCAAAAATATATTTTATTTATATATAATATTAATTCTTCAAAATAAATTATAAATATTTTAATAAAGTACATTTTATATAAAAATTGTATATATTCTTATTAATTTATTTTATTTTGAAACCAAGATTTGATCATTTTATAAATTTTTTGAAGATTTATAGTTTGAGAAATAATAAATTTTTTACTTAATTATTAGAGTATTTTGAATAAAAGTCAATTTTTAATATTTTTCTTCAAATTAAATATATGTATATAATTTTTGCATTGTATCTTTTATATTACTCAGGATTAATTACACAACTGAGAATCTCATTACTTAATGTTATAATATATATTGATGATATCATAATTGATGCAGTACCCAGAAATAATACTTGCTAATATGCAAAAATCGTTTTTTCATAGAACACAACATCAGCAGACTGAAAGTGTCTTATTTGCCTCGAAAATTGCATATATATTTCCTTCAATGGCCAAATTTCCCTAATTGAAGAAGAAAAGAAAAACACAAATGCTCATACGCTCACATTACTAATGCGAGCACTTTAACAACTTACATCGTAATTAAAATATTACAAGTAACATGCCGCGAATAATTAGGTATTAAGAAACATGGATATACATATTTCGCGATGCTTTCTGTTTACGATAAAATCCGCGTTTCTTCTTTAAGAAACGTGATGATAATTATAATTAAAACACCGACACGGGGTTTAAATCAGATAAATACTGCGATAAATCACACGATAACATAACAGAATTTTATGATACCGTATTTTGAAGAGCAAAAATATGTTCTCGTTATATCAAAATATATATGTATATAAACACATATAATATACATACATAAAAATTGGTGATTAAGAATTACAAAAATATTATTTGTCAAAAAACATCGTATCTTCATTTGCTTGCAATTTTCTATAAATATCAATATACTGACATTTAATACGAACCGCGAATTTAAGAAATTGAATTTAAAAACATTTGATAGATCGAACAAAGAACGGTATAACGCATAGGCTTCTCTTTGTCAAAGGGCCGCTCGAGAAGGAGCATTGGACGTTCTGAAAGAAGTTACGAGAAAGGATTGCAACACGCGAGATGAAGGAGGAATGACCCCAACATTATGGGCAGCCTTCGAAGGTCACATAGATGCCCTAAGACTGCTAGTCACTAGGGGGTATGCAAGCATATCTTATTTTTCTTTTATATCCTAATTATATATAAGTACGATCCACGTCATATTTTACATTAATAGTTAATGCACGTAACAAGATATTCTCATCTGACTGCATGTAACGTATTTGATTATTGCAACTTATTGCAAACCAAATGCGTAAGATTAATATCATATATATTGTGATAAATGAATAAATCGTGCAGCAACACGACCATATTATAAGTTACGAAAGCAATATATTCGGCATCAAAGTATAATATATTCGGCAGAACATACATACATATGTATATATAAATATGTAACTTCGTGTTTTATCCACTCACACGAAACACATGTGCCTATCAAGCACGAGGTCGTCGTGCCCTATGAACACGACAGCCCCACTAGTATATATGCTTTATAATTAGTACTTACCTCAACCACTGCTCACCAAACATGCGGGGACCCATCGCTCGTGTCAGCTCCAAAATACAGGAAACTTCCTCAATGTTTTTAATCGTTTATCACAAACACTACTCGAACACTTGCACTTGCACACTTGCACACTTGTTTCTGTAACATCAAAAACGATCATATTAATCATATTAATAATAACTATAACATCTGTACATAAATATAGTTAAATAAATTATTCGTTTTTTAAACGATTATATCAAGGAATAAGTTAAATTGAAAAATATATAGATTTAATAAAAATTACAGAGCTATATATTAAATTAATTTTATAATGAAATATAAATCTCCTTGTTATATTTTATAATACAAAACGGGTGCAAAAACTTGAAAAATACAAAGTAAATAAAAATCTTTTTTGGCTTCCTCATTAATAAAAATGATTCGAAACTGCTAAAGAATATATCAGAATATTAAGAGATTTTGAAATATGTTATATATGTATAACACAATAAATAAAATAGATATATATTCAGATTATATATATATATATTCACGTATAATATTATGCATATAATAATTATAATTAGATACACATTACATTGCATCAACGATAGTCATTAATCCAATATAATAAAAATAATACTTAATAAATGATATCAACTAGCCATCTAAAATAAATTTATAATAAATAATTAAAGTTTAGATGAAGAACTAATCAAAGATCTAGCCAAACAAATTTTAACAATATATTCAACAATATATTTTTATTGAATTTTTATCGAATGCGCTTTATAGCAACCAAAATAACGATTCAAATTGCATTATTTCTCCGTCATCAAGCCTTTAGTCCTGCTACTGTACTAGCCTGGATAATATATGTGCGGAACCGGAAGTACGCATTGCAGGTGTCCATCGAGTGCACGATGGCGGAAACCGTGATCGAACGAATAAAAAACAATACAACGCATACCTAATAAAGTAGCAAGCTCTATATATGTATGTATGTATGTATATACATATATATATATATATATATATATATATATATATATATATATCACATAATTAAAAACACATAAATAAATGCATACCATATTTGTAAAGTGATTGGAATACACTTCTCTTGTTTCATAGACGAATCGATATCACCAAATTTCGGGAAATTCGTCCAAAATTTGTCCGCACACTCCAGTAAATTCCTAAAGATTTAATAAATATAATTTATAATTTATAATTTATAGTTTATAAATTTATAATTATAATTTGAAATATCAAACTATAACACAAAGTAAATTGCAATGTTAATTTCTAATATAATCACACAAGTAGATCTCTATTACTCATCATATTTAATTATGAAATAAAAATTATTATTATTAATTTTTTTATTTCATAATTAAATATGATGAGTAATAGAAATCTACTATATATATATATATATATATCACGTAATTGAAAACATAAATAAATACATACCATATTTTTGCGTGAGATGAAATCGACGATTAAAATATATTTTTCTCATTTCGAAAACGAATCACCAAATTTCAAGAAAAATCCGTCCGAAATGTACAACCATCCAGAAACTTATATAACCCAGAAAATTCCTGAAAATTTAATAAATATATATATAATTATAATTTGAAATATTGAACCATAACACGAAGCAAATCGCAATATTATTTTCTAACCGCACAATTATCAGATCTCCGTCATTACCTCGCGTTATATATATACAACTATAAAATGAAAAAGTTAATACTTTTCCGACATAATTAACAAGTTATATACCTTTTCCTTTTCCAAGATGAAGTGAGCATCCGAATTCTAAAATCTTATCAATAAGAGATCGATGCTGAACTGTGCGGAAAGAAATACGCGCGAAAAGTTACACTCGCGAAAAGAAATGCGTACGCGGGTACCAGTTTTTAAAAATTATATATATGCAAAAAGCAGTGCTGCCAACGCAACAATTTTATCTATCATTCGATCGCCTTGAACCATAAATCATAGTAAAATATAGAGGGCGCGTTTCAATTAGATATTGCACTATCTAGCTTATTATTGTTAGAAAGAGAGAGAGGTTGGGTTTGGATGAGTGTAATTTTCTCTCTCTCTCTCTCTCTCCTTTCTCTGTTTCTTAATGTAAAAGTATAGAATATATACATATATAAAAATAGAAAAGTATGCATATTATATATTTGTGATAAATAATTTATATTTATTATATAATATATATTTATTGTATATATATATATATATATATATATATATATATATATATATATACAATAACTGTGAAATGAAAAAGTTGATACTTTTCCGACATAATTAACAAGTTACCTTTGCCTTTTCCAAGATGTTATGAAGTCGTGAGCATCCGAAGTCTAAAATCTTGTCGAGAGATAGATGCTGAATGAATTGTGCGGAAAGAAATACGCGCGAAAAATAACACTTTCGCGAGAAGAGACGTGAGCATGGGTACAAAGTACAAGCTTCAAAACAGACAAACGACGAAAAACAGTGATGCCAATCCGAGAATTTTGTCTATCGCTCGGTTCTTCTTCAGTCATAGATCATAACAAAAATATAGAGGGCGCATTTCAATTTGATGCTGTACTATTATATATCTAACTTCTTAGAAAAAGAGGGAGTTTTGACGAGTTTCTCTCTCTTTCTTAAAATAAAAATAGAAGATATTTAATATAAAGGTAAAGAATATATATAATATGCAAAATAGAAGAGGAATCATAAGTTTAAAAAATTCGATATATATTTCTGAAATTCGTTTAATCGATCTCGATCGATTAATGATCGATGTGATTGACCAATCACAGTTATTTATTTTTAAGAAAAATTTTTCATTTACGATTGGAAAATATACAATAAAGTTCGCAGTCTATACTTATTATTATCTATGATCTTGATTACGCGCGACTGTTCGATCAGTTGTCACTTGTCACTCGTGTTTATTGTTGGATGCATTATCAGATGCGTGCAGATTTTTAATGTACTTTTTTAAACACATATTAATGATATATATGAGATGCACCGAACGCTATTATTGAACACGTATGTAATTAACGTATGCAGATATGATAATATATAGATATAATTTTTTTAGAGAGAGAAAAGACATTTCCTTTATATTTAATAAACAATTATTGAATATATTATTAAATTTTATATTATATTTAATATTATTATTAATTATATTTTATTTATATTTTGCATACTTCTTTTCTTTATGAACTCTGAAAAATCTGTTTCGTATATATTTATTTCGATATAGTATATATATATATAATTATAGTTATATTGTTTTATTGTAATGTAGAGGTGATCCGGACAAGACTGATTATTTCGGTAATACATGCTTGCATCTGGCAGCGGCGAGGGGTCATGAATTCTGCGTGAAATTCCTGGTGAAATTTGGTTGCAATATATGGTCATTGGACATCGATCGACACTCCGCCCGAGAACTTGCAGCGATAAATGGTTGTGAAAGAATTCTACAGTTTCTAGATCTCGCCCAAGCCGATCAAGAATTAAATAATCGCAAGAAAAGTCGGTTGCTCCGAGAAAAAGCAGAGAAAGAAGCAGAGAAAAGGTATATAATTGCGAAATAATTGACCTGATATATAGAATATAATCCGGATTTTAATTTATGACTAATTAATAAGAAAATGTTATTAATAATATTTTATATGTAATACTGTTTAAAATATATAACTGTACTAGTTTATTTGGTTACAAAAATAATCAAAGATCAATATTTTATCAATAGCTTATTATCATTATTTATTATATGTTTTCTATTTTGAATATATGGATTTTAATATTAATTATAAAAATATTTCTCTGTTATATATAAGGCTGAAAGATTACATGAAAAAACAAAAGATGGCTGAACTTAGGGCAGAAAAGGAACAGAAGAAACTCATTAAAAATCGTGCTAGATCGGACTTCGACACAATGAATGAATTGAATTCTCAACGATCTGGCGTATTGACCTTTAAAGGCCGAATGAAACCTTCGCCGACATTTAGCGATATTGTTGGTACCACTACGAAGAAACACAGCAGCACGGTATGTCGAAAAGCCTTAGCGAAAAAAGCCGCCAACGACTTCAAAGTCGTAGAGGTAAAAAAAATTGAAAAATAATTATTCAATTTTTTACACGAAAAAATATGAAGTTAATTTTTATAATATTACTTTTTGACAGAATAAGAAAATAAAAACAATTAATAATAAATGTATATTTAAAAAATTTTTAAATATATTGCAATAAATGATAATTCCCCTTTTTGCTTAATTTAATGATTCATAAATTATATAATTATAACATTATATATCCATTGTTATAGGTTGAAATGAATGGGAAAAAATCCATTCGAAGTCTGACCGGCGTTCGACGAGATTCTGAAGTTATGTACGTAGGCACATATGATACTGAATCTCAACATATAGGCAGAAGAGGAAAGATCTCCGATGTATGGGGTACTCTGAGTAAATCTCAGAGCACGCCCGATCTCTTAGGTGAAAGGATATATGACGAGGAAGAGGAAAATAGGGAAGAAGAAAATTTGAACATTGCAAAAGACACTGCTTTCCTTCAGGAACCGGCCAGCATTTTCAAACGACCTGGATTCGGTTCGGTAGCCTTCAGAAGGGCGGTTAGTCTTAATATTTGTACCTGTAAATCCGTAATTTAATTTATAACGAATAGTTGTAAATTTGTCTCTAGTTCTAAATTTGTCTTAAAATTAATAATAAGCTAAAATCATAAATGAAAAATCTTCAAAATTTTTTATAATTTCAATTACATATATGCACACATAGACATTCTCTTTTTTTTCTTTAAATATATAATTCATTGTCAGCTGTGATAAAGATTTGTAGCATATAACACGTCTTTTATTTACTATTATTATTATTATAATTCAATACTTCTTACATATTGTAATGATCTTAATCTCATAAATGTAACTGTATAACATATTGTAATTTCACACGGCTATCTTTGCTATATAATTCACCTCGTAGAAATCGGTATGCATTATGCCGTTGCGTTCTCTTTCATAACGAAGTGAATTATTATTTGTTCCGTTCCATTTGAATCGTGTGTGTGATTCAAGATAAACAAAGAAATGAGTTGCGAAAATTATTATGGGAATTGTTATGGAAATATTGGAACTTAATGCTTTAAACGATTACACTATAAAATATTTATCGGCTGCATTAAATAAATAATTATGCGACGAATAGATTAAAAATAATAAAATGGACTAATTAATTTTTTCCATATTTATTGCATCAGAATCATGATTTTTATTGACAGATAACATCTACGTTGGACAATCTGCCAGTCACACAGATGGACGTTCAACTACAAAACAGCAATCTTTCTGGAAATGGTTCTACAAATGGATCCATAAATAGTAACAAATTTAGTCCAAATGGACATAATGAAGAGATCAGTATAGGAAGTGCTGGTAGTTTGGCACGTAGGCAAAGTTCCTGGGACGAGGATCTGCTTTCAGGTAAGTTAAACGAACCTTACAAAGTACAATTGAAATAGATGACCCATGTTCTATAAAAAGAAACATGATCATTGATTATCCTCCTTAGCTGTTGCTATGCCTTGTCTGCAAGAGAATGAAATATCATTGTTAAATTTATCTGTAAATAGAAAGTGAAGAAACGGATGAGGAATGGACACCTTTGCAGAGATTTTTAGTCGCCAATAATCTCACATCTATACAATCTATCCTGGAATCAGAGCAAATCGATCTAGAAGCTCTAATGCTGCTCACCGAAACTGATATAGCAGCCCTCAAACTTCCGCTTGGTCCTAGACGGAAACTTACTAATGCAATCGCAAATCGGAAAAAAGCATTGAGCATGCCGGAGAGTGTTATTAAGGACAGTAAACTATAAGCAAAATATATTGAATTAGCCATAGAAGATTATTGCGTCGATAAAATTATCCGTCCATCTACAAATGTATGACAAGTAGTTTATAAATTGATTTATAAAAAACAAAAATTCTTAATTTTTCTTAAACATTAAATATCAAATATCAAAGAATTTTTTGAAGATTTATCGAATTAATTATAAAAAATAAACATTAAAATAATAAAAAATTATTAAAATTATTATTAATTTTAAATTTATATAATCATTTGAATCATACATCGGTAGCGCCATTAAAAATTTAGTAATTTGTCATATAATTTTTATCATATATCAAGATAATTTTAATATCGAACTCCCTTGTGCCTTGTAGTTTTTAGTTTACTCAACATATATATTTTCTCCACCATTTACTATTATAAGATAATAAATTTAAGTAATCTTATTGGAGAGGGAGACGAGGACTAAATTACATATTATTACATATTATAATAATCGTAAATAATCGCCAGAAAGAAGGTATTGAAAATTAGGAAAGGAACTCTAAACACTCGTTCACTAAGTTCAATAAGTATAATAGATAAGATAAAACAGGTAGACAGTTTATGCCATAATAAAAATTCAATACATACTGCCATAAAATATATCACTGCTAATACTTAACATCAATTTGACAAGTTAATTAGATTAACATCAATTATACACGAAATCTCAAATGTTTAACATAATTAATACACATTAATTATTTATATTAAATCGTCGAAAAAAAAAATTAAACATTACAAATATTTTTAATATTATTTTAACGAACTTTATATTGTGTAATAATCAATACATTAAACGTTCCTTCTTTTATGCGTAAAGCGGAATTATTTTTAAAAAATATGATTCTTACAAGCAATAATAATAATAATAATAATAATAATAAACGATAAATATATTTCAAATAATCTGATCTATTAAATGATAATAATTGTATAGTGAATTATGATTTTTATAATCATATCTCAAACTTAAGTGAGAAAGTATTGATAATTATTAAGATATGAATTAGAGATTATAGTATTATACATATATATTAACTTTCTAACATCATGTATAATGCACATTATATCCACAAATAGCAGAAGATGTACAAAATATACATCTGGATGTACAAAATGAATGCATGACAATAAAAAATGTACAAAATGAATATATAACAATAAAGTATGTATAGATGTACGAGAGTCTATTCAGAACAAAAAAATGTAACAATAATTATAACGTGGACAGGAAAACGACCACGAGGAGCTTCTTTCTCTCGTGATTTATTTGTAAATGATTATCTTACAAACAAGAGGCGCAAAAATATACAAGCTTCTTATGTTCGCAAGAAAGTAACAGCACCATTTCACGCCTTATTATGAACGTATTATTCGTGTCCAAGGCGTTATATTCGTGCAAGTCTCATGTACACTCATTTTTGCAAAAGTGCACCAATGCAACTTGCAGTAATGTGCATCAGAATAATAAAGGAAGCAAAGAAGAAACGCTCGTAAAAAATTTTTTGGTGCTTTGCGTTTATCAAACGTATGTTTATACGTTTCTACGCGTTATGAATTGTACGAAATACAATATAATTGTGAAAAATATAATACACAAGTGATTCCTCTTCACTCTCTTCATCTTCATTTTTTAACTTATGAATATACTATTACATTGAGGGAGAAGAGATTTTGTATATTGGGGGAATTTCATTATATTTTCAAGTATATATTTCTTAGAGACTTAGTTCTTAGATTTTTAGTCTGTGTTTCTTAGAGACATCTGTTAAACGCATCTCTCCATCATTATATTATTATACATTTACATATTTTCATATAAATATATCGTTATACTTATAGAAACATAAGAAGATATTTTTTTCGCATTTTGACATAAATATCTTTTATACTCGATTGGCTTAACATAACTTCATACAAGCTTAGTTTGTCGAAACTATCAAATTGTATTAAATTATATCAAAAACCGATTTTTAACACCAATTTTAAAATATAATTTTTTCAAAATTACATAACATATATTTGTTTCTTGTACATAAATTTAAAAATAATATCTTAATCATCAAAACAATTTTAATTTCAAATTTGCTCGACGCATTGTATCTGTAAATATATTATCTTATAATGGCCCGCAGATTTCCGACGAGATAATTCTTCCATGAGAAAGGGAAAGCTCCTCACATGTGGGAAAATTTTCGCTGATCTCAAAGTGTCGTCTCGTACGCATTGTTCATTTATTACGCAAGATGGGAAAATGCCAATTACATCGATGAAATCTGTTAATATTCAAGTCATTAACGAAAACTTACTCGCTAAAAAAGGAGCATATAATAATTATCATCGATCTTAGTTTGTAATTTTCGGAAGAGAGTAAAAAGCTATATATAAGTAAAGAATAACTCTATCTCGTATCCTTCAATAGTATTCGTAAATATAATTTGAGAAAGTAATTCTCGAATTTTTTTCCCAAATAAATCAAGAACAGATGTTTCAATTATACAGCATTACGAATACATGAAACGGAAACGAAAATTGATTTGTTTGTAAAGTTGCCTCGACATCACTGTGTCGAATTTGGTGCGCTCGCTTATGTAAAGTGTACCTAAGTATGGCATCTTCGCATAAGATATATATATATATATATAGATATATATATATATATATATGATTGTATATAAATATATATATATATATATATACCTAACAATAAGTAATGTATTACTTTCTTCTATCATAGAGTTACGAAAAGAACGACATTTACACAGAAAATATTTTTGACAGCGCTGAAATGAGCTGGAAGGAAGAAACGTGTTAAAAACGATGCAAACGTACAAATTTTTCAATCGATCTTTTTACATCATCGTGAAAGCAACGCCTTCCTTCCATGATCTGCATATACAATAGACATATAAATGGTTCGTTCGCAAAAAATAAATTCTCCACGGTTACTGTGTATTCTCACTGACGCGAGATTGACGTATCGTCATCAATCTCGTCCAGAAAAATGTAATTGAGGGTAAAAAACCCTCGACATTTTGCTAATTGCCGATCGCACGATATTACTGATAAATATCATTGTTAAAGCTATCGCATATTAGTTAATACTAGTAATGATATTAATTATTAGCGATATATCTATGTTTATTGTAATTAGCATATGTGCTATATTTACAACTGAACAATTTTATCCCTTTCATATAAATGACGCTCGAATAATCTTACAAAGAAACGAAATACAAATTGACTTCTATGTGATTTTCGAAGAACGGTATGACTATTGCAGATCAATTAAGCTATAAAAGTAAATCTTGCACTTATATAAATCGAATTCGGTAAGCACGAATAGCAATTCTGTTGATTTGTCTGCAGCCAAAGTTCTCTTATTTCAGCCATATTAAATTATAAACATCAAATATAAGAAATCACACTTGTAATTTTTTTTGTGGCATACGTCTAAATTAATTACCTTTCCCTTACACGTATATGCGTTCAATAATATAAATTGATAAAATATATTGATTAAAAACTCTATTCTATTATTAATAAATGTGCATGTATGTCATCTGCCTAGGAAAAATTTTTTTATATATAACAATATAAAATTATATAGAAATATATAAAATTATACATATAATCGCAAAATTATATATGAAATGTGACCACACATAATTAGATAAAAATGCTTTTTTCTGATTATATAAATTTGTATATATAATAAATAAGTATTTTTTCATATACATAAATATATGTTTCATATATAATTTGACATGATTATATATGAATCCTTATAATTTATATATAAATTTATATAATTATGTATAAAAATAGACATATTTCACATATAATTTTACGATCATATGTATAATTATACAATTATTTATATATAATTATATATAAAAATTTTTTTCCGGGTGCATATATTTCTTCAAAGTAAAAATAACCTTTATGAACTTCATTAAAGTTACTATTTTAGAGCTATTTATTTATCTATAAAACAGAGAAAGAGCCTTTGATATATTTTATTAATCTGTATTATCAAACGCGCGAGCATGTTAAGAAATTAATGATTTATTTCGACATATTTTCTAAAAGAATTTATATGATTAATATGTATGACTTCTCATTTTAAACATCATAATTTAATAATGGATCAGTAGCTTTAAAATTGATGTACATTATATGATATAACACAATATAGCATGATACATTATAACATGATAAGATACGATTTTCTGTGACGTATATAAACATATGCGTTATGTTAAATTGATAATGACATGTAAAGATAAAGATTAAGAACAATATGATATTTCGAATATTAATTGAAGAAAATATTTTATCGTATCGTGAAAATATTTTATCGTATCATTGTCGAATAATTTAAAATAACTTCAGACAAATAATTTAAAATAACTTCAGACGCGATATTTAAGTACAAAAATGGGAGAGTGAATTTTTATAATCTGAAATGTATTTTTTTTTATTATATTCTTCTATTAAAGCTCCTTGATTGAATACTATTTTGCGAAATTAGATGTAATTTTAAAATAAAATAATATTTTGTTAATTTTGATATTTATAAAATTTTATTTTACTTTATTTCTTTCAATAATTCAAAAATAAATAATATAACGAATTGTATAACTGTAAATTTCTTTAAAACTTTTTTTCTTCTTAACATCTAATAAATCCTTAAAGTCAGTGTTATTTTTTATTCTTCTTTCCCTTTCACATCTAATAAGGAAACATGCAAGACCAAATCTCTTTTATGTAACCAATATTTTTAAACATTTTTACTCAATTTTAAGTTTTTTAAATTAAAATCAAAATGAAAATTACCATTATCATAACTTTTACAGTATAGTAAATATACGACTGTTTTTATTGTATCATATAATGTAAATCGATTTTTAAAGTCCTCGAAAATTCAAATAGAAGCAATGTAGGACATATTAGCTAGAAATAATGTACATTTACAATCAACCATATTCATATTGGACATGTATGGGGCTCTCACTCTCTGGCACAAAATGTTAAACGCACAATCGTTAAGCGTTTTCTTTTTCCATTAAATACATTGCTATATTTCTATATGTATATATATATGTGTGTACATATACACACATATACATACATATACAATGGAATCATTATCTCATCTACCCTAACAAAGTCTACGTTTTGCAGAAGTTTTTAGTGAGTGAACATGCGTTATGTCTTTATGGAGCTAAGAAGTATTAAATCCAATTTTTGTATTAACGTAGACCTTTGTACGGGATGTAAAAAGCTTGATATCTTTTTGACGGTCTCTTCTTGTTTTAAGAAAGGATAAATCATAGTTATATTATCCCATGACTTTTTCCTTGCTATATTGATATTAATTTGTTATAATAAATTAATTACACGTGCCTACCTGCCTTTTATTTTGCCCTTTATCTTGCTTGTCAAATGTGATCTTATATTAGAAATTTGGTTTATCATAATAAGACTTCTTTGCTCTTGCAATGAGATCTCGTCAAGAGATATTATCGATTATATTTTCGTAATATTCATATCTACTGCATTTCATATAGAGTTAAGAAATAAAATGTTTCATTAAATATTTTGAATTATATATTTATATTTCTCTTGAAATGTCGATATTATATCTCGTAACTTTGAATTGATAAATAATCATTATTTCAGTAACATAAAAGTCTGACCACGCAAAATTAAAACCAAAAAATCACGCAATAATAATTTTCATTTATGATGCACATGATGAAATGAGAGCGTAAAATGTCCAGAAAACAATGCAAAAAATGTATAAATAAACACCAAACGAGAAAAATAGCATACACACACATACACATATATGTACATATACTGTAAATATATATTATTTATATTTTTTATATAATTATATAATACAAATATATAATAAAAGTTCAAATTTAATATTCAGAAATATTTTAACAATAGAATAAATGGGCTAATTTTGATAACTGTTAAATGAAACAAAATGTGACCAAAAAATCGAAAATTTTATGTATATCATAATCGTATGACTTTTTATTATCTAAAAATTACTATTATAATGAACAAAAACTTTAAAAGTGTTTACTCCTATTCTCTCACTGCCGCATTAATCATAATTTTTTAGAAACAGAAAATTAAAATCTATGAATAAAAATTTTCCTTCTATATGTTAAAATAAATTAGTTTTTTGTATACATATTTATATATTCAATAATATTAATAAAATATTACTATATTACTAAATACTATTTTATAGTATTCTACTATTATATCACTATTCTACTACTATAAAAACTATTTTTTTATTAATATATATATAATTTATCTGCATGTGCCTTACATTTCCAATAGAAATATATCTTATAACAATTTGCCAAGATTTATGTAGCAATTTATTAATCTACAAAATGTAAAGTCTTTAGTATACTTTACCAATTTATATTAGCAAATATAAGTGGCAACATACAAAAATTAATCTCAATGTATTTTAAGAAAAAAAACTTATATAATTTTTTTATTTCTAACATCAGAATATAATATAATATCAGTGAGAGAGCCAGGAATCTTAATGCAAAAACAAATATTTTACAATTATTTTTTTGCTTTATTTTGCCATAAACTATTAATTTTGAAATAACGTAAAAATATTCTTATTTCATCGATTAAAAATTTTAATTATTTATTATATAAGGAAGCAAAATAATGTAGAATTTATAAGAAAATAAAAAATTGATTAACAAATACCAAGATGCTTATTATTCACTGTAAATTTGAATATACATATTGATATATGTATGTTTATATAGACTTAACATTTTGAATAGCGTCATATATTAATTCTTCTAATAAATTTACAGATCAACAATATAATAGTCTTGTATATTTTTACATGTAAGAAATTAAAGAATTGTGGGTACTTTGAACAATATTAAGACGTAAAATAACGTAGTTATGCGCTCTCGTTTCTTTAATTTTGTATACACAAATATAACAAAATGCATAATAGTTTCTAAATTTTGATAAATCTAACATATATATATAAACACATTTTTGCATGTGTAAACTATATGCTTATTTTTTGTTCCTGCATTGGCTGAACTGTGCACCAGTGTACACTAATTCATCAGTGCAAAAACAGAAAACAAGCTAATAATATTAATAATATTAATAATATTTTGCCAATATTTTGCCAATATATTACCAAAATAAACATTTCACAAATATATATACATATTCTGTGACTCTGAATGTAAATTATAAGTTATATGCGTCGGTCAGAACTAACTGTACAAGCATAAGAATTTCAAGAGATTAAGTGATTTTGAACATGATATAAATCGAGATCGGCAGCAGAAGCTTGGAGATATATACGAACGTACTTACCTGGCAGTGTGAACCACTACCGGTTTCCTCCAATGATTAACACATAACCGGGAGTTATGTAGAGGAGCTAAGTTATTAGTCATTAGTCGGGTTGATTAATCAACAGGGAGCGAGAGAGTAAAGCTACCATACGCATCGCGCGCCGTTACAGTGTAGTACGCGTACGTTTGTGCGTGGGTGATCCCATATCCACGTCATGCGAAGCGGGTCGTTTATGATGTCGAGCCAATTCGTTGTTAATAAAAGCCGATAATTCGGCTTGTCTTCCGCTACGTCGAGATACTGGAGAACCTGGAAAAATACAATATTTCTAATACATATAAAATTTTATCATAAGTACCTTGTTCAATGTACATCTGTTCTGTATTATTGTAATTATAATATTTTTATTTTATGCTTTACTATAGATGTTAAAAGACAACTAAAAATAATTAAAAAATAAAAACTAAAAAAATATTGCTATTTAGTTTTTTCTTTAATATATGCATGATAAATAGTATAACATCATTAAATGTAAAATGCTTCCTCATTTTTGCCAATCTATGGTTGGCAGCAGTCAGGAGTAAAAAACTTATAAGATGTAATGATTTTAAATTAGAAGAAAGATTAAAGAATTAAATTCGAAGATAGAATATATATATACCAGATAATGCAATGGCTTCCCTAAATGTATGTAATTCAGGATCTGGTTCACTGCCTGTTGGTGGTGCTGAAGCAATAACCATACTTGGCGTTTGACTCTGCGACGATGGAGAACCACATACCATCATACGAGGTTTAGGTGAACTCCTGTGATATTGCATCATATTAATTAAAAAACAATCAATATTATTTATTTGTTAATTAAAAAAATATAATATATATATATAATGCCAACATATACAATAGTTCAATTTAATAATAAAGAACATTTAAAATAAAGAAGACAAATCTGCATAAATGTGATTGCATGATGGTAACTTTCAAATTTAATATGTTCAAAATAAATCATAGTGAAGACAAACCTATGTGGATGTGGTCGAGGTGGTGGTGGCTTTCCAGCAAGATATGCAAGAAGATCTTCCCTGCGAATCATACGTCTTTTTTTTCTAGCCCAATTCATTATTTCTTTACAGTGTTTCTGTTTGCCCATTTCCACTCCCAGATCACTACATCGCCTCATACAATCCACCGAATCTGTTTAAACAATTTTTTGTTAATTACAGACGCATATAAAGAAATTTTACATAACATATTTCTGAAACAAGTAGTCAAAAGCATATTTTGCTTGTATAAATAAAAAGATATGAATGTTACAAACATGAACAGTGGCTTTCTCATTATTTGCTATATATGAAAAGTTATAATAATAGTTTGCCAAAAAACATATACATATTATATATATATATATATATATATATATATATATATATATATATGTAATGACTTGTCAAAAATCTTTATATGTAGACATTGCAGTGATTTAAAATTAAATTGCTAAACAAGCTTAAAAATAATTTCGACTTATAATAATTTACACAAACAAGCTAACTTTATATTATATAATGCAATAAAATTATATATTTATATATTTCATAAAATTATATATTTCAAAAATCTATACACATAAAAAAATTAGAATAAAGGTACATCGACATTTTCTGATTTTTCGCTATTAATAATATAAAATTGCATTCATTGTTCAGTAACAGCTGACCCTGAATGTGGTCAGCCATTATAGATGCTTATATGCAACTTCGTAAATGACGGTCATATTTCAAGTATAACAGACTAAAGGTGCGAGATGGCAAATGATTAAATGTACAGAGAAGCGCTTCAAAGCGCTACGGCACGAGAAAATGAGATGGCCGAAGAGAGAAGGTGGGGATGGCCATGCGTTTATCTCCAGGGGTCATTGTTGACAATGGGAGATCAAAAAACACGAACCTTTGTATAATGATGTTACAGTACCAGCGGCAGTCTGAAAGGGCACCCACAGTGAGACGCCCAGCGTACGGTCTGCAAAATGGTATTTAAAGGAATAATTTAAAAAGGTTATCGATGATATCCGTAGAATCTGTTAAAAGGCTCCCGAGAACGAAAGATCGCCATGTGTAACGATATCGTTCTCGTAACCTTCGCGACGTGACGGATATGACGCGGAGACTTGAATAAAGTACCACGCGTTCGTAGCGACTAAACGTCATCGAGACACAAATTCCGAGTATTTTTTTCACCGAGAAAGAAGGGAGGGGAATAACATCGTGTTGGGAACGTGGAATCACCTTTGTACAACTGGGCGATGGCCGACGCGGTGGTTTGGAATTTTGTCCACATCTGCTGGGAGTAGAGCTCCTTCTCGTTGTGCAACTGATTCTCGTAATCGGGCTCGGACTCGAGCGCCTCGACGCACTGCTGTTCCCAGTTGCTGTACCAGAGGTCCATTATCGGATCATCCTCGCTCCTGTCGTCGCTCATCGCTGCCGATTCGCGCGATCCTAGCACCACCTCGCTCTCTCGGTTCACTCGCTCACTTCTCGACTCGCTTCACTCGCCTCACGCACGCACGCACGCACACGCGACGCATGCACGTGCACTCACACGCGCGCGCGAGTGATCTCGTCGTCGTCGTCGTATGCGACAAGGGAACCAGAGCGCCTCGCCCACACCTACTCGAGCTCACACACACATGTGTGCGCTCGTATATACATATGCAGCTACGAATTACCTGAATATTGCATTCGTTCTCGAACGATCGAGACTTGGATGATAATTGATGATGATGATGAGGATGATAACAGCAACGTTACACTCGCGTTTCACCCAATCTGTCACTCGTATTATTCACTTACGCTCTTGTTTTCGCGTTGCTTGACGTAACAAAAACGACATGTATAAGGACGCCATGGCTTTGCTCACAATCAGCCTGGAAAAGTCAAGTCGGCCATTACAATTATACACTTCGCTTTCGGTAGCCCGAGTATGCACGATCATTCGATATATCACGCACCTTTCATTACTGTTCAATATGAAGTCCGGGTGAATAACTCCATGGAAGGAGAGGAAGGAATGACAAGCGTCCCACTTGGGAGAGTCTATATGCAATTTTAGCTCCCCTTGTAGCGTATCAATGGAAAGGATACACAGAATGAATCGCGCATTTTCGTTCTTTGTATGTGTACACTCACTAAATATTATCTCGCGCTTAGATTTCTGGCTGTCGAACAAAATACCATGTACATATACGTACGTTTACTAAATCACTAAATTCTATGTTGGAACGCGAGCGCCTCTATATAACCTTTTATAATAGAGTAAACCTAGATTTTCTTCAAAACATACGCGACTAAATGCGCATGCGCACATTTAAAGGACAGTTACCACCTGGGGGTCGATTGTGTAATTTTTTCTAAAGTAAAAATGTGAAAAGTGAAAAATTTCTTCCAATCACACATCGATTTTATCTTAAAATCAATGCGTGATTGGTGGAAATTTTTCACTTTTCACGTTTTTACTTTAAAAAGTTACACAATCGACCCCCTGATTCATTCCTTCTCTCTCTCTCTCTAAATTGCCTCATGTTTTTTAAATTTTATCGTTTCAAAGCATATTTTTTCTATCTTACTTCCTCTATAAAATGTACTGAGCTTAATTCATTATATATGTACAAATTTAATGTATTAAATACATGTATGAGAATTTAATACATTAAATATTGCAAGACAGGGATCGTAGCAGGATTTTTACACGAATAGCTATACATGAGTGTCATGTACTGTGTGTAATCTTAATAAAATTATAAAGTGTACTGAATTAATTTACAAGAAATTATTTTTTCGTCGGTATCTGTAAACTTATCAGTGGATTTGATGCGCGAGCTTGATGTCTTGATTTGACAGCTGTTGCTCCGGATGATGCAGCGTCTCTATCAAATTTTCTTTTTCTTTTTCCTATTCCCATGATACCCTTTAAAGTTGGTGGTACAATGTATTCAGGTACATCTTTTAAATGTGGCTGCAGTTTCACAGTATGTAACGCCTTATCTTGGCGCAATGACTGCAAATCTCGTGGATTGTCCTCGAAATAACTTTTTAACTTTTCACAATTCATAACTTCCTGTTTAATTTCTTTTAATCGTGCCTCTCGGACCGCAATTCTTGTGACAGCTTTCCAACCATCTTTTGCACGATAACTAAATTAACATTTACAATTAATAAATTTACATACAATTTTATAAAATAAAATAAGTAAAAAAAGATATAAAAATAAAAAAAGTATGCTGTACTAAGTTAGTATGCTGTGCTAAGTTTAATTTATAATATATATATATATATATATATATATATATATATGCTGTACTATTTTACAATTCAATTATAATGTGTTAAAATAAAAGAATTGGGTAATACATACCGGAAACCTTCCACTTCTTCCAATTTAAATAAATAAGTCTTAAATAACTTCTCGCAATTGTAAGTGCACTTTAATTGTTCTTCTACTGTTTCCATCAGTGGTCTTTCTCTGATTGCCACAAAACTAAGAGCAGTTCCTTGGTTCTTTCCGCGAGCAGTACGTCCTGCTCTGTGTATGTAAGAGTTTATATCTAACGGAAAGTCAAAATTGATTACATTGGAAACAAATTGGAAGTCAATGCCGCGTGCTACACCAGATTCTTTATCCTTCTTTCGTTTACCCTTTTTCGTTTTTATTACATGTGGCTGTAAAAAATGAAAATGATATATATAATATATATAATAATGTATGTACAATATACATTTCACTACAACATATATGTTTTTACCTCTTCTAATGCCTTCTCATCTGATGCTATTATGATGTCATAAGTGCCACTGTTGAATTGCGAGACTGCTCTACATCTCGATGTTGCCGGTAATTCGGAGTTTAAAATACAAGTGGGAATACCAAATTGTTCCAAAAACAACTTCAATTTATAACATCTATCAACTGTGTTTACAAAGATTATAGTTTTTCCCCTAAATAATAATAATTTATTTTTAATAATTGGTAAATTTAATTCTTTACATAGAAAAAATTGAAACCCTAGTATTGTCTAAAAACTTTAGAATTAGTTGCATTTCAAATAATCAAAATAGTTTTCAGATATTATGCATATTGTCTTTCCTTTATTAATTGCATCTTCAAAATACATAAATATGTGAAAAAATTTTTGAAACAAAAAATAAGATAAAGCATCTTAGCTACAAGTATCGAGTAACTAAACACAAAAGTATGAGCAACAGAAAGACAATAGACATAACATTTTAAATATTTTAAAATTGTCATTCAAAAACATTCAAAAATATAAATAATTTTAAGTACTGAATTAAAATATATTACCTAATTAAATGTAACTTCAGTAAAGCATATAAGATGGCAGCCTTATCAGCTTCCTCTGCTGCCAAAGTATAATGACTTAATTGTGTTGGAGGAGCCAAAGGTGGTTCTTCGAGTTTTAAAATTGCAGGATTGTGCAGAACTAATTTTTTCAAGGCTTTAACATCCTCAGATAATGTGGCAGATGCTAAAATTGCTTGATATGCAGTTGGTAGATAAGTTAAGACAGCTTTAATTTCGTTTTCATATCCAAATGAAAACAGCTGAAATAATTAATAGCATAATTTAAGTATCATTAAACAATTGCGTTTATATAATAAAACATTTAAAATTATTTATAATATAAATACCAGATCAGCTTCATCAATTATTAATGTTTCTAGGCTACGTTTCAGCATCATATTTCCTGCTTTTAAATGCTGCAATAATCGAGCTGGTGTAACCACAATAATATCTGGCATTTCGTTGAGTAATGTTTTTTGTGCATTCAAATCTGTTTGTGGACTAATGTCAATTATTCTGACTTCTCTGTAGCATTTTACAGTCAGGGACATAACAACATCATAAATTTGCTTGCACAGTTCCTTGCTAGGTGCAACAATCAGGCCCTTAATTTCCTGTCTCTTTTGTGTTCGCTTATTTATTAAAATCTTCTGAATAAGTGGTATTGCAAATGCAGCAGTCTTGCCTGAACCTGTGCGTGCTCTAATTAAGACATCCTTCCCTTCGAGTAAAAGAGGTATCGCATTTTCTTGTATTAATGTAGGCTCTGTCCAGCCCAATTTTGCAATAGCCTAGAAAATTTTTGCACGTTCTTACTCTTTAATATATTCTTCAAAAATTCTTTAAATTCTTTAAATTATTCAAATTACCTTCAACAGCCTGTCGTCTAATTCCAACTCATAAAAATTTTTCGGTTTTACCTCGTTTTCTTCGTCTAATTCTATCTCGTTTATAGACATGTTTGGACAGTATTATTCTCCAACTTTTCAATTGCAAACATTCTATTCTAACCTAACGAAACCTGCAAGCACATGGAATTATTTTCTTTACCATGTGTGACCATGGCTACGTATCTATAGTCGGTAATACAGATTATAATTTCTACCTGATGTTTATAGACAAATTGAAACTTTAATAAAATAAAATAAGATATTAGATATTAGATATTAGATATTAATTATATATTTTATTTTATTATATATTTTATTGTTAATCTTTCTTTACTCTATAGATCTTGATATTTATCTATATCTTCTGGAGAACAAATGTTACTCAATAAAATAATACATATTGCTAAGAAATGCAATGTCGAACGAAATTTTGTACACACAGTAACAATATAGAAAGAATTATGTCTATAATTAGAATAAATTATTAATAATTTAATTTCACAATTAATACATTTTTTAAACATACCATATAAACTATAACTTTTATTACACAGAACTACACATGTTTACATTTGTTTTTTAAATCTTTGATAGATGAAAATTGCACAAAATGACTAAAATATTATTTTGAACACGAAACATCACTTTGATACGAAATAACTGGAGTAGGAATATATTTTTGATTTAAATTACTACTTAATACTGGTATAGGCAATGGCTGGATATGTGGTTTAGCAGGAAATCTAGTTCCAGCAATATCAATTTCATAAAAAGCTGTTGGATCCATTATAAAATCTGTGGTAATAACATGTGTTTCTTGCTTTTCTTTTACTCCAGGGAGACTAATAAATCCAAGACAAATGAGTTTCTCTGTTACAAAACCATAGCTGAAAGAATAATAGTAATATAATAATATGTCAATGAGAAATATAAAATAAACAAGTAATAATATAATAATGCAATGTTCAATGAAAAAAAAGATATTTACCCAGCTGATGTAACAGTACCAACAAATTGACCATTTCGATATAGCGGTTCACCACCCCATGCCCATACATCTTTGTTCAAATCCATACCATCAAGTACAAATAAAACTAATCGCTTTGTGACTCCCTGTATCTTTTGATGTTGTAAAGCAGATTTTCCAATAAAATAGTCTTGTTTCTGTACAGCAGAATTATGAAATATTTAATACTAAATCTTATTTAAATTTAAATCCTATCTCATACTTATTTAATACTAAGTCCTATTTATTTTAACCCTACTATCTATTTGATCTATTTTCCATTTTAACGCAACTATATTTGTTCTTAATATTTTTTAATATTTTTTTTTAAAGATTAATATTTTCTCTTTAGATTTATATAATATAAAAAAGAAAAAAAAAGACTATATTTTATTAAAATAGATATTTCAAATAAATAAATATTTAAATATGCATATAATATTGTGATACTAACATTCAGTTTTACACTGTAGCCATTTCCAGCTTCATATGGTGTCACATATGGTGTCAATTCTTCAGCCCAGAATGGAATAAATCTCTCTATCCTCATAAAACGTTGTGTAAGAACTCCAACATCTCTCGCACCATAATCTTTTCCTATAGCCATTAATGTTGAATAAACGTGTAGTGCATATTCTGAAGGTATGTAAAGACAATAGCCAGGTTCACCCGTATGAGTGAATGCCATTACCATAACATCTGAAGCGTATGCAATGTTTACTGCCTACAATTTCAAAAATTAAAACAAAATTGATTCAAAATACCCCTACAAAAAAAAGAAAAAATATAGTAATAATTAGAAAATAATCTGACCTTATAAGTAAAAGGTGCAAGATTGATATCAGAATTGGATAACTCAGAAAGCAACTCAGTAGCTTTAGGACCTACTACATTGATTACTGTATATTTTGAAGTCACATCGTTAAGACATACCAAATAATCTGTCGGCAAATGCCTATTTTGATGAATAAAAAAAGAACAATTAATTATATTAACAATATTAACAATATTTTACACATAAATACTTAATCAAATACAGATTGAAGAATCAAAATAATAAATTAAATTTTTATAATAAAAAACTTTAAAATGGCATTTCTCCATAAATAAATTTTTATACTGGTACTTTAAATTGAACTTTCATCTCAAGCTTATGTTCTTTTAGGAACAATTAGAAGCAGAATATCATCTACCTAGACATCCACTGATAAATGCGTGTCTGCTGTGATGTGGGTGAGACCATAAAATAACTATTTTTGCTTTGTCGTACTAATATGCAATCATTTTCATAACCACCTTTTTCATTTTGCATTCCTGTATGAACTATTCCGCCGACTGATATATTAGCATCATTAGAACATAATCGTTGTAAATATTCCACTACCTTTCCATGACTAGACTGTGGTAAAATTAATCATTAAAATGAGAAGCTAATTGAATCAGTGAAATCAGAAACACTATACATCTTTGATCAAGTTATAATTCGTTATATCTATATTTTTAATATACTTTAAGGATAGATAATAAACTTTTCTCATAATTAAATTTTCAAAATATAACTTGTATAAAAAAAACTTATGAGTTTCTAATTTCACTGTTTTAATTGTATAGAAATAATTTACTTTAATTTCAATCTTTGAAAATGAGCTCATGTCTATTATCCCGACTCCTTCTCTACATGCTTGAAATTCTTCCTTCATAAAATCAAAGAATTTTGGTTTATAGAAACTACCTCTTGGCATAATCGGCTTTTTCTGTCCTCCTTTTAAATTTATAAGATACAAGTGTTAAAAATATTAACAATATTTAAATAAAAAAATTTAATTGTTAAAAAAACTTACTTACGTCTGTACGTTGAATCAAAATAAAGTGGACGCTCATAGGCCATTTTTATGCCAAAAATTGCACCACGTTCCTCCAAAACAGAATACAAAGGCGAGCATCGTAATTTACGAGCATATTTGTATTCAGATTGATGAGGATATAATATAGCATAATTTCGACCGACCACTTCCTTCATTCTTTGCTGTAGATATTGTTTATTATTATGCAAATCTAGAAACCTTTGTACATTAAATGGGAGCACTTCCTGTGTAGATTCACCATTTATTACAGATTCAGCGATTTCTTTACCAATTCCACCAGCACCTGTTGGAAAAATATATAGCTAAAAATATGAAGTTTCTTTATATATTATATTTATATTATATATGAAGCTTCTTTATACATGAGTGTGTATATGTATAATAAAAAGAATTTAAAAAACTTAGACACATTCAAAAAGTATACCTTGCAACGAATTGCCATTCATTCCAACAGCAACAAAATAATTTTTTACTTCCGGACTTTCACCTAATATCCATCTACCATCTGGAGTAAAATTATCAGGACAATTATATATATTTGGCTGTTCCACTTCTTTTAAAATTGGTAATCTATGTATAGCTTTGTCCCATAATGGCTGCCAATGGGCTGAATCATTTTTCAAATGTTTTGTCCAATCTTTTGAAGGTACTTGACCGCTTCCAAATGCAGGTTTTGCATTAGGTTCAAACCAACCAAGTAAAAGACCATCTATATCATTAATAATTTTGTCATCATAATGCATGCAATTCTAAGTGCAATACATGCTTTTTTATCCATCAATAATATTTAACACAATGTCAAAGATATAGGAAAAAAAATACAAGTATGCACCAAGTATGAATATACCTTGCCATTCTCTCATATATGAGTACGAGTCAAAATCTCGTACATATGGCAGAGATGTACTAATCTTTAATGACAAAGGTGGTACAATTGCATATAAATGTTCCGCAGGATATGCTGGAATTCTGACAGGTGGTGTGCATCTTAATCCTAACTCACGAGCCCACTAAAATATTAGCACATGTGTTAGTTTAATTATGAATACTATTATCATTATATATTTAAAATTAATATGAAGATATAGTTACCATTCCAGCACAGTTAATAAAATATTCACAAGTAACACTACCATATTCAGTTATAACATTTTTAACAGCCCCTTTCTCAGTCTTTACTTCTTCTATATAACAATGTTCAATATATCGTGCTCCTCCTTGCTTTGCCAGCTTTGCTAAGACTTCACAAATTGCACTTAGATTAGCAACAGCATCTTCTGGTACAAAAACTGCTCCTTCTAAATCGTCAACATGTAAATAAGGATGTAATCTTTTCAATTCTTCTTTGCCCAATATCTACAATGTATTAATAATTTTATTTTTGACTTGATTGTGTGTATGTAATATTTAACACTGATTATAATATAATAATTTCGATTATTATAATTACTATATATAAAATTAACTTTTCCTCCAATAATTCTTTACTATTACAATCTTTAATTACTTTAGTTAAGCACAATTAAATTATATTAAATTAATGTCATGTGCATTATATTATAAATTGTAAAAAATAAATCATGTACTTCACAATGCAATCCAGTTGGTATATTATAAGCCATTCTTCTTTTAAGAGCTACCATTCTATCCTTGGATTGTGCCAAATTTATACTACCACGCTGTCTCAATCCTATATCATGGCCCATGTCTTGCAACTGTTGATATAATTTGATACTATATGTGATCAGGTTCCTGCGAGAAATTGGTTTAAAGAGTCCGAGTGTACCAGAGCCAAAGTGTGAGGATCCACTGCCAATTCTACAACCGGAGAATATTTATCTGAATCAATTTAATGAACTTTAATGAACTTGGTGTTTTATTAAGTACTAATTGCATGCTACATATATTAATGAATTTTCTGCTACTGCTAGATATAGAGTATTCAGCTAAAAGATAATTATATACAAAATCTGAGATATAAATATAAATTACATAAAAAAATATTGAAAAATATTAAAAATTATATATTCTATAATATTTTATATATTAAAATATATAAAAATATTTGAAAAATATAAATTACATTAAAAATAAATATTGTATTTACGTATTTTGCTCCAAAACAAGAACATCGTTCCATCCATTCAGTACCAAGTGATAGGCAACCGAGTTGGCGACCGTTCCCGCACCGGCGATGACGATCTGCGATTGAGACGGTAATTGCGAGGAATTTTCAGACGAATAACTCTTCTCGCCGCTTGACAATTTACGCCCGGCATATGCCGACGAGCACCGTAGGGCAGTCTCATCCCTGCAGGTTATGTATTGTGTTCCAATAGAACCCTTCGTACTTCTCTTCTCGAATGACGAACATGCACATCTTGAAGAGATTCGCCTTAACATTAAACGCTAACGAATGATTTGCTGCAAGGCGTGTTTTTTCGCGATGCTGTTCAGAAAAACTTTATTTCAAATTGAGTAAAGAATATTTTAGAACGTGTGCGAGATCCTCCTCGCATCCGTCAGGAAAATTTCTGTACTTTTTGCGTTCTCCAATGCAGATGCGTTCTATTTATTCATCATTTAGAGAATATATATATATATATATATATGTTATTGAAATAATATAACGTCGCATATCTAGAGATTATATATATATTATATAAATATACTCGAAATTTTTACATATATACATTATCATATAAATAATTAATAATTTTTTTCTTTATTAAGAATATACCATATATTAAATTATTTATACATGTATATTATATTTTATATGATTTTTTTAATGATATAATTTGGTATTTACTAAAGCAATTATTAAGATAATTACCATTTAAAATTATCAACAATCCCGTTCTAATTGGTCTTTTTTATATCGAAAGAATAAAGATCTTTTTATTTTTGTTTATTTTTTTAAATTAAAAAATTGACAAAGGGACGCTATATTTTAATTATTCAAATATATATTGCATAGAGCGGCAATATATCGATAGATCGATTGATCGATAGATCGATAGTGACAATGTTCAAATTGATCCAAGAGTTGCTACATTCAGTTCAGTCATATTATAGTACACACTACACGCATAATTTACGTTGCAAAATTAATAATTATTATTAATAGTAGAAACAAAAGAAATTATATACATAGTTTCTTCTATCCTGCTATCCTCGTTCTTTTGCTATAATAAAATGTGGACAATTTTAGACTTTTATAATTTCAAGATATTCTGGATTTTTACTTTCGTCGAGTTATGCATTGTGGCATTCCTGATATTTATGGTATAAAAAATATCATTTTTTATCTTAAAATTAATTTTAACTTTGTGTTTATTTCAGCATAATACGGATATGACACAATTAAAAAAGCGCGTGAGTAATTATAATTAAATAATAATAATAATAATAAAAGAAAGAGAAATTTATTAAACTCTTCACTATAAATATCATTTTCTTTTTTCTAGCTTTTAACCAGAAAGGTATTAAAAAATCAGTTATATTAATATATATATATATATATATATATATATATATATATATATATCAAACATGTCTTATAAAAAAGAGATAAAAAAGTATTTATACATCTTTATTCTTCAAGATAATTTCTATATGAAAGTAAGTTAATTATTTCTAAATTGCATATATAAATGCGTATATTTTTTATGTGATATTCGGTGGATTGGTTTAATTCAATTTGATAAAAATTCAGCTTTAATAATCTTGAAATGATGATATAAAAAATATAAAAAACATTTTACCAGACATTGAAAATAAAACTCTGTTCTGTCGAAATTAATATAAATCTATATAATAGCAGGATTAAAGAAAGACGTTTATAAAACAGAAGTCGAGGTTTGAACGTTAAATAATAAATTAAACTAATAAATGAGTGCAAATAAAATAAAATATGTCAATAGATGAAGATATTATAAGATCATATTTCTAAATTGTCTTTTTGATGGGAGAAACTTGGGAACGAAATATTAAAGGTATGAATCATTCAACTATATTTTATACACACACACACACACACACACACACACACACATATATATATATATATATATTGTTTGGAAATAATTAATTTATTTTTTAATTGAACGAAATGTAAAAAGACTAATTATTGCACAACATCTTGTTTGGTTGATATCTGTATTTAATGTATAAATGCGAGTTGAAGAATATTATTTTATATATACATAAAAATACTATATTTTTAGCAAAGCAAAGACTATCAAAGAATGCTCAAGAGTTTCTCTATAAAGATGTAAACAAAGAAATAATACTCTGTATGTCATCACTACTAAATCTCCCTCTTAAATAATTTATTTATAAATATAACATCATGTTATTTCAGTCTGATTTGAATAAAGCAAGATACAATCATTTTAGTGATCTTCACATGTAATTACATTTCTCTAAAATTGCTATGGAATAAAATGATTTCATTGTATTATTTTATTTTTTATTCATATTATATATACATCGACAGTTAATTTAGAAAGAACTTATTAATATTTAATTTGTTGCATTAATAGGATTACTTCAATCAACAATTAATATTATATAGCATGATACAAATGAGAATTATATTTTTTACAAATTTAACCTAATATATAATATTGCATTTTTATATTTATACTTAAGATATAATATGCTTGATTTATTTTAAATTGAATAAATAAAGTTTTAAATTAATGACTAGCTAACTAAAACTAAATTTGTTTATATGTACAGATATGATGAATAACATATTATAACATACATAGCAAAACATTTAATTTAAAAGTTTTTTAAGGCACTTAGTTTATAAATCTAAAAAAATCTGTTTGGTCTTTTACTTATCATTGCAAATTTTATCTAGTTGAATAGATAAAATAAATATCTTTTCTCTTCCTAAAATTTACTTTTCCAGAAATATCCATCCTTTTCAATATTAATTTAAATTTCACAAAACTCATTATCATACTGACAAAGCATATATATCATTAACCGTTAATCTGAATTAAATTTGAGATATTTTTATATAAAATTTGAGATATATCTAAGATTATATTCTTAAAATTTAGTAATTAATAAATAATGTGCCTGATAATTTCTTATTTGATCATCAGACATCTTTTATTAATTTAATAACTTTTAATAAAATTTTTTCGATTGATCTGCTGATATAATTGTGCTGATAATTATCTCTCAAAAAAGATATTGAAGAAAGTTTATCATATTTTTTAAATTCTTAACATTACATTATTTTTGTAATTAAGCTCAAATTAAAATTCTATTAAATAAAATAGAAATTAATTAAAGTATATGACATATGTCATCTATTTTTTTTAATCATCTTTAACTCGCTAGTTTTTATCTTCAATTTAATTATTCGAAAATATCAATAATTTTCTGAAGAAAAAATCTATTACTGGTTAAATGAAAAATTTGTATATAAATCATAAAAAAAAATCTGTTGTTTTCAAAACTTTCCATTTTATGTCTGACATTAAAGGAGAAATTAAAGGAGGCCATTTTTTAAATTTTTAATAGAATATTCTTGTATGAAAATTCCCAGTTTGAATTTCTTCTCATTTTCATACATCTTTATAATTCTGTATGATGGGATGGGAATTTCTTCAGCACCGCGTGATAAAGATTATAGAAAGCATAAAAGCTCACGCTCAAAATTACTAAGAGAACTGATCCGAAAATCCAGGACAAAAAATTGCCGTCTATTATGTCGGAAGCCTCTTTTCTTTTTCGGGCACTAATCTCTCCTAACGTCGTACCCTTTCGTTCTTCCATGAGCTTTTTCATATTGGCGAGCTTCTCTCGCAATTCATCCACCGACTCAGCAATCTCCTCAATCGACTCTTCAGCGGGTAGATCTGTAACATATATGAATGTAAATTATTACATGGAAATAAGTAGTTGATTAAGTAAACATGAATAATTAAAAATTTAAAGATTTAATTAAAAGAATTGTTTATATATATATATATATATATAGTTATATATAAAAATATTTTAAGATTTCCTTTTCTTAAAATTCTTTTTTTTACCTTTCTTTTTATTCCAATAACATTAAGTATATAAACACATTTCCCTTCAGTAAAATACAAAAGAAAGTTAGGTAAAAATTATGCTATTTTTTTTAGAAAAATGTGTGATATTGAACACATCTATATATATATACATATATTAGAATATATATCGTTAAACAATATCATTTTTTCAATTACTCCTTTACGGAGTTTTATGCAGAGCAATGTTCGAGGTTGGTAACGCTCAAACAATTAATACATCATTCATTCTTTAATAACTTTTTAACAATTAAATAATTGAAAAGATATATAAAATAATGTAAAAGATCGAAAAATACACTCACCGGCGATGCCTGGCACGCAGGTATGCGTCACAGTTTTCATGATGTTAGACGATGTGTCCTTTCTTGATTCGGATCTTTGGTCCAAAGTGTGATAGTATTGATCATCCAGCATCCCGCGACATAGCGCAGTCTCTGTTCTCGTTACAGTAGAAATACGGCACATCATTGAATGATGAAAAATTCCGCGACGTTCAGATTTCGTAATGATCAATATAATATATGTATATCTAAGCGAAAAATATAATTATTATAATAATATAAAAATATAATATATATCTTATCATTTGCTAAAAATTGGAGTAGTCATATTTTGCTGAAAATAAAATATATTCATATATGAATATATAAGATAACAGACAGAAAAAAATAAGAAAGCAAATAATTTTATATTATTGTTGATACTTTTTGAAAAAGTAAAGCTATTTCTTTAACAATTGTATTTAATTTTAGATCATTGATATTTTATAACAAATGTATTTAAATGTCAACTAAATTAACGATAATTGCAATGATGTTAATTTAAAGAACAGAATTAAGTTAAACAATTGAAATATATCATTATTTTTAGATAATATGTATGTACATATATAATTTTAATGATTCTTGATAAAATTGTCATTAATACTCTTTATATTCAAATAATTTCTTCTTTTTTAATTGTATATAAATTTAATAAACCCTACAATAAAAATAAGACAAAGAAGAACAGTTTACACTTTAAGAATAACAATAATTTATATGTACAGTTTTATTTCAGAAAATTATATTAATAATTTTAATTTATATTAATAATTTATAATTTTCAAGAAATATACATACATATATATATTACTGTACTCTCTTCAAAGTGATTTAGAATAAAATATTCATATAAAATAAATTATTATATTGACTTGATGATACACATTAGCAAGAATAAAAATATAATTCAATAATTTATATTGCAATTAATCTATTATAATAAATTTATCAATATCACAATTTTCATAATTGTTATTAAGTAGATAGTGACCTATAAATATAAGAACTTTTTACACTTTAATTATTTCGTAATAAAAAATTTGTTTTTTCTTCTAATTTTATCATTATAGGACATAGGAGTACATATTGTTATTTGCATCTTGTATGCTTAATATTCTTGTCCTGTCATATCTACAAAATAAATTATGACATATTGCTAGGATAACTTCTTTATTTTTACATTATGTACATAGAGTATGAATATGTATTTTATCATATCTCTTGTTATCATTTTTATTTTTGAGAATTATTCAAAAAATAGTATTCAATAATTTAATATTTTTACCATTATCTTCTTGGGGCTTTAATTCGATATTATTCTCATCGTTTACATCAAATTATCTATGAATTATCTAGTAAATGATAAGATATTAATTGCAACATAAAACAAATTATAATACAAAGAAAGTATTATTACAATAATTCAATTCAAAATTCAATATTAAAATTATATCTGCTCTTTTTAATATAATTTATCAAAAAACCACCACAAAAAAGATACCATATACACCATTATTTTAAAAAATCAATTTTTAACTAATATTAATTTAACATTAAATCTTTAAGGACCTTAATTAAGACTTCTGTCTTCACTATATTGAATTATAAAATGAGAAATCGGAATTTTAGCAAAATACATCGAAATATATAAATTTTTATGAATGCAACCATTCGTGATACATAATGTGAAATAGTAAAATACACCGGAAACTTTCATTTTAATTCGTGAATTAATGAAGAATCGCAAATTTTGGTCAATTGTCGGAAGGTCCTTTTTGACTGAAAACTGTGTTACAAAATTATTTCATTTCTTTACATTTATTTACGTTACATGAACTGAGTTCATTGTCTTTCACAAATTTTATCTCCATTATATCAATATATTTACTGTAAATATAAAATATATATCTACTCACTCTCTCTCTCTCTCCACTATTAACTGATACTTGCCTGTTGTTTAGCCAGATTTGTTGCCGTTCAATTGTTAGTGATATTTGCCAGCATAAAAATACAAGTAATATAATCTTTACTAAGCTTAATTATTAACTTCAATAGTTTTCTTTTTTCGAAAACTGCTTAAGAAGCTAAACATTGTGGACTTATATTAAGAAATTAATTTAGTTAGTTATTCAATGCAAAGTATATGATAGCATTACGCGCATGGTAATATGTAATTTGCTTTTATCTAAAAACGTTCTGTATCTTTGATTTCACTTCTAATATCACTTTACGATGCCCATGCTTCCAATTCTTTCAAATCATCATCTTCTTCTGGTTTAGCTTCTGTAAATAAAATTTCATAAAATTTCAATATTTTGCATCACAAAATATAGAAATAAATTATAATTAATACTTATAAACACTTTATTGTCAAATTGATAAAAATCTTTCTAGTAGATGTGTTTTAAAAAGAATAATAGTTACTTGTGCGGGTTTTGCTTGGTGCAACAGGAACTGAAGTCGGCACAGCTGGCAGTTCATCTGTCGTTGTATCGATACCAAGTAATTCTTTATCAAGCTGTTCTTGTTGAAGTTCTTCTAATTCTTTCTCTAGTTCATCCTCATCAGCATCTTGACCAAATGCTACTGGATTAGATATAGCATCAGAAATTTCTCTGGCCACATCTTGTTGTTCCGCTATGTCATCCATCATATCATGCACTTGATCAACATCCCTGAAATAAAAACAAAAATAGTTATATACTCTAGTGCGAACAGAAGTAAAGATTAATAGATAAAAGCATATTATATAATTGTCAAAATATACAATTGTCACTTATTACATCATTTTGGATATGACAAATCCAATAATCGTATAACTGGAAAAATATCTTACATATGCTGATGCGCAGCCTTCATTGCGTCTGCAGCACCCTTCATGGTGGTAAGAACAGCAGTATTTGTATTTGCACTCTCCAGTGCTTCTCTTTGCATTTCAATTGTAGATAGTGTACCATCAATTTGCTGTAACTGCTTTTCATATCGCTTCTTCCTTTTCAATGCTTGAATAGCAGCTAAAATATAAAATACAAATGATATTGTTAGCACTCGATCAGACTATTGTTCATACACGTTAACAAGTTAATTATAATTATACAAAAGACAATAAAAGTACTAATCTGGCACAAAGTAAATGAGCATAATTCAGTACAATAATAAATCGCAAATTGAATGACAATCTATAAATATATTATTGTCACGCACGATGACAGTTGAATCGTAAAATCTAATTTAAAATCCACGAAACGACTCGACTTGCAGAAAGAGTGAAAACAATACCTCGCTTATTTTTCGACGCATTCTTCTTTGCTATCAACACTTCATTATCTATTTTAGTCTCTAAGAATTCCTGTTTCTTTATCAACATATCCTCTGTCTCGCGCAGTTTCTGAATCGCCTCGGCCGTCGAAGGAGCAGCTGGCTCCTTCTTCCCGCCAAACACTTTGCTGAAGAAGCTCATCGTACTGTGCTTTTTTCGATCTCTACTGAATATTTAACAATTATTCTCAAACGCGAGAAACACGTGCGTGTACTTCGAAATCGAAACCGAATCGCTCATCTACTGCTACGACTTTACGGTCGCCATGTTCTTTTCGCATCTGACGTCTGACTCATATGGATCTATTCCCTTTAACTGTGCGAGATCCTGCACTTTCTGCACTAGAAATGAGATAGATATATATATATTCACGTGTTGGAGAAAAAAAGAAAGAATTATAAGAAAGTACATAAAGAAAATGCAAGTAAGAACACATTACCGAGATGAAAATCACACCACATAAATATGCAGCATATGAGAAATGTCAATCAAAAATATACATCTCTGATGTATGATGAAACGGAATTATTGATTTACTAATTCAATATTATTTTCATAATATGAATTTACCAGTAAACGAGGAAAATCTACGACAAGTATTAGATAAATTGTCTGAAGATGAGGTTCGATTTTGTTATATGTCAATTTTTAATTAATATGTACAAATTTTTGTGTACAAATATATTTTTTATATTGAATACAAATAATTATCTATATATACATATACAATTTTCCTTAAATGTATGATGCTCATTTATTATATATTTAATAAAAAATAAATGTCATGACAGGTTTCTATTAAAGAAAATCTGGATACAATTCTTGTTCGACAATGCCATGTAAAAGCAAAGCTACAAAATATTGGTGAAGTACTGCCAAATGTCATAGTAATACATACTGAAGGAGAGAAGTCTTATAATATGATCAATCGTACCAATGAGTTAGCAGAGAATGTTAGTGCCAAAGTGAGGCAATTAGATTTAGCAAGAGTAAGTTACAATCAAATATATTTAAATAAAAATTCATAATCTATTTTTTATGACTTTATAAATATTATAATTTTGTTTAATAGAGCAGAGTATGTGAATGCCAAAGTAGAGTAAATGATATACTAGATTTGCAATTATGCAGTGAAGAAGTAGCAACTGCACTGCATAATGGGGATTACGAGCAGAGTGCTGCTCATGTTCATCGTTATTTAGCAATGGATAAACAACTGTTAGAAAGAACAGCTGAGGATGTATCAAGAGATCACATTAGTATTAGTAGTTCTCTGATTACCTTGCAACAAGCTGTGATGGAATTGAGGGCTGTTGTTACACATAACTTTGATGAAGCTGTGAAATCTGAGAACTTGGCATTTATCGAGAGATTTTTCAAGATATTTCCATTATTGTATTTAGAAGGACTAAAAAAATTTTGCAGTTGTGCACCAAAGTATGAAATATTAAAGATATTTTTTATATAAGATTATACATATTTGCCAAATATAATAATAATTCTTATTAAAAGAAGATGGAACTCAAGTCCATAATTTTAGCTTCAAGAGACTTCACAGAAGAATCTACAGGCGACACTAGAAATTAAAAATAATGATAAGAGAGCAGATATTATTTTTGCTGAGAAGAGATACTATGACTATCTTATTTGAAGGATTGCATGTATTATAGAAGTGCATCAACCAATCATTGAAACTTATTATGGTCTAGGCAGACTTTTGATGACAATCTTAATTTTACAAAAGGAATGTGATAGGTAAATTTATTTAGTAAATTATATTAAGAATATGCATGTACATTTTAAATAATTATTAATTTATATTTTATATTTAGATAGGTCAAGAAGATTGTTACAGTATTTACAAAACATAGATGTATCTCTAAGAATGTACAAATGGTAAATGAATATTTACGAAAACAGAATTCTGAAAGATTGGATCCCAAAGAGCTCGATCTTCGTTTCGGAGAAATTACTATAATGCATTCAAGAGCAGAACTTTATATACGTTTCGTAAAAAGAAGAGTTAAGGTATACGAAAAGTTATTAATTATCTATTTTACAATATATAATTAATAATTTAAACTTATATATACATATATTTACAGAATGATATAGAGATCAGTACAACAGATGAAACACAGTATACAGAATTATTGAATGATTTTAAAACAGCTATGCAAGAGTTGCTCGGCACTTATCTTGCTTTAGAGAGATATTTTTCGAGGAGAGCGTGAATAAGGCCTTGGGGATGGATGCATTAGATCCAGATCAGCAAACTTTCAGCATGGTTGATGATGTCTTCTTCATAGTGCGGAAATGCATACTGTACATATGGCCAGACCTATAAATACAATATAATGCTTTATGATATTAATTGAAAAAATAATATTGCAATTTCTGCAGACGTGCTATGTCGAGCTGGAGTATAGACGGCGTCTGCGCCATTGCCAACATGGCTTGTGGCATCTTGGAAGGTGAATTTGCGAACAAATTGAGAAATAGACTGCACCAAGGTTACTGAACAGGTTACTTGAATCTAGTGCAAGCATACAACGCTCTCCATATAAGCATACAACATGGACGTTTACAAACATCAGACACAGAATATGCTCGTCTTATGTTTTTGGTAAAGCAAAATCTATTCACGTTATTGTAATATAATTAACAACGATAATATAATACACATATATTAAAATGTGTCTTATGTACACAATTTTATTATATATATGTAATTATTATTCATGTTTTATTTATGATTTAGGTATATTTAAATAACACTGATGTAAGCACAGAGTATGTGGAGACATTGTGCAAAAGTCTTGGTGCAGAAATAGATGCAACATTTCCTAATATGCAAAAGAAGGATAAAGACAAAATCGATAGTTATTTAGCAGTTTAAAGGCAATTATATTGATTTTACGAGGTATCATCGATTGTGGTCTGGAACAGTTACGCGAATAAATTAGTGCTGTGAAACCTAGAATTACTCCATGGGTTGATGCATTTCTATCTATAGATCATCATATTAATGAAGTATGTATTCTGTAATGAAAGAAGATACAAAATTTCTTTTTGCACTTTTTAAATACAATGATTGATATATGCAGGATGAATTATTGAGATACGAAACGGATGAGCCATTTGTACAGACATTAGTCATGAATCTAGAGGGTCTACTTCAGGGATTCAAAGGTAGTTTAACGACTTCCAATTATGATGCACTTATTGGACTTCTAACTGCAAAAGTAACAGCCTGTTTAGAGAAGATGGTCTCAAAATCAACTTTTAATCGAGTATGTACATTAATTTTAAGTTATTTGTTTTTATAATCTTTTTTAAATAATTTTTTTATGGGTATTTTTATTTAACATCTTATAAATCCAATTTCTCACACAATAAAGTTGATGAAATAAATTTTCATATTTTAGGCAGAAGGTCTGATATTAGACAAAGAAATAAGATCATTAGCCAGCTATTTGGCAGCTGCCACATCATGGTGAGAGACAAATTTGCGCGTTTAACGCAGATTGCTACTATTCTGAGTATAGAAAAAATTGAAGAACTCGCCGATTATTGTGGCGCGGATGCAATAGCATGGCGATTAACACCGTTAGAAGTTCGACGTATCGCTTCTTTAAGGATAGATTTTCGATCAGAAGATATTAAGAAATTGAAATAGTAATTTTTTCTATTATCTTCTCGTATCAAAAATCAAACAATGTACTTGCTATTAAATTAAATATTTATATATTATATTTTATATATTATTTATACATATATGTATAAATAATACACATTATAAATATATATACATATCTATGGTTGGTAATATAGTTTTCATGCAGTAATGTATCTTTTACGCTCGTAAATACGCCTGAATTAAAACCTCTTCACAAGTTATATCTCTCCTAATAGATACCTCTTTGCAAAAGATGTTTTCCATGTCATATCTCGTGTGAGCTAATAGCAAAACATGTTGTGCGAAGAAGTATGTATTAGGAGAATATATATATTAGAGGTTTTAATAAATTCGTATTTACAAATTACGAGCATTTTGAAAGCTATAAATGTATAACATATATGTAAACTATTTTCTATGATAAAATAATGATATATTGCTAAATATATGCTTGAATTACTATTACGTTATTAGAGGATACTATAATTTTAAAATTTTCTATTCTTTTCATAAAATATTTCTAAAGGAAAAAATATAAAAAGATTCATGAAAATAGTTCTGAATAAGTCATTTCCTATATTTTAAATTTCGCTTAAAATATAAAAAAAATATTCGAAATATCATTTTTGCTTTTTGCAAGCTAATCAAAGTAAAATTTATAATTCTATGGAAAATAATTCTAAAAATGTCTAATCTCTGCATTAGTTTCTCTCTCATATCTTATAAAAAGAAAAGAGCCATATAAAAGCATTTATTATTCTAGAAGAAATAGCAGGATATTCTGTACGCAGGATAAAATAACGCTATACATAATGGTTCGCGCAAATTCTAATGCGCATTTTCTTTAATTTATTGACAAAGAACAGGAAAGAAATCCTATGACTCTTTCTTTGTACTGAACAATTGTATAGAATAAGCTTTTGATCTCGTTTAGTAAGTTAATAAAACAATAAATTTGCATTAAAACTTTCTATTTTACTCAGGATTACTGCACGCGTTAATTAATATAACATAATCACTTTCGATATTTCTCATTTATGAGAAACCTATAGTATTAAATCTCAGTACGATGTCTCTTATGTACGAGTTTCGACACAAGAGTTAAAATTAATTTGCTAGTAATATGCATGTTAAATATTGTGGAAATAATGTTACATTTTTTTTTCTCAGATATAGAACTCCAACTTTTTAAAAATCAGATAAGATTGGATATTGAACACTTATTTGAACTTTTGTGTTCATGCATTACAATATAATTTGTACCATTTTAATGTCTAGTTTGATTAACTGAACAGTAATCCACGATTTCTTTTCTATAGTATCACGAGTTCATAATTTAAACACATAATAATTGACTATATAAATAGTCCAGCAGAGTTAAATGAGAAATGCATTAATAAGTCATTGTAATGGTTATTCGGTAACCAGTAATTCGGAATAATTATATCTGCAACCAGCTGCTTAGAAAGAATTACATTACATCATCAATATGTTCTTACACTAGACATGCATTTTGCTGCCTTCAACAATCTCATACATGTAACAGCGACAATTTAATCGTTTTTGCATTTTTTAAAATTATCTCAGTAATGCATTATTCAATTTTTATTAAAATAAACTGCAACACAATACTTGTCATCATTAATAAAACATTGGTCATTTTTATATAGCCAATTCTGCTGATTTTTGTCACATAATTAAAACAAATGTTACATTATGAGATTATTGATCAATGATCCCTATCACCATTTTGTACGATAAGGCTACTCTTCTGTAGATTTAAAGATATATAACAGATGTTGGTTATATATAAATGACGTCTTCTTTGCAGCAACTCGAAAGAACAATTTCAAATGTCGTGTTTAAATAATACATAATCTTAAATATACAAATAATATATAATCTTAAGTATTATACAATTGTGCTTCTTGGGCATGTATCTTGACATTTGTCATAAATTATTAAGAACATACAATAAATTCTTTAAATTAAAAAGATGTAAATTTTAACAACAAATAATATATCTTTACAAGAAAATTTATATTGTAATTACGATTCAATATTTTAATATTTTCTGGTTGAGATTCAGTCTTATAAATAAAAGAAGGTATTCATACATTAAAAAAGCAGTCTAGCCCTTACATAGAGAAAAATTATTATATCTTATATTACATCATTTTTGCATCATTGGGTATTTAGAAGTAACCCTATAATTAAATTATGACTACAACTGACAACTTAAATTTTTCGATTATTCACGAAAAATGGAAGCTGTGAATATTTTTTCAAAATATGTACGTTTCTGGCGAATGTAAGGGAAGAGATTTTGCCTTTCTTTTTTTTTTCACATAAGAAAAACGCTATTTCAAGCTCTATGTGCAGACAAGGCATTTTTGTTTAAAAATATTTTAGACACTTCTAAAAGTAATATAAATATAAAATAGGACTCTATATATTGCATAACGCGATAAAATATAAATAATATTGGTGAAGAGTCCGATAAAATAATGTGATGAAGTATAAATATAAAATAACGGCAGTAAAATCGCAATGGAATATCCGCATCTTTTATATATCTTCTTTTCATACGCACTTCAATCTATGTTGGAATGAGCGAAGAGATACTTCCAAGTTACTAATAAATTAAATAATTTTAAATCTCGATACAGGATGCTCTCAGAGAACTTTAGAAAGGCAAAGTCTTTTACAAAATGCATACATTACTTATATAATGCTCATCGATCGGCGGTAGCGTTTTCTAGTATTAGTTATAACAACAGGAACCGATACAGGAGCGGGAGGGGTTACAGGTGTAACTGGCGTTACCGGTGTAAGAGGAGTTAGAGGAGTTTCAGCCATTTGGGCTGAAGAGGGGGGCCTGAGCTACCAAATGTAATTCTCAGTTTGTGGGGCTCGCATCACTCCCACGCCTCCACCAAGTCTCCTGTAATTCATACAACCGCATAGCTTCCATTGATTCTGTTCCGGATCGTATACTTCGATTGTTTTCAGATACGCAGTTCCGTCGAATCCGCCCACGGCGTACAATTGACCATTTACTACCGCCAAACCCACCTAAGATTCATGGTGACAAATATTAATATTTATGCATTTACTTTGTATGCATAGTGATTTATGTATACGAATTATAAAATAATTTAAATATATTGATAATTTGCAAATAAATCATGCGATAATTACACATTTTTATAATAATGTAATAAAAAAATAGACTTACTCCACTTCTTCTAGATGTCATCGCTACTATAGGGCTCCAGGAATTCGTATGGGGGTTATAACGTTCCGCGCTGGAGAGCTCCATACAATCGTCTCGTCCTCCCACAGCATAAATTAGATTATTAAATACAGCACAGCCTAGATGCTTACGTCTTGTAGACATCGGTGATACTTGGGACCATTTATTTTGTCTCGGATCATATCTTTCTACTGTGTTGAGAGGTGATTGTCCATCAGACCCGCCGATGGCATATAAATAACCTCCGAGCACAGCAACCGCCACTCCTAATCTTCTGGTAGTCATTGGCGACACTTTAGACCATTTATTTTCCTTAGGATCGTATCTGCAAAGTTATACAGTAGCACATAATTATTTAATTTTATTTCTATGTTAAATGTTATTGATTGAAAAATGATTATATATAGATTACAAATTATTAATATAGATACTTGCCTTTCCACATGATTAAGGCATTGTACTCCATCCTGGCCACCAACTGCATAGAGAAATCCATCTAACACAGCAACACCCACACTGGTTCTACAAGAAGTGGTAGGAGCAACATCACAAGACCACTGATTCGTTTGTGGATCATATCGTTCAATGCTATTTAAGTAGCTTTGTCCGTCATGTCCGCCGACTGCGTACAACAGATCATTTAATACCGCTACGCCTACTCCGCATCTTCGCTTGCTCATAGGTGCAACCATTTTCCAATCGGCAGTATTAGGATCGAATCTTTCGACGCTAGCGATGGCGTCACCCGAACACCATCCACCAACGGCGAATAACACTTCTCCTCGCCTCGTAGGTTTTCTAGGTCTCGTTCTAGGTCCCTGCATCAACGGTCGTTCTTGCGGCAGAAGCAGGTAATTCTTCGCCTCATCCACTAAATCTCTGCAAGCGTCATCGGAACGAACTAATAGATCTGATCCAACGGTACCGACTAAAAATTTCGGACTAAGTAGCGGCAACCGCACGTGCTGCAAAACTTGAGATAGATGCTGTCGTCTCTCCGTGACATTATATTTGACCCAATTCATCACGGCGCTAAATACTTGCTCCTCCGTACGTACATTTAGTTCATCCGATGAAATAATGTCCACCAATTGGCCGACAGGTAGTAACAAAAATTCTTCACTCTCCATTACCTGAAAAGTATATAAATTCAATTAGTTAAGTATTTAAAAATCAATATAAGTATTTCTAAATTAACACTTCTATTTCATGTATATACCTCTTGAAAATTATGTTGAGTGAACTTATCGGCAATACGCAGAAGTTCGCGGCACGAATGGGTATCCGCAAATGCTCGGATACCCAAGCAATTTGATGGATCTAATTGGCGTTTGAGAAATTCGCAACATATATCTTGAATTTCTGCTAATTGAAGAAGGCACGCTGCTGGAAGGAGAGTTTGAACATTTGCTTCTTCGACAATAATGTGAGAAGTGTAACAAAAGTCTATGAGTAATTCCATAGCCATTTCATCTATGTCACGTATTGTTACTTCAGTTTGTCTAGATTCCGCCAACTCCCCAGTAAACATCGCCCTGAAGGAAACCAAATTTAATTTGTTACAAGATTGCATACATTCTTGCATAAATAATAAAAAAAAATATTAATTGCATATGACATTACCTGAAGTATGGGCTACATGCTGAGAGAATGACGCGATGTGCAAATATTTTTCTGGAGCCAACATTGAGAACGACATCGCACAGTTCCCGATGACGTCGAAGTAGATTAAGCTCAGTTAGAGTTGCACGAGGATGCTTCTCAGAAGTATGACTGAGACGTGCTGGGGAAGGAGCGCGTTCTACAACTATCTCACCCATCCTCTGCGAGGATGGGGCACCCACAGCTGCTCTCCCCGAGGCACCTCTGGTCCCCCCGGCCAGCTGGAGGCGCAGCGGGGGTGACGCCCAGCCCCACACGGAATCTATCTGCAACACCATTCACCAACCACCGCAGGTCTCAAATGTGCCTGCAGCAGGTCCCCTAATGTTGTAGTTTCCCTATAATAACAAGATGGTATATAAAATAGATACAGAATATGTAATATCATGTGAAATGTATATTGTTAAGTAAATAAAAAATAATCATACTTGTTACTTATAGATATATAAAGATGATATAATCTTTTGTTTTATTTAAAAAGAAAAAATTAATAGTGAGTAAAAAAAATGTAAATCCCTAGAATATTGTAATATCTATGAAGCTACATGATAAACATATGAGTCATTCAAATGCAAGCTATTGAAAATTTATCACATTGAATTTTTGCAAGTACTTAATGCCAGTTATTTTTTTTTACAATACTTATACATAAAGTGCCTCTTTTAACACTTTTTATATATTTAGATCTTTGCATTCCCATATTACATAATACATTTTATAATTTATATTTACACGTTAATCTTAGAGATTTACACTTGAAAAATAAATATGCTGCGCTACAATGCAGCCAAAAATATTGAATTCTTATTTACTCATTGAAATTTTGACTAGCTTGAAGCATAATAAAAAGCTCTTGTTTTGAATATATCATTATCACAATCCAAGCAATCTTTAAATGACTCATAAGCGTGATAAAGAGTGCACAATCTTTCGCAACATCTCTATAGTGTCTTTTGTGCGTCTTAAAAAGGACGAAAGGACATACGCCGTGAAGAAGCGATTTATACATAATTGCAGAGGGACGAGCATAAATGTATAACGTAGGAGCGAAAAATCATGCTCGTTAATATCGTATACACACTTTGCTTTCTGCGGAAGCGCCAGACGATATCAACAAGAGAGTTATCACTGAACTCGACTTGCTTTCGGCTCGCCGTTTTCGCGTCAGCGTGGACGCCTGTCGCGGAACATCGGACGTCAGGCGACGTCCGTCGTTGACGTTTCCCGGGCCGGCGCTAATCCGCGGACTTTGGCTTGCACTGCGTCGCGTCGCGAGCTATCACGAGGGTGCTCTCATTTTGATGTTTCTCCGCGATGATGCACCGTGCATCGGTTGTCCCAGCCGCTCATGAACTCAACCTCCGGGATGAGGGAAGGGGGAGACTCTAGTCTAGGAGCGCCCTCGCAATCGCGTACACATCGAGTTTTCGATATCTCGATTCTCTCGAAGTCGGAGCGTATCGATAGGTTTCGAACTTCACACGAAACGCATCATTTATCAATTATCATGAATCATTGTGTGTCGTAAGGTGTTAAGTTTGTACATTAGATACGATCGTTGATACGCGTTAGTATTATATGATAATTTCGGTGTCGATAATTCGCTTCTGTAAAATCGAATCAGTCGACGTCCTCATATTTTTCATCGATTAGAGTCTCGTCCAGAGGCAGCAATTTGACAAGTTATCAGGTGTGTATGTATATTCTGCAATTAATAAATATACATATATATATATATATACATATACATATATATATATATATATATATATATATGTATGTATGTATATATTATATATATATATATATATATTTTTTTTTTATATATATGTGTATATATATATATATTTATTTATTTATTAGAGTCCCTAAATATATACATATATATAGATGGACTTTAGATGCTCTAATTTAGGAGCGCCCTCGCAATCGCGTATGCATCGAGTTCGAGTTCTCGATATCTCGATTCTCGAAGTCGGAGCGTATCGATGTGTTTCAAACTTCACACAAGACGCCTCGCGCCGGATCGTACTGGAACCGCGTTCGATCGCTCCGTGTTTCTCGCGAGTGTTGACAGTATATTTAAACCAGTGCATCGCGTAAATTATCATGAATCTTGTGTGTCGTAACGTGTTAAGTTTGTACATTACATACGATCGATGATACGCGTCAGTATTATATGATAATTTCGGTATCGATAATTCGCTTCTGTAAGATCGAATCAGTCAACAACATGGCGTCCTCTTATTTTTCGTCGATTATCTTCTTGTCGAGAGGCAGCAAAGCACAATTTCTGCACAAGTTATTAAGTATGTATGTATATTCTGCAATTAATAAATAAATTATATTTCAGTAGTGCAGTAGACAAATATCATATATTATATTATTCTTTAATTTTGCTTTGGTGCATCGATAGAATATATTCTTGAAAATTATATAATATTATAATAAATTGTTGTTCTGACACTTAATTATAATTAACATATACAAGGTGTCCCATAAAAAATGACCACCCCCTTTTATCTTTGAAACTAAAAGAAATAGACCATAACAATTATATATGAAATTAAATGGCTCAAACATAATTTTTGTAAGCAACTACTGTGTGTACTTGTGTGCAACTACTAAAAAAAGTTCAGTTTAAGCCATTTAATTTCATATATAATTTTTATGGTCTATCTCTTTTAGTTTCAAAGATAAAAGGGAATGGCCACTTTTGATGAAACACCCTGTATATCATTGAAAATTGACCGCGCTTGCGCGATATTCAAGGAATAAAATAATATAAAATAATATTATATTATAATAAATTGTTGTTTTGACACACAATTACAATAAATATAAATTAATGAAAGTTAACCGCGCTTGCGGCATTCAAGGTATAAAATAAAGATAATGCTTCTTTATAAGACTTATTCATAAACATGCTGGTAATCAACTTTTTGACGCGAATATAATGAGCCAATATAAAAATATTAGTTGAATATGTTGGCAGGTTATTTATCTCTTTTATATAATAATAAAATTAGATTTTGAAGTAATTATGATTGAATTTCATACTTTACTGAATAACTCTGAGTCGATTCCTATGTTACTGACAATCGATTTAATCAACTTCTTCAATTAACATCAGACTCACTAGATAATCTCACACGATAATTAAAATTTCAAAGTTTTTGTTTCGTTTCCACAGATGACAATGTAAGTATTGTACATTTTCTTATTCTATTTAGGCTTTTTCCTATATGAATTATTGTATCAGATTAAGAGATTACAAATGAGGATGTGCTTGTAATGAGTACAGCTATGTATATTAAATAAAATAGTAAATATATAATAAAATAACAAAATTGAAAAATAATATTGCAAAATGCAATAACAAATTATTAACAAATGTATTCTCGAAACTAATTGAATCAAATTACCAAATCTACAAATTCATTTGACAAATCTTGTTCAATATGATTAAAAGAATTTTAATTTGCAGTATATTATTTAATAAGTAATAATAAAAAATTGGTAAAAAAAGATATGCACATTATGCTTTTTTAAATGCATATTTATCGTCATGATGACAAAAGAGAGAAACGTGTACATCTATATAATTTTATCTAATTGCAATGAAGTAAAATTGAAGTCCATTTGATTTTGAAAAATAAATAAAATTTAATAAATTAAAATACTAATATAAAATCGCAGTGGCTACATAAATTAAAATACTAATATTAAATCGCTGTGGCTACATAACGCTCATTCGTTAAATACTAAGTGACAAATTTGGCGGCATCGCGCTTTTTACGCTCGGTGAACTCAGGGGTTCCGTTGGCACGTGGCGGTGTGAAAAAGAAACGCATAGTTTACGATCAACGTACTTTCGGCAAGGGAATGTATCAAAGGGGGCAGAAGGCACCTTGTGCCAGCTGTCCGACGTTCTTTTAGTCTGGAAAAGCGCGAGTCATTGGGCTTCAGCATTCCTCTCTTTTGTCTCTCATTCGATTATTAGCACATCCCCATATATGTCTGCGTACATACAAATAATTCTCTAGAAATATGACCAATCAAATAATATTAAGTGAGAATGATTAATATATAGCCGAAGACCACAGGTGCGATTTTATATTGTTCGACTATGCTTCATTATATGACTTATAATTTAAGGAGAAATACGAGCGTATAATTACAAAGGCGCGTCTTAAGAAAAATAAATTAAACATTCATGATTCTGTGATATATAAATAAATTACATACGCACATGTACACATATATACATGTATGTGTATGTAATTTATTTATATCTAACAGGATCATGAATTTTCAATTTATTTCTTATTAAGACGCATCTTTACATTTACGCGCTCGTATATTCTTCCTTAAATTATATGTATATATATTCTATATATATATAAATATATATATATGTGCATGTATACACATATGTATTACTATTATGACATTTGAAAATAGAATTTGTACATAGTATAAATAACTTAAAATGACTGAGATTGAAAAATATTTTCCATTAATATTTATGTGCATAGATGAGAATCCTATGTCTTCATCATCTCTTCTTCTTATACATGCTATAAACATATTTTACATATATAATCAACTAAAATGATATGAACCAATATCCATCAAATTAATGATTGGTGTCATAGATCGCGTTTCCTCGATGCATTCGTATCTGTGATGCAAATCGATTCGACAAACAGACTCATGACCAACGTCAATAATATTGATCCAACTCTCTGTCTCCTTTCGGGAAGGGAATCAAAATTATTATTTATTCCGTTCCGAAGATCATTAATTTATGGTTTATTATAGTTTATCGGGTCGCGGTTTGCGCCATCGACTCGAGGGCCGCGGCAAATGATGCTTATCGCAGATGTGGAGTGAGTCGTCAGCGTAATTTTAAATTTGCGATGCGTCGTACCGCTATTACAGGTACGGGTTTGAGCCTCTTAAGCGACATTACTGCGGTTTTCGTGGCTAAACGCGGTGCCTTCCGGGCATCTTATAATCCGCAGTGAAAGAGGGCCAGCGCGATTGCGCATCGATCAGAGAGCACACCCTTTATTCCCTTTTTACTTTATAACACTTTTTTCTTTTTCTTCTTATATAAATTACAAAAATATTACGAGTAAAGAAAACTTAAAAATATAAAATATTACTTTTTTTAAATAATATCTAATAAAGAAATTTCTCTCTCTAGAGACTAAAGATATAATAAAACTTAAATATAATAATGCTCTCAAATGCTGATACAATTATATTAATTTAACGGTAAATTAAATTAATTTAATAATGATTTAATTAGACTGCGACAAAATAGAGTATTGTTTCAGAAATAATAATAAGAATTGTCTCTCCAATGTACATTAAATGCATTTATGATGTATAAATGTGACACACAGACAAAGTTTCTTCGATCCGGGTAGCACGTGCCCGACCATAAGCGGGTGCAAATGAGTGGGCATAAAAATAAGTGTCGTGCAGTCGCGACGAAGTCTTACCCTCTTTCTCCCTCTCCGCCGGAGATCTCCCTTTCTCTTAAGGTGGATAAACTGAGAGACAGCTGAAGCTGTATATACGTGCATCCTGTACATCATGTGCGATTGCATGACCAAATCATATGTGCGTATTGCGTGCACATAAATTTATATATGTATAAATAAACATATTGCGAGCACGCTTTTATAGGCCGCTTCGAAAGTGTGCTTTCATTTCCTTTCATTGGTGCTAAAGTAATGACGAAGTTGCTGTGTAAAATAATTAGTGTACTCCAAGAGAGAAGCACGATATAAAAAAATTAGTATAATATTATAATTTATATAAAATCAGAAAGAAAGTATAACGCGATCATATTCACATATTAATTTATTTTCATTAAATTGATATATTGTTGTTTTTACCATTCTAGTATTTAAACTTTGGTTCTTTTTACAATACATACAAATATATAATAGATTAGAAGTTTATATAAATCTATCTTTTGTACAATTTTTGATAAAGTAGGTTTAAAAACACATTTTTTAATAAATTATTTTTTATTGTGAAAACGTATGTGCATTAAATAAAATCAAATATTTTATAAAAAGATATATTACATTTTAACTTATATATACATACATAAACTTTGCAGCACGCATATATATATATATATATATATATATATATATATATATATACATACGAAAACGTGTTTGCAAATTTAATATCCACATTTTAATATTAACAATTTTACTCTTCGTATATATTATATTTATTATCATATACTTGGCCTAATTTAAGGAACATACGTTGAGGTTACCCTCGTAATTTCCAGACGACAACGACACGGTCTGCACGCGTACATGATCGTGTTGTATAGGCGTGTATATGCGTAACAAGTATTGTATATGCATCGTCCGTCACCGATGCAACCTGCGTTGGTTTTCCTTGCTTCTGCATATATCTGATTACTTGATCAGCCGGCGGAAGTGGACGCGAGCTTGGCGTGAGCTTCTTGAAACTGGGTCTCGCGAAGTCATTGGGGTAATGTGAGTGAAACCGGTTTAATGACGATCAGGAATCAGTTTTATTAATCACCTGGAAAAAAGAACCAGAATTTTATCAATTATATCGAAATTTTAAAAATATATAATGTCATCTGGATAAAAAAAGATAAAATTTTAATGAGTGAAATTGTAATTCTTTTTAAATTGCAATGCTAAAATATGTAAAGAGAAATAATATTTAGTTATTACAAAACGACAAAATCATATGCAAGAGACAGAAAAGTATACAAAGACAGCAAAATAAAATGTTTATGTTTGTTATGAATAATAAAATATAAAATATCAATTATCGAGTTAAGATGATGATACGTATACTATATACATTTTGTACTTTTGATACCATATTAATTATGCTTTTAAATTAATGATTTTACATTACAGTTTTGCAGTTTAATCCGAAGAAAGTTGCGTAAATTAGGTTTTATAATGGGTTTGAATCAAATTATTTTAAGGGAAAAAAGTGCGCGTTATAATTCGGATAATTTCATACATCTCAGTTTTGAAGCATATACACACATACTATGTTTGTAAATTCAATATTCATATTTTCATATTAATTTTTTTCTTCTCCCTTTACATATATTGTGTTTAATATCAAATAAACCTTTTTCCAACTTAATTAACCGATTAGTATTAAGTAATAAAATCTTTTTATTGGTATTTACGATAATTTTACAATCATATATGTGTCAATTGTGTATAAAAAGAAAGAGTGCCACAATTTGATTCGTCCAATTATAATTGCTTGATCATAAATATTTTATACAAAGTGCTTCAAATATAATTAATTAAGAAAACTAAAAATTAAATTTGAGCAAAAACAATCAGATAAATAAATTGCTTCGAAAAATACAAGCATGGTACATATAGAATTATTACACTATATCGTACAAAATCGACAAAAATGTATGCAATTAAAAATACATATATAGGCTTTTTTCTCTCTCACATATTTTTAATTACTTATTCTAATTATTTATTGCTTTTGTACGATTTTATAGATAAAATACGTGTCATAATATGTCATTTGATCGCTTAATTTTTATAAGATATAGTATAATATTATTCAAAGTTTTGGTAATACTAATATTCAAAAACTAATTAATTCAAAACAAAATGAGAATATTGCTTATTGAAAAACAGAAAGTTACAAGAAAATTTTCGTGCATCTTTAATGCATGATGTGCATATGAATATTTATAAAAATATAATATCTAAAAACTCATATAAATCTCTCTTTTGCATTAAGTTGGAATTAATTTCGAGAAAAGATTTCATCTTTTATAGATATACACATATAATAGTATTATATTTTTTATATTAGCATATTTATTGTATTACTGACTAATGCTATACACGTTAACAAAAAATTCACATACTATGTATCGTAAAATCATTTTTATATAATGACAGTGGTTCGTCACGTTTCGCGTTGAAAGTAAATTTTATTTAGATCACGCACGCACTTTGGATATCAATGCGTGCGAATTTCGTTCAAGTTTCCATACGGGGATCCTTAACAGCATCGCATCGGTCCATTTTTCAGGCCTGACGAAACGGTAATACCGAAGATTATAATTTAAAGGGGATTGCTGCTGCCGCCTTCTCCGGTCGTAAAATGCATAAAAGTTCGAGAGTATATTATTATGATTTCTTGACGGTCAAAGATTTCTCGAGTACTTTCATAAACAACAAGTATTCCATTAAGCGATATTCTTAATTTATTTGGGATTAATTAGCTTTTGGATATTTGAACTATCAAAACTTAATGATATTAACATAAATCTTAATAATTATAATATAAAGCGACGAAATTATAAGCCATATTACACGTTGAAAAATGGCAATGCATTCTATAATCATAAAATTACAAGTAATAAATCATTTAAATAATAAATAATCTTAATAAATTAAGAACAAATTATAAGAACTCACGCGTTATTATTTTTTCGTAAAACTAGTCTTAACATAGATCCATTTCTAAAAAAGGCATGTAAAGTCGACAATCGCATCTCTCGAAGTTTATTGTTGTCGCTTTTTTAATTTGAATATCTTGAATAAAAATGATTTTTTCTTTAAAAATTCTTTATATTAATATTCATTATATTTATATACGTCGAATAAAAAATATTATTATATGTTACATTGTTATTATAAATTACAATCACTATCTTTTACAGTCTTTTTCTTACATCTGTGTATTAAGATCAGTTCTACGAAAAAAATAATACTGTGAGGAAATAAAAAATCAGTTAAATTAAAATTAGACATGATCGGCATGATGAAACGATCGCTCAGATGCGGTAATAGTCAAGTACCGGGTTATTCACAAGAATATCGGTGATCTCCTTCCCTGAGGTCCAGCTGGAGGTATCGCGCATCAGCTTATTTGTTCCAGCGAACCCGAACGAATTTTTAAGGATGGTGCGCGAGGGCGGCGGTTGCCCAGCGGGTGAGGCAACAGGTGAATTATCGCGGACAATTTGTTTCTCCTGATAAATCAGTGTAGATAAACCGCGTGTTGTGTCTAGATGGTTCGCTCGCGCGCGCCTCGGTTCCCGCACCTGTTTTACTCTTTTTCTCCCGAAAAACTACCTGCCGGCTGACTTTACTTTCCTCGATGTGCCGCGTCGAGAACCGGCCAAGAAGTGGTGGACGCGATGGCTCATTAAGGTAACCGTTTGCTCGAACTCGTAATCTTATGTTTCGTGGTCTCGTGCCGCTAAACCCTCGCATCAGTCACCGTCTCGTAACGCTGTCTCCGTGTGGCCGCAATGAATTTATAAATATATATGTATAATATCGCATATGACGAATGTATGGAATTTTACGTATATAGTTTGCATGACGTAAATCGCAAATCGCGCGTCCAAGGAAATATGATTAAATTGTTAGATATTTTCATAGTGATGACATTTTCTTCAAAGATTTTAAGCAACTATGTAACACTATAAAAAAGACAAGTTTCACAAATTAAATAGAAAAATACTGATTATAAGTGCATACTTTTCTTCTTTAGGTCGAGTAACGTTTGCAATTCCGATTATGCAGTAAATGATTGCGAACGAACGAACGAACATTTGCGCGGTACGTAGCCGCGGTTGATGCAGGTGGTTCTTTTGCAGTACCACCTGTGCGATGCGTCTCGTCTTCGTATATACCTTTCCGTTGCGGTCCCGCAGAAAACGTCTTTAAACGAATACTGCGGGTGTCATCGGTACGTAACTTATAGTGCAACGGTTTGTCGCCTTCCGTACAATGTCATTAACATAGAAGTGAATGAAGATTACGTTATACCACTTAAATAAGATAATATGTAATTCATAAATTTATTTCATTGAATTACCTAAATTATATTAAATTGCACAACACACACAAGAATTTTACGTTTCAAATTGTTATAATTTTTAAATTTAATTTTTTATTTAAATTAAATTTCAATTATTATAAAATGTTTTGAAGTGTAATTCAAATATATCTACATAAAATTGGTATAGAATTAAAAACTTATATCTTTTATTTATACGTATATTTACTTATACATAAATTTATATGAAATAATAGAAGAAAAGATATATATATTTATTTATTTATTTATTTATTCTTGCACATAAGGGAAAAGAAGATTTGTGTATAAAAATATTATGAACAACGCGTGCTAATAATCTGGCACACTCGATAGAAAGCAGACTAATTTCCTTCATTGGGAGGACACGATGACACAAACACGGACCATCTGCCTTTGCTTACGTCACTATTAAATGCGCCGATTATTACAGGGAGGCCGAGGAAAGTGAGGTTTCCAATTATCTCAGATCGAGTCTGAGACATTTTTTCATCAGTATCGTTTTTCAAAACGAAACGTGCGACGAATCTTACGATAAATCATCTTTTATCTAGATGTTTGCGGGATTATATAAATCCAAAATCGAAGATCATTTTTCTTTGAGGGATTATTGCTTTTCATTAATTTAATCTCATTTGATAAATCGTATCAAATCCTTATAATGCTGATTCTTTGGAAGTAATGGACTCGATAAACATAGTATTATAATTTATTAAAAATCGTAAGAATTAAAAAGAATCTGTCAAAACATAATTATAAATGTTATAAAAAATCATCTACATTATTATTTATTATATTAAATAAATTATGAGAAAGTATTTATTAATTTTGTGGAATCACATATGTAATATACCAAATACTTTGCTGACATTTGTGCCATATGCTAATTAATATAGCATATGGTGAAGTGCAAAATTGTTCTGTGATATATGAAAATTCTTATTTTATATTTCACATTTTATTAACTTATTAAAATTTATTTTAATTAATGCACTAATATTTTTTTACTTGTCATAATTTCAGAAAAGTAAATTATTATTATTAGGTTTTTTATTTCTGCACTTGTGAAATTATTTCCAGTAAAATTAATGTAAAAAATATACTATTACATGTTAACGGTATGAAATTTACAAATACTTGTTTTTGTTTTCTAACATTCTCTCCTTAAACATTTCTTAAACATTTATATATAATATTATGTATGCGCTCTTTGTAAAATTATATATATATATATAATAAAAATTAATTGACAGATTAAAAATCTTACACATCTTAAAAATCTCTGAATATTGAATTGTATATTTATACTAAATAGAATATTCAACTGTCTATAATTAAGCACGGTGTATGTCTTATCACTCGATAATACCATGACACGAATGTGAGTTCATTTGCATAAGAATCGGAACGTCGATTAAATAGATCTGGATTACAAATGTATTTCTGTGCATTGGATTGACAACGCGACATCTTGTTTACTTTTGTAAGGATTTGATACGATTTATCAAAGAGTTCTTTCTATGTAACTTCGATGAAAGTTCTCGTCACTTCGTTTCGTCATGCATTTGACTGTGAGTAAAAGGCGTCACGTGCGGAACGGAAATTTTTATCTTCTTTTAGACGTAATCCTCGATCTAATCGCATGAAGTTCTTTCTTCGCAGCTGTATCAACTAGTGGAACAAAA